AAGCCATCAACCTGACCAAAGGCGTGAGTCTCGGCCCGGCGAAGAATGTCAGCCAGGCGAAGCGCTTCAGCCTGACGAGAGACGTCGCCCGACCCTGACGAAAAGCCTCAGCCTGACCCAAGACGCCTGCCGAGGGGCGCCGGCCTGCCCGACGAACGCCGCCAGCCTGGCGCAGAGCGTTGGGCTGACGAACAGCATCAGCCTGATGGAGGGCCTTAGTCTCCAGCTTGGTGAAAGACGTCAGCCAGCCGAGAGGCTTCAGCCACAGCCCGAAGCGCGACGCCGCACGTCCCCGCGAAGTGCGCCCGCCTGTTTCTGACGAGAGACATCTGACGAAACAAAGAAGCCCCGCCAGGTGTAAGCGCGTAGAGAGACCCTAGCAGCGCGGCCCTGCGTTGCTTTGTCTTGTTTGGCCCATCAAGGTCGCCCCCCGTTCTTGCCTGGCGCCACCGCGAGGCGCTTGCGTGCGTTGGGGCTTGCGGATTCTTGTGCGTGTCTGGTGGCTCTCTTCTGGTTTTTTTGTTGGACTGCCCCGGGGGTCTTGCAAATTCTTAAGAATTTGCATGACCCGCCCGGCAATCTCAAAAAAAAAACCGGAGGCAGCGCAATGCCCTGCACATGAGTCGACGCATCTGAGTCGGCCACACCGCCGGCACTCGGCTCTTGTCGTAGTCAATTCGTAAGGTGCATCAGCTCACCCGCCGGCTGTCTCTACAACTCTAGCGGCTGTAGCCCGTGGGAGGCCGCAGAAAAGTGCTAAACTAACTTGAAGCCGGGCGAAGCTTGTGGAGGCTAGTTTATTACGCAAAACTAGAAAATTGAAATTAATACGAAGAACAACTTGGAGAAATACAGAAAACAATATGAATTCCACTCCAGACATAAAAGTGAGCGTGGGGGCGCAGCGAGTGCTCCCTTATCTCAGCCAAGCGCAGCTGGCGGTCCCCTGGAGACATTCGAGCTAGTTCTTCCATCATCGTGAGTTTTCTTGCTGGTCTGTGAGTTTGTAAAGGCCCTGGCGACATCGGCAGCTCAACGCCTGCCGGAAGGTCGAACGGCATCCAGTCGAAAGCAGTGAGCTCATTTTGCAGCACGCGAAGAATCCGAGTACGGTGTTGGGGAATTACTTCTCCAGTCATCAACATGACCCATGGCGATTGCACCGGACTGAAGTCTAGCAGGTAGGACGCGCTGTCTGATAATGCGGACTGGATCAAAGATGAAGGCAAGTAGGAAGATTGGTCTACTCCACTACTAGAGATACTGGTTGTTCCGACATGATCATGGTTCTTCTTCCCATTTCCTCGCGACGAAGCTTCCGCGTCTCCGCTACCACCCAATCTCCTGCGGGCATCCTGTGTTCGATCATGTGGAGAAGAAGCTGAAGCATCTGATGCTCCCCTTGAAGGCCGATCTCGTGAAGACCCATCTTCAGTTTGTTCACTTCCTCTATCAAACAGGCGCCGTCGTTCCAATCTAGACCTGCCGTCTAGGTTCCGGTCCTCAAGAGTGTGACTCCCCAAGTTGTTATACTGGTTGTCGTGGTCATTCCCAGCAGGTGATCGAAGTTCTCTCCGCAAATTCGTCGCATTACTCGGCGCGATCGTGGTGGTCGATGTGGTGGGTTGCAGATACGTCAGCAGCGGGTCCATGCGAAACTCGGTGCCCAGCGACGTCCCGAAAATCTCCGACAGTAACGTCTCATCTGTCACGTTCCGCCAAGTACACGTTACATTCAACATCTTGTTTGATGACGTATGTTACGTCTTATTCTTAGTTCCGATGAATTACAACTGAAGGTGTTCAACAGAACGATTCACTTTAACACAAGTCAGTAATTACAACTACTTACACATAAGCAAGAACAACGACTCGTCTTTTGATTTTACGTAGTACAAGTCGTACTTATTTTTGCACCTCCGAGATGCTGGTATAACCACAAGAACTACAAAACTACATCTTCAACTATGCAGTTGGTGTGAATGTCTCAACGCGTAGACTTCTTTTTTTTTGACACATCCTGCAGTTTCGTGGTAACTCCAGTTTTGGGCCATCTCTGCGTTTGAAGGCAACCTTGGCAGCCACGATTTGAATAGGTACATTCTTGGTTTTCAATGAAGCTCAACCTATTCAACGACTTGTCGATTCGAAGACCTAGTCCACTGACAACAGCGATCGCTCGAAGCTTCGAGAATTCGACTTAAAATGCAAAGTCAATCTACCTTTTTCGGTTAAGGACTTATGTTCGATGCAAGGAGAGCAACGAATTCATTATCTACTCTCGATCATTCAATATAACTTTGAGGACTCTTCTTTTTACTTAAGAAAATGACAAACACGACGAGGAACAGATATTCATCAAGAGGGTAGGCATGGAGGGGTAGCTCTAACAGTGGCTCAACTGATTTAGCGAAAACCGAGCAGTGATAATATCTAAGTAACTTTTAAAGACAGTGCTCTCGTCAACGACTTGTCATGCATTTGCATCTCGTGTTTACTTCGCTGGTGTCAATCCCTCTCATTTCTTCAATCAGGACTAGATGTACGAGCAAAGGATTACTGCTCACACAACTGTAAGTCTACCATCCAAGAGATCTTAATCTCCTCGAACACGTCAATCAATACTAGCAACCTGTTGCTTCAACAATGATCCTATTAATTTCTCATCGCGTAGTAATCTTTCACTTTCCACTGAGTCTGAGCCATCCAGTTCGCGACCACTAGGATAGCGATTTACATGTTTGTACATCATATTTCTTCTACCATGTAGAGCTATCGAAGAAAACACGATCACCTTCATCAATACGTAGAAGATAGTTACCTATAGACACCGCCGAAGATTATCGCTCAGGTATCGTTGGAATGAAAAATCTATGTCAAAGAAATATGCGAATAGTGAAGTTCAAGTTTCATGCATTTGAATCGAGCCCGGGATCCGGTGCTCCATCTTCATATGAAGGTGATACAACTTAAACTTTTTGAAAGTGAAACCATCAAGAAGAGATCTTCATCAAGTTCAAACCCAATGTTGTGATCTCTAATTGTAGGTCTGTTCAGTTCACGGACAACATGCTATGAAGCTTGTTCTGGCACTTGAAAGATCCACGTGCTATTTTCAGGGTCCCACCGAATGAACTCGTTGCCAGCTTCATCGGTTAGTTGCTGTAGTCGTTTCGCTAGCTTCGGATGATCTATCGGGCGACTACTGCTGTGTTCAATTAGGAGTGAGACTATCATTGCTTTGTTCTTCAATGCGTTTCCACCTCCATTGGCATTTGAGTCTCCGTTCAGCATCTTCGTCAGTTCTGATTCGTTCTTGTTCGTGTTCACGTTTTGGTGTACAGTGACGCTCATTTTGCTGATTTCCAAAACTTCATCTAAATTCAAGAACCGCAAATCCAACGCTCCTGGCCAAACGACAGAGCCAAATCCGTAGCGCCCGTATTCAAAACCTACAACGTGCGAGAGCTGCGACTCTGACATTTCTGCGAGCTGCTCCAAACTTGGTTTGCAGTAGTACCCTGCTCTGGTCATTCTCGGCACCATTGACCTTGGCGCAGGTGCTTCTCCCCCACGCCCGGCGTGCATCGCATTTAACTGCGGAGATCCAGGATACTTGGGTGAGTGAGGACCTCCGTTAATGGCCGGCGCGCCTCCAACTAAGTCTTCGCTTCTGTTTTTGTCAAGAATTTGTCACAGTGAGTAAATAAATGGAGATTCTAAGTAAGTAAAAGCCCTCTTCTCGTATGTTGTATCCAGCAGATTTTGTTCAATATAGAATTCAAATGTTTGTGTTTCTTCAATTGCAAGATCCGCGATCGGCCTGCAGGTAGTATCCAACTGAGCAAGATAAATTTAAGTCAGTACTGTCGATGTCGGATGATCTGGGGTTTTATTGCCCATTCTATTTCGGGGAGTGCTGACGTGACTACTGGGGTCGGAGGCTGAGGAGGTGTCCCCGCGGATACTTGCTGAGGGGTTGATGGCCCGCTGTTACTTGCTGACCGCGGCTGTCGCAAAGGCAGACTCGTGTACAGCGGCGACTCGTCAATTACTGGCGCATTGCTCCGGAAACTCTTTGGTGATAGCTGTAGTAAAAGAAAGAGTTGGAGTTCCATCTTCTATCTATCTATATTATTAGGATCACGATCAGGCGAATGAAAATCAGAAAAAATCCATCAAGTGCACAAAGAGCGAGAGGCTAGTGTTCTACAAGAAATCATGGTACTATAGTCAAAATCTATATACGCTTGCTCTGCTAGGGCTGCTTGCGATTTCTCGCGCGTATTCTGATGTCCTTCTTGGACGAGGGTCGCTGCTGGGCTCTGGGGCTGCCTGCCTCCATAAATTTGCAATTTTTGGCGGTGTTTTTGGAGTAATGAGACCTAATGGTCTCGGTGGTGCTGCGTACGCGGTTACCAGATTTTGATCCGTTATTGGCGCTGTTGATTGGTTATTGAATGTGAGTGGGAGTCGTGAAAAGGTAAGTATACATGAAGACGGAAGATTTGCCACTATGTATAACAAACTGTGTTCAAGCTACTTATTAGAGACAACTAAATTCACAAACTAGGAATCTTGATCAAACTGTGTTTAATGTACTAGAGACTTTATTCACTCACTGGGAATCTTGATCGTCGAAGTTAGCAGTACTTTGCCTTGCGCGCTCCTCTGCGACCATCTGCGCTACGACGCCGACGTCTTGCATGGCTTGCAGGAGTTGAGCCTGCGTAGATAGATTTCCGACTCCATTGTTGAAAAGTCCTGCTCCAGCTGCTTGAGCCCCTGCGTTCCCAAAGAGACCGCCTTGTGCCTGAGGTTGCGGCTGCGCTCCTGTATTGCCAAAGAGAGAACCGCCAGCCGGTTGAGTATTACCGAAAAGACCTCCGCCTGCTTGTTGGGCCAGCTGGTTTCCGAAAAGGCCACCGCCTGCTGCAGGCTGCGCTGTGTTGCCAAATAAACCACCGCCTGCTGCGGGCTGCGCAGTAGCATTTCCGAAGAGACCTCCACCAGCGGCAGGTTGCGCAGTGGCGTTTCCGAATAAACTGCCACCTGCTGGTTGGTTGTTTCCGAAGAGACCACCACCAACTGCGGGTTGCGCCGGCTGGTTGCCAAAGAGTCCACCGCCGGCTGGCTGCGAGTTTCCGAACAAGCCGCCTCCTGCTGCCGGTTGTGCTGGCTGGTTACCAAAGAGCCCACCTCCTGCTGCCGGTTGTGCTGGCTGGTTTCCAAAGAGTCCACCTCCTGCTGCCGGCTGCGCCGGCTGGTTGCCAAAAAGTCCACCTCCCGCTGCCGGCTGCGCTGGCTGGTTGCCGAAGAGTCCGCCTCCTGCTGCAGGTTGCGCTGGCTGGTTTCCGAAGAGGCCGCCCCCTTGCGGTTTTGCCTGGTTCCCGAATAGACCGCCGCCTTGGGGCTGGGCGGTGGCGTTTCCGAAGAGCCCACCGCCTTGTTGTGGCTGTGCTGCAGCAGTGTTTCCAAACAAGCCTCCACCTTGTGGTTGTGCAGCGGTATTTCCGAAGAGGCCCCCGCCCTGCGGTTGCGTCGTACTCGAGCTACCTCCTCCAAACAGGCCGCCTCCAGCCTGCGGCTGTTGACCACCGCCAAAGAGACCACCACCCGCCTGAGGTTGCGCTGGCTGCCCAAACAAACCGCCACCTTGTGGCTGAGCTGTTTGCTGCTGACCGCCACCGAAGAGACCTCCGCCTTGATTCGGTTGAGGATTCCCGAAGAGTCCACCGCCACCTGCGGCTGGCGCACCGCCTCCGCCGAAGAGTCCACCACCTTGAGATTGTGCAGGCTGTCCGCCAAATACTCCACCGCCTGCTGCACCGCCAAAGCCCGCTCCACCAGTTGGTGCTTTTCGATTGGCCTGATAGTCCTCCCATCGAATCTCCTCCACAGATTTTTCTGAAAATTCAAGAAAGACATGAGTAGGTATACTACAGTTGTTGCTGAATGGCAAAGAAATCATCTACGAAGCGAAAGAAAAACAATGAAAATGATGTTCTGACAAGCAATAGCGATCTTGATCATAAAACAACTACCTTGATGATGGACGATTATGTTTATGACATCTGTTTCTACTTTTATGCTAGAGAATCAGAAAAATAGATACGATTATAGGCTTGCATCGTCGACATCGAGATGTATTTCTCCAGCGTTGACTTGCCATTAGTGGTGTCTGTCAATTGTGTCATCTGGTAAGGTACAGTTGACCCTACGACTTGGCCCATTTGATTCAGCTGGTTCAAACTATTCTGACCTGCCGCGCCGCCGCCAAAGAGACCTGATTACAAAAAGGTATTGCGGGAGTTTTCCAGTAGTTCTTTTCTCTTCTAAGATGAAAAAATTCTTTGAATATAAGATGTTGTGAACTTATTGTAAGGGTGAAGGACAACGGCAATTGTTGTAGAAGAATATACATAGTTTAGTTTCTTACCTCCTCCTGCGGGTTGCTGTGGTTGTCCTCCGAAAAGGCCGCCGCCAGCCTGTGGCTGTGCTCCGCCCCCGAAAAGGCCGCCGCCTTGTGGTTGCGTCGCAGCACCGCCACCGAAAAGACCGCCACCAGCCTGTGGCTGTGCTTGGGGTTGCGTACTGCCGAAGAGGCCGCCGCCGGTCTGAGGCTGAGCAGCGCCACCGCCAAAAAGACCGCCACCTTGTTGGGCCTGCGGCTGCGTATTTCCAAATAAGCCGCCTCCAGTCGCAGGCTGCGTTGTCTGCCCGAAGGCTCCTCCCGTGTTTGGCGTCGGTGTACTACCGAAAAGACCACCTGAAATGAAAAACGAGTCAAAAATCATTGATCACAAAGTGTTGACAAAGCCATTGCTACTAAAAAGCTGTTTTTGGAGTTTTTTTACTTTGAATTTGATTCATCTAGTTGCCTCATAACTTCCTTGATGTTGAACTGCTCGTTATAATGATAATCTTACCTCCTCCTTGATTTGGTGCAGGCGTCTGGCCAAAGAGTCCTGCACTTTGTGTTGGTTGCGCAGGTGTGGTCATATTGCCACCGCCGAAGAGTCCAGCACCTCCAGTGTTGCCTCCACCAAACAAACCGCCTTGCTGCTGTGCGGGTTGTGCGGCACCTCCACCGAAGAGGCCGCCACCTCCTCCACCGCCGAAGAGAGACATCTTGTCGTTGTGTTTGTTGCTCGTTCAAACCGTGTATGGTCGTCGGCCTCTTTCTGACAATAAAGTGGTACGTGTGAGGTCGTCTGGTGTGGTCACTGCTGATGCAAAATCATTCGCTATTCCGTATACTTTTTCTGTGTTGCGGCTTAAACGAATTTAGTTCTTGTAGTACTCTGGTGAAGTCGTTTTGTATTGTCCCTGAGGGTTCGGTCGTCGTTTTGTCGTTAGCTGTGCTAGCAGTCATGCAATGTTGGCGAGGCTTTGTCGAACCAAACGCAGACCAGAAAACGTGTCACTGACGCTTCTGCTCTACTACTAGCAATTGATTTGTACTTCTTCTTGTGGGTGCCTCTTACTCTTACCTCACGCGAGGACGAGGAGGCATTTTTACCATGTACGACATCCGAGGACTACTACTAGTACTAGACTACCATCTTCTAACTTCTTCACGTGAACAAGCAGTTAGACATGATCATGGAAAGCTCATTACACATGATAGGTTCTTTCCAAAAGAAAACGACATCAATTAACAAAAAGACTCACATCACTACCGTTCCTAGTCGAATAGAATGAGAAAAAGAGATACAAATGTAGTTGTTACGCTCAGATCTTATGTATGATAAGGAATTTACATTTTGACGATACACGAAACCTAGAACTGATGCCATCGCAAGAAGTGGAACAATCAAGACTAGAAACAAGTTTACAACTCTGCACCAGTCTAAATTACAATTCGAAATAATCATTATGATTTAGACTCACTCACCAAGATCGATCGTGGAATTGTAGTAATTCAATTCAGATTCTAACTAACTTTTTTCATTCAAGAGGTTTCTGGCCCGCAAGACGTATACGAGCCACATAGCTCCCGCACGCACAAAGGTCCTCGAGAAATTTAGTTCATGATAGATCGTTAATAATTGGAGATGGAACTGGATCAAGACAACTGACATAGTATTGCAATTCCAAAAACTGGAGAATGGACAGCCAGACTTTGATGGGCCTAGTACCTTGGCAGAAGAACGAGAAGCATGACAGATTCAACATAATAATTCTGAACAAGATCAAGATTTTCATTTCGTTTCAGCAGTAATTGACTCCTGAAGATGTGGCTGCCCTTCACAGATAACTCTGCCGATAAATTTTTCGTCATGATCGGAAAACCCGAAAGTGGTGCATAAACACAGCCCATTTCACAGTGTAGATTGCTGATCATTTTAGGTGTAATCGTTCTTGGAACTCCATTCGAAACCTCAGAAATGTTGGCTTGACCTTGATGGATCTTCATGAATATTTATATTAATCTAATTTATTAGTCGTCGTGGGATGAACCTGAGCTGCACCGAGTCGGCGAGTCCGACCGCGATGGCGAAAAATGATGCTTCATGCCGTCACCCTTGCTTCGCGTCCATCCGTGACCGTCTGGAAATTCGTATCTGTCGTCCCCCTTCCCATCACGCTCGAAGAAGGCACCATTGTCGTGCCTATAGCCAAATCCACCATCGGGAAGAGAGTATCGCACGCCTCCCTTGCTGCCTGTTCCCTTCGGCGGTGAGTCACCTTTCATCTTTCCTTTTCCCTTCTTCCAGCAATCGTCATCATCAGAGTCGTAACCTTTCTTCCCTTTGCCCTTGCTGTACTCGTCGTCATCATCGGAGAAGTAGTAACCATTCTTCCCTTTGCGTTTGCCCTTGCTGTACTCGTCGGCATCATCAGAGGAGTTACATTCCTTTCCTTTCGACTTGCCGTCTCCTTTGTTGCGCTCCTTCAAGCAGTACTCTGGTGGTTCGATGACGTAATTCTGTCGCAATTCTTTTTTCGCCTTCACGTGCGGTTGCGTGAAGCCGCGCCCATTGTGAGTGTCCTGATAGTCACCAGGTGCCCTACTGCCGCGGGGAGCGGAGTAGGTCGTGTTGTACTCGTGCTTACCGTGTCGGCAGGGCCTGGGATTTGCGAACTCGTACCCACAAGGAGAGGCTCTGTGTTGGGTATTGATACCAGGTTGGAACAATTATGATATCATATTGCTGTTTTTAAGCCAACACTAGTCATGTTCAACAACTTCGTAGAGTGTAATCATGCAGCATCTATTTTCACACACTATTCTATCATTATCAATCTGTCTCTACAATACAGCGGTAGAACTGCAAAAGCACAGAAAATCTAAATTAGTGGGTATTTGTATAAATTTACCCACGCACAAAGTTTCCATTTTCGATTTGGCGAAATCCGTTGTCCATCAAAGTTTGCGGCGACATCTCGGCGACAGGCTTCGTGTCGCCAAGACATTTCGGCCGTTTCGTCATGATTTGTCTTTTTCTGATTCTTATCTACTAGTGCTCGGTTGAAAACTCCTAGGTTTCCTGTTCCGTCTATACTTGTAGTCTACTCAGTTCAAATTTGATGATGATAGTGTTCATACATAGTCTGACCTTGGTGTGAGAAAGAACTTATCGAGTTTGACCTTGCATGAACGATGAAAGGGAAACGGCGATAAGATGAAACAACTGAAAAAAGTTAATGAATCAAAAAAAAAAACCACTAAGCTTACGCGTAAAATGCTATAAGACAATTTTTTTTTGTAGGGTTTGACGCAAGAGGAGTATCTCTCTGAATCGCACGCCACACACAGAAACATCTCGACCGACCTACCCAGGGTCTCCTCCTGTCTCGAATTCCAATCCTCGCCTTTTCACCGACAAGCTTTTCCACGACCTCATTCGAGTTTCGAAGTGCTCACCATATCTATGCTTCTTCTTTGCATCTCTCGCCCCGCAAGAACCAAGCCCTTTTCATATGAAATTCGAGACCACTAGAGTGGTCCATGCTTTTCCGGTAGATGTTGATTTGTCATGAGGTAAACCAGAACGGATTCTTCGAACAGCCACCTTTTCGCAGTTCATTTCTGCATTACGACCCGACGTATCATTCTCCTTTCTTAATGCAGTTACCTGGAACGAATCAGAAATGATCGTCGGTCGTCCGAAGAATATTGATGCGCATCCGCCCGTGTTGCGTACATCTTCGACTAGTGCAGCACCACACTTTTAATTTTTGTTCTCATAGTACATACTTACTGTCCTAGACGACAGAGAGAGAGAGACACTAAGAGAACATGAAGGCATAAACACAACATAGATGACAGGAGGTGACAAGTCGCACATGCGCATGTCAGTCAACAGAGGGAATCCAATGGTATGAATAGCTTACGGCAAATAAAGCACTCATTATGCGCACCAAAATTATATATGTTGTTGTTCTATAATCGTAGATTACGATGTTGACTCGTGCAGAGGTCTTAGAACCTTCATAGTCTCAAGACTTACTGTCGCGTGCTACCTGAAGCTTCATGACTCATTACTGGCATCAAATTTTGTGTGTAATTGCAGTGCTGTAGAATAACGATAAGCCAAAGCCAAACAAGGGTAGAATATAAATTTACATGTAGTACATCCTCATCTGACTACTAGTAGTAGTCTTATCAATATCAAGTCTTTATCTCACATTTGACGCAAGAACGCGTCAGGCTTTCATTTGGATTCCCGGTTGACCACGAGCTTGCTTCTGTCGTCTTCCGGTGTGTCATCTTGATATTCTTCGCGTGCGTCTGGTGCTGTCACCGTCATAGGCTGTGCTGCTCCGAGCTTATGCGCTGCAAAGCCGGAGTTCCTCTTCTTGCTCTTTCTGTCCGTCAATCGCGAGGAAGAACTGTTTTGGATTCATTGGAGGACAGCTCGATAGGAATTCAGTCAAAATTCACTCGAGTTTCGCACTAGAAATAATGGAACCGTAGCCCTAGCGAAAGTAAGAACAAGGAGAATATATGCGGGTGTGCTATGGCCTCTGAATAAATTTGAGTTCGCTCAACACGTCTAATTTCAATCGCTCTCCTATGGGAACTCTAATTACTTACCTCTTTTCCTCTTCGACAGCGTCGCTGTCGTCGCTACGTTCATCGGTTTCAGGGCGCATTGGATACTCGTAGCCGTCGCAAACTCTTACGCCTTCGATTGGGAGAAACCAGCAGAGTCCGAACTTTCCGCAGAGTTGTTCTGTATTTGCCCAACAGCCTAGGTCGTACCTGCTCATTGCCCCAAAGTAGCCGCCCATCTCTAGCGTGGTGGTGTTCGCCATCATCAGGTACAGATGCGTTCCGTACAGACCGCCCACCGACAGACCAAAAGCCATCCCGACAAGAGCGCCGATGCTGGCTAGAATGATATGAGCGGTCGCTGCTTGCGCGTTGCCGGCAAAGATGATCATGTTTCGGTACCCTTGCTCCAGCTTCTTCAGGCCAGCCTCATTCGGTTCTTCGACTAAGTACTTGCTGCCAGAGATAAATCCGATCATATCGGGCAGCAACGTGCCGAAAAGGACCATGCAAGCGCAAAACGTGTAGCCCAGGAATTGGATGAAATACTTGTGGTTCTCGATACCAATGGTATTCCCCGTCCAAGGACAGTAGTGATCCATGCGCCGAATACACTGGTTGGTCGTACCGCAGTGATGCGCCCTTGGTGGTCGTCGCGCGTGGCAACGACGACACATCGTCCCTGAAGACGGACAGAGAGGAATATGAGAATTTAGGAGAGTCAGTGAATGGTCTCGAGACGAAGAAATGCTCGAGAAATTCGAAAAACAAATCAAAACATCCTCGTATTCAAAGCTACACAGAGGACCTGGTACTGGTAATGAATGTATGACAATGATTCATGCTAACATCAAGAAGTATCAGATATATTCTTAGGAGTCAAATCAGTGCTAAGTACCTATGTCCTCCTCCATCGCCCTCTGCTGGTACTCTTCTGATATGCAGCCGGGTTCTGTACAGAGCACCTTGAAGTAGGCCCACAGGGCTACACCTAAGAGAGAGTCGAAGAGGATACCCAGCGGGATGGCGTAGTAGAGCTCAGGGTGCATAATCGCACATACGTAGAAGTTGAAGACGAAGCCACAATACGCAAAGAGGACGAGCACGAAAAACACGGGAATCAGCGCCAAGCAGCGCGTTGACCGTGAACGAGCAAACATCTTCGGAACTAGGTTCTTTTGCACTTACTAATTTCAGATTTTTTCAGTCACACAAGCTTGAAGGCAACGCAATAGATGTTATCAGGTTAATTGTTTGTAATTCATCAAGATAGTGGATAAAGGTACGTTGCAAAGTCGTGATTGGTAGTTCAGATACGTGCTAGTGCTTGGATACTCGTGATAATTAACAGGAGTAGAAAACCAACTTATACTCACTTGCTACTCTCAAGTCCATCTGTTCATGCAAGCACGTAAGAAAAACACTTATTTCGTACTAGAGTGGGCGCCCCGGTTGCAGGAGTCGAAACGACTCCAGCAACAGAAAAGCGACCACTCGACCTCAGCTAAAACTTTGGGGAGGGGAAATGAGGTCGAATTTATCAAAAATCATACCTGTGAGTTCATGTATCAGGAAAAGCTAGAATGTTTCGGATTGTTCTAGACTAAGGCTCATGTCAGAGAAATAATGTTCCTGGGATACACTTAAACGAGAGTTGTTCTCTACGGGTGAACTTGAAGAGAGATATCTAGACACATGATAAACTCCATTGTTGCACCAAGAATGCATCAGGATCAGGAAAGGGAAGATCATAGGACTTACCGACGACGTAGCATACTGCACCGTAGACTTATCTCTCCATGGAGTTAGTATGAGGTTAATCTCGCCTCATACCGACAGATTGCTCGCTCGATCACTAAACAGATTGTTGGTAGTAAATACTCTCTCTTAGCCCTGAGTCGTGGTTACATCATCGTATCCATAAGGCATTAAACTACATTCGATACCTCTCTCACGGTCGCACAAAGGTGGACATCAGACGACTTCAACACTCAGACAGATCGAGTACTTCTACTTGTTCTCATCCGACAGACTATGATGCCTTGCATTCTATGATCGAGACCGACCATGTTACAATATATGAACTGCAAGGAGAAGAAGACCTTTGGCAAAACAGCCTCTTATTCGACGATGAAGTAGATAAGCCGCGGGAACCGAACTTTATCTTGCCGTTGCTGAGTCAATGGTCCTTGACCCTGATCAAATAATCTGAGAGGGTAACAATTGGTCACTGGGTTAACTGGGCCATTTACACTTATGCTTGTGAGTCTGGGTGGAAAATTAAGGATTTAGTATGAATAGAATCAAGAGAAATGAGTCAGTTGGATTGATATCTTGTTCCCTATGGTGTTTATAATCAAGAAAAGCAAATACCCAAATTCAATGCGCAAAGAAACAACTCAAATCTAACAAAAAAAGACTGTTCAGCAAAGAGTCAAAGGTTTTAAGCGAGCAACCTTTTTCCAACATCTCAAAATCACATTTCCCTGTTCACATGTCAACATCACAAGTAAAAGGAAGTAGTTAGCAAGAATGGGGAGTCTGAATATAGTCCAAGTACAAAGTCAAGCAAGTGAGCCAACGCCAAGCGCAATGACATTATGGTAGCGTTGTGGGGTTTGGGCTATATGCTTTGTTATAGGGCCAACACGCCCGAAGGTCGGTGCATCTGTACAACACGACCTCCACGTGACAATTCTAACTAGAGTTAACGAATCTACAAGACAAGTCAAACAAGTATTCACTATTCACTGCCACAAACTTCAAGTATACCTTTCTAAACCACCTCAACCTATCTCAAGATCATAAATTCAATTTCTCCTTCATGGCGCATCGGTCCCATGAAAGGATTTATAAATGTCCAGGGAGTGCGCTCCAGGGTCGTAGTCTGCACTCATCATGAGATGAGCCGTGCCCTCACCAGGCCACTCCGTGAAATACTCCCATTTGTCCCTCTTACTTTCGTTCCCGTCAGGCCAGACCCGATAGTCAGCAGCTGTTTCGCCAGGTCGAGTTAGAAAACGAGACAGAGATTACGTGTTGATGGATTGTCATGTGGATTGTACTTGTACGGCGATGGAGAAAATATGATACAGGGTCTGCCCTGTCGCTCACAGCCACTGCCCATAAGAGAATTTGATCTTTAATTTTGACCCGGTGCTTGAGTTTTTTCCGCTTATCAGCCTCTTTCGCACGATCTTCTTTTCGCTTCTGTTCGAGATGCACGTCGATGCCACGAGGAATTGTGTGCTGCATCTCGCGGCCGTATTCATCGACTACGGTCACAACCTTGGGAGAGATGGCGAAGATATTGTTATTGTATTGATCATGATAGCTACTAGTCCTCTGTCTATCTCTACCCTGCTCTCTTTTGGTACTACAGGTACTGCGGACGGAAAGTGTTCTTATCACCCTCTGTCTAAGGCTATAGAACTCTACACCAACAACCCATGAGGTATTTCTGTGGCCCACTCTGCACTGAATCAAGACAATTCACCTTGAACAATACCTCTCGATAGTCACTGACGTTCGCGGGATCCGTGAAGTATTTTCCTTCTCCAGCTTCGATGTCTAAGCGTCTCTGCTCTCTCCTGTCGTATTCTGCCTGCGCAAGATTCTCCTTCTCAATCGCATATTTGAAGGCACAATACCGTAACCAGTCGGCCCTAGGCAACGGCTTGGGCTTCTTCTTCCCTTGAACTTCGGTCAGCTGGAAATACTCATCTTCTGAGGAATCATCGAAATCACTGCCACGGTCGTCGAGATACCTATGGTGGACGAAACGCTTCTATTTGAGTACGGATTGAAGTCGTGTTAGTATCGAGCTAGAAGGTTTGTTCCTCCACGCCTATGATTGGACGTTCTCTAAGTCTAACTCTGAGTCTGACTTATAGCAGTGACCATATTCAAGAAGAAGACGATAAACGTACCTGGTGGAGGAAAAATAAACAGTGGTCATATACATGAACAAGGAAGAACCACTTGTAATACCTAGCTGTGATCATATGCAGTTTCCTCGGCAGTGGCGGGTACTTTTCCCCCTTCGGTATGTGTGGCCTGTAGACGCCGAAATAGATGCGCTTGTTTTCCGTAAACTCGTTCCAAGTTTCTTTGATGGTGGTAAAACGCTTATAGAGGTCGTCAAAATCTACGATAGGAAACCACGCCTTGTCTCCGGCTCGTCTGGAAGTTAGGACCGCCACTATTTCGTCATTGACGCGCCATCCCCATCTTTTCTGCACAGGGTCATGGAAACCGATAACTTTCGTAGTGTTCGGCTCCTATGTATTTGATGAGGGGACAAATATTCAAGGAAATAGCAATCTCGAGTTATATGCTTTATCGAATTTCAGTTTTCATCATTGTAGTCCACAGATATTTACAAAATTCGAAACAGATGATGGAGAACCGAAGCATAGATGACAAAATTTTCTCTAGAAAAATCATAACTATCAAGATGTGACCTTGGTCAAGCGAAAGAATGCAAACTTACTATACCTCAAACTTCAGCCCCAAGCTTCCTCCGTGTCCTTTGAAGAGGTCTACAGCGATGACGAGACTCGGATATTTCTCTACGGGGTCGTAGTAATCTTCTTCTGCGGCTTCTCTTTCGTACTCCTTTTGATAGCGAATGCGCTCCCCCTGGGGGCTTCGCGGTTCCACACTATAACTCTTCAAACCGCGTCGTGGATCTGTAGCCTCTAGAGACTGCGTATTGAACTCAAACGGCTGCGTCGAGAGATCTGTACCTAATGGCCACCGTCGCTCCCGTCGTTTTGGTGATATTTGGTCCATCAATTGCTGTAGATTTAGTTAAGTAGAATGGGAAGATTGACGAAATCAAGATAATTGGAGAAGAAGATGGAGGAAAGTATATTTATAGGATTTACTTACTTGTTCTTCTGATATGATTAATTAGCGTTATCGCATGGGTCGTATGTTGTGCCAGAAGTTGTAGTAATCGTGGCCTATAATCATCAACTTCCAGAAGCAGAAAGTACTTGTCCTTTCGCATGTGGCATGACTTTGAATTTGTCTATTGCGGCATGTCTTCGCGCTTCCAGGGCCAGTTCGTCGTCAATACTCGCATCTCCTAGGATATCTGTCGCCGTGAGTCCGCCTGAGAGCAAATTCTTCGCGTCCTCCGCGCTTAGGAATTCGCCACTCGTTCCCCCAAACGTCGAGTCCCCAAGCGTTTCGTCTCCGAGGGTTCCCTCCAAGGCCTCGTCTAGCTGCTGCGCCGCAACCGCGTCAATCTGAAGAGTACCTCCTGGAGAAGCTCGCATCTGTTCTAGCAGCCTTTCGTACTGCGGGTAGGTGCCCTCCGCGTCGTCCCCGACCTTCACGAAACCGCCAGTATTGGTCATGAGGTACCTCGCGCCATCACTAGACTCCAGCCAAGCACGCCGGGCAGGACCCATCACGTATTCGCCGTCCTCATTCAACTCTAAGGCCCTGATCGTCCTAGGGTCCCGCAAACCCTGACTGGCTTGCAGCTGGCGTAGAGCCAGGTAGCGATCCAACTTCAAGCCGGCTACGAATTAGAGAAAGAGCAGCTAGGAAGTTGTACATAAAGAGCAGAGACTGAATAGAACTTGTAATGCTATAAATGCAAATGAACAGAAGAAGTTCGTGAGTCAGAAGTGACGATTTCATCTGAGAGAGGAGTCATAATTTCTCGCTCTCTTTTTCAGTTTGTTCAACTTTCGCGAATCGTCTTTCACTCGCCAATCACTCGCTTTCAGGGTCTCCTTTGCCCGGCCTATCGTGGCATCCTGTTTCCCCTTCAACACGTCGCTGGCCAAACGCACAGGAAGGCCACCGACGTTGTCCGAGGCGTCTATCGTAGCCCGTTTGTCGACGCGGTCGAAATCTTCCTTGAAATTGAGCTTCTGCCCTGCCCGCACGACCTTGCCAAACTGGTCTCGAGTTAGAGCTCACACTAATTCATATCCAAGAGAAATATTCTCAGAATCTAACAAGGAAAGGGAAAGATTTAATCTGTGAAGATGAATTGTCGGGAGCCTTAATAAAGCCGCCATTTTCTCCGATGGAGTTTTCGCTCTTCGCTTCATAGTAGGAGAGGCTCCACTTCCATGCAACTCCTTTTTCCCCTGCTTTGTGGGAGAAGTCTGTCCGGGTCGCGCTCTGTTTGCTGATTTAGAAGAGAGGAAACTACGTGGTGATGTGGTCTGGAAGTGGAATTCAAAACCCTAGTACTACTACTACGCTGACCCTAGTACTCATTATGGCAGAAAAAACGTCCACGTTCAGGAGCTACAGTTAACAAGTTTCATAACAACTGACCTAGATCTAGAAGTGTGGTAATCGTAATAGTACTTACAAGGAGTTACTGTTTCTTACGTACTGCAATGTAGCCGTAATCTTTCCATCGTCCTCATCCGACGAGCTCTCTGGAACCTCGACTTCGTCGTTCATGTTCTCTAGTATCTTGCCTGCAGTTACCTTTTTGCCCGCGTACTCCAAATCGTACATGGTTGGGTCCGTTTTTTGCCGCCGTCTCTCCCGTATTATTCGTATTCGCTCTAACCGCACCATCCGTAGGTACAGCGCTACCCCTGCGGCTCCAGCTATGGCCAACACGATACAGAAACCAAGCAGAAGATCCATAAATACTGTAGGTTGCGCGATCTCTTCCTCCGGTGAAGCGGTCAGGATAACTGCGAGTGTTCGTTGAGGTGGGAAGTAGATAATATCTGTGTACACGTAAGAAATAAAGTGGGAGAACTTACACCAGGCTGACATAGATTATAAATTAGTCCCGAGTGTAGTATGATGTAGAATATATAATTCCAGAAAGTTACATTGGTATTTGTTGTACTGAAGCACAAATGGATAACTGTGATGCTGATTGAAACCAAAGAAGACCAAAATCTTTATGTTTTCTCAAACAAAAGAGCATGTCAATTAGAGCCTGAAGAACTCCAATCTACTGCTACCGCTTCGTGTTAGTCCCTGTGTGTAACAGAGACCAAGAAAAACTGTATTAACACTCAATTTTATTAGTACTTTTTCTTAGCCAGCATTCCCTGTCGGACTGTTCCGTGTTTCCGGGGCTCAAGCTTGGTTGGCAGCCTAGGCGGAAGCCGTTCAATTTCATGGTTCTTACCTCATCCAAGAGATGATGCCTACATGGAATTGGACCTGGACCTGCAGAGACAGTGGCTCCCAAGCAGTCCGTATCAATCTCGCAGAGAAAAAGACACGATATTTTGGACGTGGTCTCTATGGCTATCGTAATCATGTCGTCGTAGACACAGCAGCCATTTCCTTGCAGCTCCATATCAACAGTGCTCTGCGTATCATTGGTTTCCATAAGAAGCACCGGTTCCGGGTGGAGAATATTAGAATGAGGACATCATGGCTGCTTCAATAGTAATATGTTTGATTCGGGAGAGAACTACTCCATTAGTCCACTGCTGCTGCTGCTGCTGCTGCTGCATGCTTTCAGGCTCCAAATTTGTTCCACAATATTACGGTAGCGTCGGCATCTAAATAGTAGGTGAATTGTACGTACTAGTAGTAGTACGAACAAAGATTGATACTAAAGCATAGGAATCGGGCTGCAGCTTCGTTTTCGCGCGCATTCCCCTCGACAGATAAAGTCGCCTGAGCCACCCGATGCGAGCTCATCGCACATTACCGGCACCTCCGGTGGACACCGTCGGTTCCCCGCTGGCCGCGTGCTTGGTATAGGTCGCTCGAACAAGGTCACGATATTTCCGAAAGCGTCCAAGGTTTCGTTGTGCGGACAGCAAAGGGAGCTATCTTGATGCCACGCTTCCACGTAGTGCCAGGGCTGGGCGATCGCGGCGCGGTAACCGGTCGTACAGCATCCCCAGCCGTCAAAGTTCACGTGACATCGGAAATGGTCCATGCACTCCATGATATTGGCTTCTCCGCTGTCCTTCTTCCAGGGACAACTCGGATGGTCCTTACGCAGTTGATTCGCTAGTTGCAATAATTGGTCGAACTGCGGATTCCCGACCACATCTGCGTCTTCTAGACCCTTGGTGGCTGCCATTTCCGTCGGCAAAGACAAAAACGGCATCTCGTTCTCGTTCGGCAGATTGGCGACTCGACATTGAGGCAAGTAGCGAATCTTCTCCAGAAAAACGCGTAAACTCGCTTCGCATGCCTCACTCAACTGCGCCTCAGCCAATCCACGACGCCCAAACATGAAATAGCGCTCGTAGTCGGCGTAGCAGTTATCGTCCGCCTGATGGACCGGGTTCTGCAGCTCGGGAATGAGGCAGTCACAGAAGGCAATATTCTCGAGATACGACGAGCACTGGTACTGATCGAAGGGCATGTAGCTCAACCGATCACACCCGTCAAGGTAAAACGTCGGGGGCCAGAAAGTGTACGGCTCGATCGTAGGATCGATCGCATTACTCTGCAATAGTCGTGGCGCGGCCAAGGAGGTGTCACTATTTTCGGTGCTTGCAGAATGTCGATCCCTACTAATGCTAATAATAGTAGAGACTCCAGTAGAAGCTCTGGTACTTCTGCTGCTAATATCCGAGACATGCTCTCCCCGACTGTTCTTCTCTAGAGGCTCTCTTATCTTGACACGCGGGGGCGTGTCCAAGGGCTCCTTATTCTCCGTGTCTCTGTCAGTCGTGGATGTCTCCAGTAACTGACGTCGTTGCGTATCGCCATCTGCATGATAAAACTCCCCTTCGCTAATGAAAGGGTCGTCACCGGAGAAGGCATAGCTATCGCGTTTTTCTGCTGGCGCCAGCTCCTGCATCCCGAGCAAAGCTGCAGTCTTACCATCTCTGACCTGCAATTTCGGCCGCGGCCCATTAGTTGTTCTTGAACCTACGACAAGATCATGGACATTATCCGCATCTGCCTGGTGCTTCATGGCTCCAGGACTTCTACTAGGTGAAGAAAACTTGCCTTCTGTCCGCGATCCGGGAGCAGTGCCGGGATTATCCCATGCTCCGCTTGTTGACAAAATCAATTCCTGCTGCAGCTTCCTGGGGTTGAAAACCATGTGCAGATCAACATCTTCGTCGATCCCCCTACCACCTCCTATTTCCACATTGGTTTCTTCGTGGGCTGCGACTCTGGAGTGCCCTGGTCTACTTTCGCTAGAGGGCGAGGGCCTTATCGAAGCAGCAGCAGCACCCTTCATGCGCTTCATGCCCCCTCCCAGTTTTCTTCGACTAGCAGCCCGACTCGTGTTCTTCCTACGCCGCTGCCGTCTGTTTCGCGCCAAGTGCACAATGGGGGTAAAATCCGTTGACAATCTCGCATTCTCCGCACGCCATTGCACAGTCTTCCGCCGTGCACGTTCTGCAGCTTCTGCTTTGAGCCGTTCGCGTTTACCGGCATCTAGTTCCGCAAGGAGAACGTCAGAAATAGAGACTAATTCACGATACTGCTCAATACGGTTGTCGCTCCCATATCGGAATCGGTCGTCGTGCACGCCGGCCGAACATGTGGGACTCTGGTTAATCTCTTCACCGACTTCCTCCCCACATCGTCCCACTTTTCCTCTGCTTCCTGCGTCTGAATGAACAAGAGGACTCGCGTCTCCCGCATTAGAAGAATCCTGCCGTTGGTTCTTCACATTCGTCGAGGCTCCTCTGCTGGGTTCTTCATCTAGCTGAATCAGATTGGTATGGTCTTTAAGACTGCCGATATTGTTTCCGCTATCGTCGACCTCAAAAAGCTTTCTCACTTCAGCTTTGGACAAAACGCGATGCTCACCGTCTGCTGTCATGAAAAAATGTTCTTCCTTGTTTCGCGGTTCCCCATCTACTTCTCCTCCTCTTATAGCATTTGAAGAGTCTTCCAGTAGTCTCCGGGATGCAGGTTCCACATTACGACCATTTTTACCCTTCTTCTCGGCCGAAGTAAGTCCATCGCTTCCTGCTAATGACCGAAGCAATGTGCTGTTTGAGGTATTGCCGCTACCACTTGACGCCGCCGCTGCTGCTGCTGCTGCTGCTCCAGCAGCTGGTGTGGCGCCTCCAGCACCTGGCGTCGTCGTTGTCGTGGTCGAGGTCACGTTCCAAACTTGTACTCCTCTAGGCCGTATTCGGGTGTAAAAGAATTTTTGGGTTTCGCACAATCGCGCCCGACAGTGCTGACTCCACTGTCCATCCCTTTGCTCCACGTCCTTGCGGTACAAAAACGGGTGATATTTGGTGATGTACACGTGGGCTAACTCGTTGCAATTCACAACATTCAGCTGGCTCGCACTTGCGGTCAGCGCGTCGCGGCGGCCTTGGGTCAGGATATTGCAAACAACATTCTGCTCCAGAGTTCGGTTGCGGTACAGCCGATCGAGCTCCGCCTCTAGCATCATGCACTCCAAAGGCCAGTAGTCTAAGTTCGCGGTAGTAGCCACCTCACAGCTCGCCTTCGCAGACGCCATATTTCGCTGAACACGTAGGTACCTGCTGACACATTGGATGTAGGTGCCATGCTGTGACTGCGAGTCACTTAATACAGCGTCTACGCAAACAAGAAGAGTTCATCCCTGTGAGGAACAAGGCGAGGAAGCGGAACTGAGGATAGCCATATACATAGTTAGAGGTACTCGACATTCTACTTTCATCAGGACAAAACTAGTACTAAATCAGAATACGCGTCGCACGTATCCATTTTGAACGTAGTCTCGTTTGCAAATTTCCTCTTCAGATCGAAGACTTCGAAGGCGTATTCGGCTGAGTAGGTGTCAATCTGACAACCGTCCGGTCGCCCAGGAGTCGAAAAGAGTATTTTATCACAATTCTCGAACATTTGTGCCATATAGTTCCCGTTGGGCAACGAATCTCGCAGCTGCTCCACAGCTGAATCTGGAATTTTCGCATCTGCGAACCAAAACAACGGCAACAGCAGGAGTGCGAGCCAAAAGGCAAAAAGGTGGCACAACAAAGAGCGTCCTCTGAAGTAGGTGGCAAAGAGTCGTTTCAGAAATAGAGCATGTGGGGGAAGGAAGGTGGCCAGGGCTGACGGTGCTCCATAGCCGCTATGCGGTCTTCGGATCTTCATGGCACTGCCAGTGACCAATTTTTTGGACTCTCGTCCATCACAAGAATAGCTGCACAATCTTCTCCGAAGCTGTAGTTCTTTGCGCCGTTTTCTCCTTCGACTTCGTGGTATCGCATTTCTCGAGCACCTCGTCGTCGACACGGGTAAATGGGATGTTGCCATTCTTCTTAGTTGAATTTGACAAGCCTGTTGAGGAAAATCTTCTCGGGTCACCCCTTCTGGATCCTCTTCTGGTACGACTGATACACCGTCCATATCGTCATAGAAGGGTCGTTCCTCTGCATCTGCATTCGCTACAACAGGATCCTCGCCACAAATCTTATGAAGGCTGTCTCGAGATTTCCGCCTCTTGCGTTTACGGAAAATGCGTAAGGGCGGTCGCGCCGCACCATTTCCTACCACCTCCTGCATCGTCCTAGAAATTTCAATTTGCTATCTCGTTCGCTGAAAAGGATCAGGATGCCTTACCTGCGAGGCGTTTCTGATCTGACGTTCGTGCTCCGCCATTGCCGATATCGGAGATACGAGCGATTTCCGGAAACGCTGAAAGTGTGCGTTGCTCCGAAGTTCTTACATTTTTCGAAAAACAAGCTAGATCTCGAGGAGGACCCTCTGTTTCATTCGTGCCGGATATCCATCAAATAAAAGGAACAGACTTCATGTCCAAGTTTTCATTGTTGAAAAACAAACTAGGAGGTCGAAAGCTGTTTCACTGTTGTAGCTCGTGTACATGGTGCTACAGTACTTACATATACTACTATGTATGCTCAATTTTGATTTTTCTGAACTGCAATTTCTATGCATTCGATATGCCTCCTTTTCTCCGTTTTTCCTTTTCCATTTGTCGTCGAATAATTTAAGGCCAGTTTCGCTACTTTCTTCGAGACCAAGCTATCGCGCGCATTCCGCGATAGCGTGTTGCATGAACAACAGCTCGTCTCATCCTTGCAATTATGGAAAGAACTTCATCCCACCAGTTACGACCTTTTCTTTCAGCACTCAGTTTTGTAATTCTCATCACTCTGCAACAAAACTTCAAACAAACCTTAACTTAGCTCAACGGACATCATCAAATCGGGAACACACTCGCTAAGGCACGATCATGCTATGTCATGGTGCCTCTTGTGTGACTTTTTTTGGTGTCCGTGGGTAACTGTCTACACGCCCGAGGCATTGAATTACAGGACGAGCAGAATATTTAGTTATTTGTGTCTACTTGGTAGAAGCTGGCCAAGCAAGCATAAGTATCTACCTCATGCCACATCATGATCTTGTTCTCACAAAAAAAGGTCTGTGTTCCATTCTACTACGCATCTGTGTCGACATAATTTCTCCAAATTCCAGAAAAACTTCCTACATCACAACAAATCATTTTACAAAGACGCTTTTCCAAAAGAAGGGAAATCTTCAGGTACATGTTAAGGGGGGGTAGTAGTTGTGGGGTGCGGGTACCGTGACTGTTTGTCTCCCCCCCCTCTTCTTGGGAGTACATGTTGTCCAGCTTGGGTAACTAATTTTCCCTCTTCGGTATTTCCGTAGGAATTTCGGCTTTCGACGCAGGGACCAGATTCTCCTGCCAACTTTTCCTCGTTCTTTTCCCAGCGCCAGCTCCATCTGGGGAAGGTGTTGCTGCTGGATTATCACCGGCAGCTGGAGGAGCAGGAGCTGTTTCGTCAAGCTTCCATTTACCTGTTGCCGCGTCTTTTACATAAACCGTCCGCTTCGATTGTGTACCACCAATGGTCATATTAGCCATCATGGTGTTCCACAGTCCCACTCTTGGCTTCACTTCCCCAATCTTCGAGGCGTCTACTATTATCGCCGGTTCCTGAAGCGAGAGGAAATAAATTCGAAATTACCAATAGTTGTGAGCCGGGATGCACTTACATATAAATATGCCGCAGCTTGATGAGGTGCCCAGAGGTATGTCTTCTACCACACGCGCTGAAATCCATCTGATAGAGCTATTTATCATGTCAGTCTTAAGGAAAACAGTCAACAGCAGCCGAACAGCAGTTGGCATAACTCGTTGCCAATACTTCGTCTTGCTGCGCTCAAAATGTTATTGGATGAGCAGGTAAGTAAAGGATATAAAAGGTCAAGACCTGTTAGTTTTGCGAGTCTTTTCAATCTCCCATATCTTCGTCGGCGTTCATATCCTCGTAAGAAGAACTACCCATGTAAAACTAAATCAGCGAATCTCCAGCTTAAGTTGTAAATCTAAAAAATATTACCACTAGCGCTTCCTCGACTTCTGTCTTGTTTTGCTTCGCTTCAGCAAGTTTGGCGACTTTTTCGCCCTGGGGCGCTTTCATCTTTTTAGAAATCTTAGTATCACATTCCACAGGCAAATTCCCTTGATGGGCCACTCCCTCAAAATATTGCATCCGATTGCCGTTCATAGCGTATTCATGGTACTTCACCTCCGGTGGAAGACTTGCTAGGCTTCCCTTTATTATTGGCGCATCGAGCACTTTCCTCGGTGGCGGACCCCGGTTAAGCAGCTTGTCAAGCCGCCGCAGGGCACGGTCATCGCTAAACGCAACAGGTTGTTTTTTCTTTTCGATTTCCGGAGGGTCAATATCCAGGTACTCCTGTGATCTTAGCCTTTCTTCGCCATGCCTATACTTCCTGTGCTCCCGACCACCGTCCTCCGACTTGTACTTTCGATCCTTATGCTCCCGATCGCCATCTGACTTATCTGACTTGTGCTTCCGTTCTCTGTGCTCTTTGTCTGTGCCACTTTTGGGTCTACTGCTCTTGTAGGAGTGCCCCTTCTCATCTGTCGACATCTTCGAGGCTATGCGAGCAGGTGGACAACCCGGTCACGCAAAACAATACATAGTAGCAGTAGTGGTCCAATCTTGGGGAAAAGGAATGAACATGGATCGAGTTCCCTCGTCCGTCAATAAACTACGCCTACCGTCGTTTATTAGTATTACTGTCTTTCCTTTTTCAATCTTATATTTTCTTGGTTTTGAACGACCTAGGATTTTAACATAACACGACACGAGTAGCCAGACCACTGCTATGGTTCAAAAATCATTATCACAAAGAACTGATGAACAAAGAGATCCCGAAAGAAAGCGTTACTAACGAGTTTATCATGACTCGAGTAGGAAATAAGAACAAGACCAACGCGAGGACTCATTGTCCTCTTCCACTATCGATATGAGCAGGTGCAGGTCAGCTACTTCTTTCACTACGGTTCATTTCTATAATCAAGCCCTCATTCATAGTGCGCGTGAAAAAAAATGTTGATGTCATAGAAGCAATGTCAAGGGTGCAAATATGTATTTTGAAAAGCCTCAATATCAAGGTGTCGCGGGCTGCGAATCATCCTCCAACAGCCTGAAATATTATTGCTGAATCCGGACAGACGCTTCAAATCGGAAATCATGTACTCCACAACTAGAAATAATCAATTATCTCGAGCTCAGATTCACAGAAGATGGCTATCGGTTCTACAGAAGATTTTTCATACTTGGTTCTCATTATCAGCCTTCATTCGCGCTCAAGAACAGATGTCTTGTTCGCATAAAGTTGTTTCTTAGAAACCGCCGAAGATTCATCCCTCGTCAGCAGATGTTTCTTTAGAAACAGAAAACCTCTATCCAGGACGGCAAGGTCAATACATACGACCATTTACTCACTCCGAACAGAAGCTGAGGATGGAGCCGAACTCTCGGTACCGGAAATGCTTCTGATATCTCATTTCCTCTCTAGTAATAAGCATCTCGAAGAAGTCGGTATGCGCCCCGCCTTCTGAAATATACAATGATGGTTGATGAATAGACGGAACAAGATTCTTGTGAATAAGAATACTTCTTCTATTAACGCTACTCCACCACAAGGATGCCCCGCTCTTCTGCGATGTCTCTTAGCAATCGCAAAGGCGCGCTACTGACGGTACCCAATCGCGGCGCGTCCTTCCGCAAGACTAAACATTGCATGTAAAAAAGCTCCGCAGGCAGGTCCCGCAAAAGAGCTACCAAATATTCTTGAATTTTCGTGCGTAATTTCGGGTAAACGCGTGAGCATACAGTAAATGTTTCGAAAGCCACCAGTGCATCGACGGGTGAAACCGGCATACGTTAGAACAAAGAGAAATCCATCTTCAGCAGCATCTTGGGTCCGCGTTCGTTCCCTGTGGAAAAACGGACGGACCCAGATCGATGCCTGCGAGGATGGATTTCTTGTAGCCTTAAATACGGGATTTAATAGCTTTTTCTATGCCGCACGCTGCCGCGAACAAGATGGCTGAAGATCGGATACACGCGTCGCGGTCACGACGATCGGGATTCGTGGTCGGCCAAGCACGCGGGTGCAATTGCAACCAAGCATGGCCCAGAGAACAGGATTAGAAAAATGCATTCATACGCAACTAGGAGAAAGTGTAGATAATGTCACTGGCAGTGGAGGAAGTTCCATGAATCAATTCATTGGAAAATGCATGTGCCTAACATCCAGTGGGCGGTGTTATGACCGAGATACTCAGCTGGACGAGGGAAGTTCTTATCTTTCTTCAAGATCTTCAGGACTACTTGCCATAGAAGAAAGCTCGGCCGTCTGCCTTCTTGTCGTACAGCATGCGGTTCGCAAGTGATTCGGTCCAGTTGCGCAGTAAGACCTTCGCCGCTGCATGCTTCTCCGGTGCTCGCCTTGCCAACGTCTTGTACACAAACGCTAATTGCTTGAAATCCAGCTTATTCTTCTTACCAGGATATTCCATGTTCTCGACGGCATTTTTTCCTCTTTTTCGCCGCAAAAGTACCGTCTGCGGCCGCTTACGGTAGGCTAGAAAAGTCGCGTCTGCGTCCTCGGAAAGATCCAACTTATTGCCTAGCAACTGCAAAACAGCCGCCTGGATCTCCGCAAGACAGCCGAAATAGGAAACTTGCCCAACGCGCTCCAGCAAATCCGCGGTTATCAGCAAATGACACGCTGTCCTGACTGAGGTGATTGTCATCGCGCCTTTTGCCAGAGAAGTGAGGCCTTCCTCAAGCACAGACTTCGCCAACGGCACGTCTAGATGGTTTTTGCTGAGCGCCATGCGCTCTGCCCGACGCTGCATCCTGCGCTGGCGCATTGTGCGCGCGCCCTCGCGGAGCAGGGACTCCGGTAGCGTCCCCGGCACCTCCCAAGTGCTCATAGACGTGCGATACATGTGAACAAGATCATCCAGAGAAGCTGGCTTTTTCTTGAGCGAGGAAGAGGATGACTCATGACTGTCATCGGGAGACTTCTTCTGTCCCACCGAGGGCCCGTTCTTCTTTTCACCAGCTCTCTCGTCGTAGAAAGCCGACTGATGGTGGTCAACGTCATTTGTAGTGTCACTAGTCCTGGAAATGCCGGTGTCTTCGGAACCATTAGCTGAATCTGATTCGTCGACAGGAGGACCACTGACCTCTGGAAGTGCTAGCCAACTGAAGCGCGAACCAACATGTACCTTGCGAGCCGGCTGCGGCAGTGAAGCGTCCTCGGATCCGGATAGTGCCGCCAATGATCTCGTCTTGGTGTCTTCTCGTTCTTCTTTTGGACTGTCGATAGCAACAGCATCGGAAGAAGACTGTAAGAACCGTGTTGTCGCTGCAGCTTTCTCATCTACTTTCACAAAAATAGTTTCCACAGGCTCTACTACAGCGCTTTTTGCTTGCAACCTCGTCTTACACCGGGAAGAGCGGCGCCCTCCCACAGGCTTGATTTCCGCAGCAGTTGCAGTTTCTCCCTCGTCAATACTCCGACGACTTTCATCAATGCTCTTGACATCCTTCCCGTTCCCATCTTCATTCGTCGTTGTCTGCTCTGCAGCAAGCCTTGTTTTCTTGCGACCGCTCCGACTAGAACCGACAAGGTCAGCGTCCGCAGCACTTGCGAGCGGAGCATTAGCGATCTCCTCTGCGGTGGCCGTAAAATCTGCACTCGAAAAGCCAGGTGGTAAAAACTCGTCGAAAGTTTCCTCGTACAAGGAGGTCGCTGATCGCTCAGCCGATGCTAGCCATTTGTCCTGTCCGTCTATGGCTTCGAGCTCCAATGTTTTTTGCTTTTCTTCTTGTTCGCGTATGCCAGAGGTCCTCGTCACAGCGACTCCGTTATCTACTTCAGCTCGCCTTATTGGCCGTAGTGCCGGAAGCAATTTGCTTCTCCCTTTTGCGTCCAACAAATCGTCAAAAATCGCAGCTATTTCCCGATGCCTCCGAGCCTCCGTAGTAGAATCTTTGTCCTGGTCACATGCTGCAAGATCGCGTGATGAAGATGTTGTGCCCTGAAGTTGTAGTGGCTGTCCATTGCCCACACTACCACTTTCGATTTTCAACATTGGTATATTCTGAGAGCAGTCATTGTCGCCTCCACCCGGTGGCAATTGCAGATGCGCATCTCGATTACTGAGCACACTGCGTTCGTCCGCATCGAAGACGTATTCCACTATTGCTTTCAAAATGTGAGCCCAGTCTTGCGGCTTCAAAGACCTTCTATCTCGCCACGCCTGTCGCACTAGGTCGTTCCAAACACGACAGGCCGCCTTAGTTTGCCACGTTGGTGAACCGCGAATTCCGCTCCTCTCGCGGTCAGAAAGAAAAAACCAAATTTTCTTGACCACCGGACGGGGCTTGTACTCCACCTCCCCAAGTGACAGCTGCTTCGCTTCCATCTCCCGCTGCCTCACTTGAAACTTGTGTGTGAAATGCTTGCGCACAGACCACGGGAGTCGGGGTTGGACAACGAGTGGATTGCGTTCCTTTACCTTACCAGTAGACCCAGGGGTAAGCGGTCTAGAACTGGAAGCACTACCTCCAACACCATCACCGTCCTCCATTTGTTCTGCTGCTTCCTCTAATTCCATATCACCTGCAGTCCAATCAGGTGGAACCCTGTTCCGATGTGTGTTCAAAATCTGAGACTTGTTCACAGCTCCAAATGCACCGCTAGTTACCCCAGTAGACGCTTCGTTCGGTATTATGCCTGACGCAGAATTAAAAGTGCAACATCCTTATACCTGGTTTTTCAATGCCTATTCCATTTCGTGTTACTCAGCGAAAAAAATTGAAAAGCCAAGCTTATTGTAGCCGTAACAAACGGTGCATTTCCTTCCATGGATTCTCCCTGTTCTTCGTCATCCATACGGTATCGCGCTAGATGCTCAGGGACATCGCCACCATATTGCGTCAGTATGCTCTTTGCTGCGAGTGTTTCTGCCGTCGCATTGGTCAAACTAGTGCCATCAAAAAGGTCGCTCACTTGAACTCTACCATCGCGGGATGATCGTGGTATAGGTAGCATTGGCGAGATTTTCCCACGTTTTTTCCTACCTCCTGACGATGCTGGTGCGACGTTGCTCGAAGTAGAGAAAAAGCGAGTTCTTGTTTGCCGAAGACCTGGTTGGGCAGGTTGATTTTGACGGTGAACCGCACTTTGTATGTTCGACCAAGAAGATGCGGTCGATGAAGAAGAAGCTGCCCATCCTTTCTGGTGTCGCAAGTCATTATTCAGGCTGCTTCGCATTGATGAAGTCGAAGGCTGCCATAGTACACTACTAGTAGTAGCGTAGTGTACACGAAAAGACCCTCCTCGCGTATGAGTCGACGCAAGCGAGCACACCGGCGAGCGCATCATGATAGGCATAGTCTGCGGTGCATCGACATTTATCGCATGTAGGTAATATTCATGAGATGTGTATGAACTTGAACCGATGGTGCTCACACTCTTGGACCTTTCTTTCATCTTGACCGAATCCGCATCAGGTAAAGGTTTCAAAAATTGAGAATCACATAAGTGCAAACACGAGCACGGCGCACTGACTGGCTCAGATTGAACTTTCGTCGAAGGAAAGATCGCTTGCTAAAAATACCCCGAGACGATCAGCGTCTCGGAGCAAAATGGAAATGATCCTGTGTACACTTCTCACACATAAGGCTGCTCGAGAAAGGGCGAGGAACCTCCGCTCGCTTCTTGAGACTCAACAAGGCTTCACCAACGCGTGTAGAGGTCGTCACCCTCTACTGCAGGTCACCCTTTGTGGATAGCAGGCCCTTTCCGGCTGGGGTATTGCTGCGCAGGCAATCACTTTATAAAAAAATGCAACCATGTTTATAAGCGTTAACACAGATTCTGGGCTTACATTGCGTACGCGTGTTGGTGTTCGTTGCAACACTTATATATATATAATGTCGCGGATTCTGCCGAGACTTCATGGCTTGTGCATGATTGGGTGGTCGAGGAATAGTATGCGTAACCAAACCGTGGCAATAGACAATGGAAAAATGATGCCAGAGTGAGGATGTTTAGCAGTACTTTCTCTACGAGTATAAAGAGTAAGATTGATCCTTATGCTTGCTAGCCGTCAAAATGGATATTGATGAAGTAGCTTTATCGATATAAGACAAAAGGTACGACACGAAAAAAAAACATCATATCATGGGCGGAGATCCCAACGCGATCATGCTCCCAATTGTAAACACAACGTGCCGGCAGTTACAACATTCGTGGAATAGTTTTCTTTCCGACTTCTGCTGCCTATGTCTCAACTTTCATCCCGCTGCCAATCGTCCGCAAATCGTCCCCGCCGTCACCATGCGGATGACTGTGCTCGTGCCCTTCCTCTCGCAAGGCAGACGGTAGATTCGCTTTATTGGGTGGTGGTTCTCTTCTTACCGACAAGCCCGCGGACGCCCCTCTTCATGTCTGTTAATGTTGTACCCATTCCGTGCCAGAAAAGCAGTTGCGATGCTTCTCCTATGATCTCTCGATCTCGGTGTGCTCCTCGGATAATTGTTCTTGTTGCCCGTTGTTGCATATGATCTCTCCCTACGCTCGTTTCTGTTTCTGGTGAACCCGTTCGATCTGCCGCTTTTCTTCAATGGATCGCTCGATCGAGACCACTGCATAGCAAGCGTAAATGTACAGGCCGATACTGACGCAGACGATGAGTACTGTCTCGATGGATACCGGCTCCACAATTAGAAGAGAAGAAATTCTTCATTCATAAGTTGTAGCAGTTGTTCGTACTAAATCATTGATACTACATAGAACTTTTTAAGGGTCACACATTCGGTCTCGTCATGACTTCATTTTTATTGTCCCTTACTTCATATTGCGGTACTTCGTATGTTACAGACTAGAGCAATTTAGAAACCAAGCGTGGAACTTTAATTACTTGGATTCATCAAGACTGAGTTCATAATGCAAGGGAAAGCTGCTGTTCTACTATTTCTATTGGCGGCAGTGTTCCATCGGGAGATTTTTCTTTTTGTTGAGCTTCGAGTAACCTGCGATCTGTAAATGCTGTCTCGCTGTCCCAACGCCATATCGCAAATACGACCTTGTTTTAGGTTTATGTATAAGTATGTGCTTTTGGCTGAATTATGATGTTAGAAAAAAAGATTCAGCTTAATCAATCTTAAAGAAATTAATGTTTACGTTATAAGGGTGACCATCACAAAAAGTACAAGTAGTACGAATGGCGCCAAAACTAGTGCCAGCTGAGGCAGCAAGATCTCGTATTCCAACACCATTATGACAAGAACGCGCTGACTAATTTCTGCAGTATTCGGTATCTTCGATGGTTGAACCACACGACAGACGGGACAACGCGGATGGGCGGGGTGCTGTCATGATTCTTCCATGACTTACGAAAATGCCATTGAAAATGTTGCAAAAAGATTCGGTATCTACTTCAGAATGAGAGGATTAATTGCAGCCTATATCGTGTTCCTTCTACCATCAAAATCAGTAATCAGTCATTTTCAAGAATACCGCAGTTCTGCGCCGATGATGCAAGACATTCGTCAGAGAAAAGAGAAGGAATCTTCATGTGCGTGGGAGAGAAAATCTGGCGAAAATTTATCAACGAAAGTTCGTTCCACAAAGAAAAGGTCATCAGCACGCTCCACTCTGTCGCAACTTATCAAAAAAGATTACAATTTCTTATTCTTACCCAAACCCATGCAGACCAGCGCTAGTACTAGTAGAGGTCTCCAATCTAATAACTGAGGCTATTCCTGAAGCTGAAGTTCCTAGAAGCACTTTCATGAGAATCCAAAAGACCATATTTTTCGTTCCCAACAATCTCGTCTTAGGCGAATCCCGCCGACTCGTTTCAGTATTTAGATTTTCAAGTCCACTGTCGTGGAAAGCGACTCAACATTGATCCTCATAAATATTTGTATGAATCGCTCAAAGAACAATCACCATCATACTGATACATGTATACCACCATCAAAGAAAGCTCTTCATCATGTGGAGGTATGGAACACCATTCTTTCCTCGAGTCGAAGAAGTTGAGCTTTGCCCTGTCCGTCCAATCTACGTAAGTTGTATAACACCGGATAGATTGATGGTGAAAAACTGGCTCAGACTCTCTTCCTTTTGGGGTTCTTGAGCAGGGGAACAACAATCTTGTTGGGATATGGAAACTAGGAGTTCCGTATAAAGGTCTGAATTATCATGGGGACATTTTTGTTCATTTTGATGTCGTTTATTCACTATATGTTCGCCGGGCATGATCGCACCCGACGCGACGGGGGCTGGTAAGCGTGATTTATCAGCGAAAGATCTTACAACTGACGTGTGTGATTTGATATCACCGAACAGAATTATAATGTGGGGGGCAGCCCCGCCGAGGGAGCTCACGCAACAGGAGTACTACAAAAGTGCCTCTTACAACTTGCGCAGGGCTGTTCATTCATCATTCGTGAGTATAGATGATCATGGATTTCAACAAATTTCCTGATGGAGGTCTAGCACTACGTTGGTACCCAGTGCCAGATGAATACAACATCAACCCTGAATAGACTATGTTGATAGATATACAGCGCAAACATGATCGTGGGGGTTCACATCTCCTCACATCTTCTACACACCCTGCTCCTCTTCGTCAGGTGAGATTTTGATATTCGAGTCGCATATTTGACTGAGAACCTGCCTCAGCTCGATCAACGGCGCGTCATTCTGTGACACGAGTCGGGGGGTATGCGCGAGTCGCAAAACCAATGACTCCAAGCAGGCTTTCAGGGCTCCAAGTAGAGCTGCGGTCTCAAAAGTACACCGCAATGGAAGCCACCCATCAATATAAAGATGCTTCTGACTGTACCTGTGAATCAATAAGAGATAGGTGCTGTGAAATATCCTATAGTCACAGTCAGAATTTTTTTGTATTATTCATCAAGATATTCAGTCGTTCTTTCAGAAAAACCATAGGCCAAACAAGCAAAGAACTGAAGATCAAGATCAAGCAGCTAAGTAGCTAGCGAAGAGCTGACATGAAATAACAAACCAGCTGTACGTTAGAGCCATAGCGCTGCCAAGGATGATCGGGATAACACTGACGTTCGTGACATTGCGACACTGGACGTTGCTATGCATAGCTTGGAGACTCCCTGCCGCATCTGAACCTTCCTTCCACTTTTTGAAGGTTTTTGTATCCTGACTACTGTTCGCGCTTTGCTCTTCGAATACATAAAACCGCTCAGGTGGCACCTATGTTTTTGAAGGGACGAAAGGTAGTCTGTATTGAGCAATACGAAGGTCTACTTGAATGGTTTCGAAAGCCTACCTCAAATGCGGATGAACATGAAGAGTTTCAATTTCTCTGTTTTTCTACTTATATATATATAATATTCTAATTTCTAATAAGGAAAAAACAAAAACTCACTTTTATATTACTGAAGGAATAATTACTCCACACAATGAAGTGGTCATTCTTCTTACCACAACCTCGTCTGCGCAACAACTGCTCTGCTGTATGACCCCAGTTTCCATAGGTCCTAGCCAGACACGGCGTTTGGAATGATGCATCGAAAAATGGTCCACACTTAGCGCCAACAAAAGTTGCAGCTGGTCCCACCTTGCTTTGTTCCAGGGAACACGCTCTGGCGAATCGAAGCCCATTTGTTGCTAGTAGTTTTTAAAGGATAGAACGATCGATTGGTTTGTTGAAGATGCTGATAATTTCATTTTGGAGCATAGTAATACATTCGTTCCTGCAATGTATGAAAGAGAGTTCCATTATGATCTTCAACATGTTTATGAACTACAGTAGGAGTACACAAAGACAATCTAGGGCCTATTAATTGGTAAAAGAGAGCAAAGGGGTACCAGCATCAGTTCCAGTTGCTTCGCGGAGTCGAAGATGATTCGGACGACGTTTCCATTCACGCCGTTGTCCCGGCAGTAGTTCGGATTCAGATACTTCTGGGTATCGTGCAACTGGTACAGGATCTTTAAGAGAAGGATTTGGTCACTGTAGTTCGGGTTTTGTGAATAACTCGATTTTAACGGAGAGTCCTGACGCACTGGATCCTGGTAACATGACGCCGCCGCAATCACGCACATCGGGTGTGCTACGCCTAAAAGACAGCTTAAGAGAACCGCATAACCCATGCGGGGCTCAATCGGGAGCTTACTGATCTGCACACCCAAGGGGGTCAACCTCTGGAACTGATCAATCGCATATAACTCTTGCAAAACCTGTGTGGTGATGAAGGTGCTTAATGTCTTTCCCGCACTATTTATCCATGGTGAGTAGTAAGTAGTCACGTCGCCGTAGTATGTAAGTGGGGATGACAAGCCTCAGACTTAGATAAACCAGATCCATCGCGGCAAGCACAACACGAGCAAGAACGCTGAAATTGAATACTTACAGAAAAAACAAAAGGTAGGCCGAAGGCCAAGACTGGGCATGGGCACCCCCGCGAGGGGCCGCGCGGCGAGCCGCTCGCTCTCACTCCCTGGCCACCACGCCGCGGCGCGGCGTCCCCTACTCACTACTAGCCTTGGGCCCAACAAACACTTTGACAAAGCGACCAAAGCGTCGGCGGGAATCAACGCGGCAGCGGGGACCGATGGGAGCGAGAGGATACAACCCCAGGAGCGCTCTTCGCTGCTCCTGTACAAAGGCAGCCGCATGCCCAGGCCGCCCCCCGACACCCCTGAAATTAATAAAACCAAGCAACCCCACCCTCCTGACCCTTTGGGCGTGTACACGAACGGGGCCCGATATCGAGGCAATGTAGCTCCTGCATGTCGCTCGCGGCACCGCAGCCGCCAGCAAAAGCGCATAACAATCTAGCGAATTTGTTCTCAAGTTAACTCCGAGATTGAAAATGAAATACCTGGATTGCTCGGTTTATGTTCTCCTGGCTTGGCGGGTCCAATGCTTCCCCTAAAAACGCACTAATCTCCCCCAAGCGCAACCACTTCACCATCAACGCACTTTGGTGTAAAGGCACGCGCTGAATCTCCGGCAGCACGATATCCGGTAACTGATCAAATCGCCACTTGGTGCAAAGACGAAAGCAAACCCCAGAATGTGTTCGGCCCGCACGACCCATACGCTGGATCAAGTTATGCTTCGCGGCCCAGTGGATATCCATACCTATACGATACAATGCGATACAATACAATACAATGGATGCAATACAATTAATCTCGCACAAAGCTCAGTGCAGACTGCCAAAGTTAATTTTTGGAAGACAGGTATGAAGCTCCTTTCTCCTGTTCTTTATAATGCAGCATCGCACTCTCCCTTGATGATGTACCCAGCAAGGGGTGAAGCTAGTACAACAAGTACAAGCATCATCACTTACATCATAGTTGTAGACGCATATGCAGATGCAATCTTGTAAGAATCTCTTCGAAAATTCACCATCAAATCAGATAAGCAAATACGTGACATCAATGGGTGGGCCCGCGTTGAGCTGGAATCTCCGAGAGCAAGCTGGCCCAGCAGCGCGTCGTGTACAGGTCGAAAATATTTCATCTTGCATTTGCAAGTATCGATCACATACGACACATCCGGAATCGTCACTGAGGTCTCTGCGATGTTAGTCGCGAGGACAACCTGAAATTGTATGAGATAAGCGTGAGGATAGCTGGGTCAGGTCATCAATCATGGAAAAATATTTTTCCAAAATCCTACAGACGTTCGAAAAAGAGAGCGAATGGTTAACCACAAATAACCCCCGATCGCTATCCCTATCCTCTACGATGTGCAGAGAGAACAGCAAAGTAGGTAGTAATTCATCTATTTGTTTCATCCTCACAAGAACTCCTGTAGTATGTCTAATATTTTATAAAGTTACCTTCGTTCTTCCATGTCCGGGGTTCTGGAAGACCAAGTGTTGTTCGGATTTGGGAACTTGAGAGTGCAGCGGCAAAAAGTAGCAACTCTGCAAGTGAGATTGCCGTCTCAGATGCTTTAGGCAGCGCGCAATCTCATCCCAACCAGCCAGAAAAATGAGAACGCCACCTTTCAAGTCCTGTGTGGTTTATTTCGGATGAAGCTACTCGAGGCTAAGGTTATGGTTCATGTTAGGATTTAAAGAGTTGTTGATGAGATCTAAGAAAACACAACGTAGAACGGCTCTCTTGATGAAAAAGACTCGCCGCTATAAGAAACAATAGATACCAACGGCGTTCTATTCCTGCTTGAAATGTGGATAGTATTGGATGAAGAGACTAACCTGTAAGGCAGATGAGGGAAAAGGAAAACTAATGGCGATAGTAAAGATATACCTGCATGATAATGTATGCAATGATTTTTTCTATGAGATCGAGCTGTAGTTCGTTCTCATTGATAGATCGCACAGTCCATTCCGTGTCCTCTGAGTATCGCATGTTTGGGTTCAAGACGATATCGCCGTTCCATCGCTCTCTCCTCTCGGTGTCTCGCTTCGGAGCCTTCCAGTTTAGCAGTTCAATCGCGTCTTCTAGGTAGTAACACGTGACAGGGAAGGTGCGGCCAGGCACGTCGATGATGCGACACGTGTTTCTGCGCGCGAAGTAGAGCTGCAGCTTCTGGAGATCGATTGTCGCGGACATGAGCACAACGCGCAAGCGAGGATTGCTTCCGATGAGGCGACGTAGCACGATAAGAAGGAAATCCGTATTCACATCGCGCTCGTGGACCTCATCAATGATGACGTGCGAAATGCCATGCAAACCAGCCGCAAGCCGCTTCAGGAGCACACCAACGGTCATATAAACCATGGATCCGGAGGGACGAGGGCTCACCTAGGCGGACGGGGAGTTTATTCAGACAGAATAAATATAATCAAGGCAGCTATAGTCTTTATGAGGAAAGAATCACCAACACCAGAAAGAGTGAACTATCATGTATAAAGCCAAAACATAAACATGGGGATAGCCATTCAAGCAGCTGATAGATAATATCCGAAAGAAGTCAGTACCTGGTCAAAGCGCACCATGTAACCTACACTGGTTCCTAGGGCCTCGCCTCGCTCTTGTGCCACACGCTCGGCAACTGAGATCGCGGCCACTCGCCTGGGCTGAGTCACGATGATATTGCAGTCTACTCCCTTGTTCCGACCGATGTAGTAATCCAGCAGAAACTGGGGAATCTGCGTCGTTTTACCGCAACCCGTGCTGCCCTGCACCAAAACTACGGGTGTGCCCTCGATCTCTCGTACAATTTCGTGCTGCATGTTCCAGATGGGCAATCTCGTCCGGTCGTGCTGCATCATCTGATACAGGTGATTACCCTGTTTCTGCTGTAATTCTCGTAACAACTTCTGGTTCTCCGAATCGCCACCATACATGTTTCCACGTGAGCGGGCATGTGCAGAAGGTCCACCGCCGCCTTGCGTGCTGCCCCACGGGTCCGGGCAAGCACGCGGTTCGGTCCACGCGATTGCGCCCTCGGACTCATAGTTCGCGCTCATGGACCAAGGCGCGGCGTCGATCTTCAAGGCAACGTCAATCACGCTGGCCTGTTGGTCGAACTCGACTGGCGAGAAGTTACACGTGTCCGTCACGAATTTTTTTAGGACGCCTCGCATGTGCTGCGACAAGCCAAAGGTCTCTGGGGTAATGCTAAGTGCCTCTGGAGTGGAGGCGCCTGCACCCTGTTCTGAGGCTTTCGGGATCATTTTTCTGCGGCACAACATTTTGCAGACGCGCATCGCCAACTCGCATCCCGCGCCCTTCTTGCTCCCGCTCACGACAGAGCAGCGCAGCCGCTCGCGACTGTTCACCATCATGTCCACGGAGCCGCGGAAACCCGGCACGACTGTAAGAGGGTCCGTTACGATGGTCTCCATCGAGAATTTGCGTTTCTGGAAAAAAATGTTTAAATTTTGTTTCCCATTACACAAATCGAAACCATAGGTCTCTTCGTCGTCCTTCTCTTCTGGCAGAAGCGGCGTCACCGCTGGTTCCCACTGGTCGCCGTTGTCCCAGTGAATAATTTTGTTGTTCGTGCGCTGGTCATTTTGGACGAGTCCGCGTACTTTGTTTTCGTTGTCGTCGACATAGACGAACTCGGGGCTCCCGTCGTCGGCCATGATCAGCTGCTTTTGTCTATCGGACGCGTTACTTGCGCGAAACGCATTCTCTTCCACCACGAAAACTTTGGCTTTCTTGATACTATCCGGTCCATCCTGCGCGCCTTGCTGGCCCAACGCCGGTTTCAAACCCTGGTCTGCCGCATCTGCGGGATTAAAGAAAGTGCCTGGACCGCTGGCACCCACAGGACGATTGTGGGGATCCAGCAAGACCCATAAACCTTGGATGTCCATGATCGGCTCTGGGACGTCTACGCCATTTTTAGTGCGGAAGACGCGAGTGCCGTCTTCGCGGTCTATGAAAACACCAGGGCCACGCATCTGGTCTTTCCGCCGTTCGTCCTCTTTCTTCCTCCGCTTCATCATCGCTTCTCGCGGAAGAGCCTGCATTCGGTGCGTGCCTGGCAAAGCACGTTTGTTGGAGCCTCCTGGACCTCCCATCATCGACCACGGCGACGTCCAGTTAGACATAGTGGAGGTGTAGCCGCTCACCGTGGACATAGCGTCGTCGTTGGCCCCGGCCACGGAGCCGGCCTTAGAGAAAGTGGCGTTAGGGCCGGCTGCGACACTACCCGCCACTGAGGAGGAGCTGGAGCCGCCCCAACTCATGTTATTGTACATACCGCCATAAGCGCCCCATCGTCCTCCGCCGCCCTTGTTGGCTACAGCCCGCTGGGTCGCCAAGTGCAGGTTCTCCAGTCCCGCACTGCTCAACGGTCGCAATCCCGGTCCTACTATTGGCGGCGGGGGCGGCGCCGTTGCCTTCATCACCGCTGGAGGTGGGTCTGCAGTGGCTTTCGGTACTGCAACCACCTCCTTCTTCAGGCCGCCGTCTCCCGTCGCCCGTATTACTTTTCCTCCCGCTTTGCTAGTCGCTGAGGCTGAGGGCAAGCCTAATTCAGCTTCTAGACCGAGATCGAGCAGTTCTGGTTCGTCGTTCACGTCCGCCGGGTCCGCACCTGCTAGTCGCAGTGCCTCTTCTTCGTCTATCTCTTCATCTTCCGCGTCCTCTTTTTTCTCTGCTCCTCTGTCATCTCCTGTAGCCGAACTGCTGGCTCCTGCATCTTCTCCGGTAATAGCCGGGTTATCCATCACATCTGCTAATGGAGCAATATCACTCGGATCAAAAAACGCTTCACTCGGACCACCGGTTCCACCTGCCATACTTCCTGGCGGTCCCGTCATGCCGCCTGGTACCATCATACTCGGCTGGCCGCCTCCTCCCGGTGGAATAACGATACCCCCAATACCCCCAGGTGGTGGAATGGCACCTTGTTCCGGCATATTGTTCCCACCATAGAGTTTTACCAAGTCGCTGTCGTCAACCTCGTCTAACTGGGCGTCGTACTCCATTGCTCGGAGTTCTGCGTCAGTCGGGCCGTACTTTGCGATCAACGTTTCTGCGCCAGGTGGCTTCGCCAAATGCTCAAAGCCCTTGAACATAGCCACCTCAGCCTCTTTTTTCTCTGCTGCGCGACCAACGCGTGGCTTCCCCGTTCGAATGGGACCCTCCACCTCTCCAAGTCCATGAAACCGGCTCAAATCCAAAGGAGCCCCGCGCTGTGCAAAAAAACCAATAATTGCCAACTCCTGTGCATGTTTCTTTTGCGTGACACCCTCCTCGTGGGTATACCTGAAGGAGAATGAAATTCTCAGATTTTTACTGCATTTGCCACAATTGAGAGATGAATCATAAAAAGATTCGCCACAAGCAAGAACCCTGGGCAACGTTCTACTGACTACGCAGCGTATCGTATTCTTTTCTACTTAGAATGAACGTAAACAAAAACATTTAGCATATATATTTGTACGTCATCTCCTTTCCGACTCCCGTATCCATCACAGTAATGTGACACTGCCACTTTCCATTGCTGTCGGATTTATCTTCCTTGGCGTGCTGCGTAAACTGAAACTGGGGAGCAGAACACTCCAACATGTGGAGAGAGTCATAGAAGTAGGGAATAAGCGCGAGACCATCTTTGGTCTTCCCCCGCGATGCGTGTTTTATCGACATCTTCGCAGTTGCTTTTTAGGCGACGTCGTCGTCGAGTAGTCTGGGTAAAATTCACAACTGTGAAACAAATTGGCTGCGAGGACGTAGTCGAGATTTACGGAACCGGCTTCAGGTAATTTCGAGTTAAGACCTGTAAAACTGGCTGCGAGGACGTAGTCGTGGTTTACAATAGAACAAACTGCCTTTCGTTGCCGTGGTGGATAGAAGCCTGCGTTTTAACTTACAAGCTTCCTGGCATGCCTGACACCACGGGGCAGAGGCCTCAGCTCCGTAAAAAGAAGCTCCTTCCTCTTGCAAAAATTTCTTCGGAACGACCAACGACCTTGTTACGCAATCGCTGCAGCACAAGCTCCTTCATGGATGTTTTCGGACTCGCCAAAAAAGCCTTTTAACAGATCCTCTGGACAGGAATTATGAGCAAATTAAGTTAAAACATGAATGTGAATTCACTTTCACTTAGAAACCATGAAGACACCAAAGTTATACAAGCACGATTGATGTTTCAGTTAATTCCGAAAATCAATACCTACATTAATTATACAGGGAGGGTTGAAATACACTTTTTCAAAACCAAATCAAGAGGAATATAGAGAGGTGAAAACTTCAAAGTTTGAGGTCCTGTGTGGTTAGGCAAGATCACAATGACGGTTAGGGTGGAGCCTACGATAAGTGCCTAAAAGATACACATGAGATAGCGGTACATCACCGGATCATTTATGGACATTAATTGCGTCATGTCAAGAAATGATCAATGTACTCAACATATTAGGATTGCCATATTTTTCAGTGGTGACGATTACATCATGATAACTCGCGTTTTCCTTTCTTCGTTGTCCCCAACGAAACACAGGGACACACACAGACCAGAGAACCACGTCTTTCTTGATGTTTTGATCGGTGATATTTGAATGTACAGAGAACATGAACATTTCGCCAAATGAAGTTCTACCAGTTTCAATGAACATGCTAGAAGCTTCAAAGACTTCTATTTGATGCTGTACTACACGAACACATATTCCAAGGCTGATGATGAATAAGTGGATATCATTCGAGAGTAAGTCTTGCTTCGCCGTCGGGGTTGAAGAAGAACATCAAGATTTACTCGTATGGTGTAAACGACCGATTGTGCATATCAACCCGGATGCAGAGCGCACAAGAGGAGCAGCTGCTTATGGGCTGGAACCCAAAATTTACATTCCAAATCTTGAAACGAGGACACTATATATCTATCAGATTGTCCTCACGTGCGGAGCAACATCTTCTCATTCAATTTTGACATTTGCACATTCATCTGATAAATCATCGGCATTTTCGTCAGAACTGGAGTGTCTCCAGACCGTTAAGTCCTGTGGATCTTCGCTGCTTTCCATGGACTCAGCCAATTGCTCTCTAGCGCCGCTCTCCGGATCGGCATTCTCTGGGACCACTACAAACAAGCCCCACTGCCGAGTTCCAGGATCGAATTCTAGCACGTACGTGGCGTTACAGCGCGGCTAAAACTTAGACTAGAGATAAATCGTGAAACAATGAGTACTATGTATGGGTCCTGACGAAATCGCTTCTTGTTTCCTAGAAGTCTACTGTGGATCAATGACCAAAATGAAAATCCTATCAACATTCGTTCATAATTTTCCGTGTCCAATGAACCGCTTGTCCGTTGCCCACACTCGAGTGAGAGTCTGCAGACGGCCGCTTCGCACTAGTACTTTTGGTCCTGGACGAAGGACTTGGCTTTTTCTTCGATAACATATAGAGTCCGTTCCATGCTTTCACCGGAAAATTTGAAATCCGCAATCTCGCTCTCTCAGTCAGCCGCTTCCCCGTTGGACTAGCCTTCATTGCTGTGCGCACGCGATTCACTAGTCCTGAAACACTGCTTGCCGCACTTGGAGAGTTTTTTCTGCTACTTCTAGTCGGTGACTGAGAAGATGCTCGGGAACGACCTCCAATCCCATTCCCAAGAATCCCAAACTTCTGATTATGACTTGATGAACTCGAAGATGAACTCGTCCCAAGTAAAATCCCTCCTGTGCCAGTACTGCTGGAAGAGTTGGCGACTCTTCTTGCACTGGGAGAGGCGGAGGGGGAAGCAGCCATTCGGTTTTTACTCCCAGCTCTACTTAATGGAGAATGGGCTTCGTCGGTGTCGTCTAAAAGAAGGCCTTGACGTGAACGCGAACGATCTGACTTCATTCTCATGGCCATTGAGGACGATTTTCGACGGGAACTCCAGCAGCACCTCGTAAGAACGAGGTAGAGCAAGAAAAGAACCAGCATAATTCCAACTACAGCACATATAGTTAGTACTAGTACAGGTGGCAAGGGCGTCGATTCGGAAAGAGATCCAAACAAACTTTCTCCTTGACCTTGTAGTGACCCGAACAGTTCGTCCCAAGTGAGTATGATCCCCGTTGCCAGATACAACTCACGTTGCCATGCATGGGTGAATCCCTCTCCTCCAATACTAGAAGAAGATCTTCCGCCCCGACCACGAGGAGCTTTCTTTATCGCTTCATCTCCGTCGTCTCCGTATAGGGAGTCAATACTTTCCAAGCTATGCTTCCATGAAAACATCTCCTGTGCTGATCCACGATGACGCTGCAGTTGCACCTCGCCGCCATCCGGAACATCCTTGAGACGAATCTCATCGCTGCTACCTACAAGATGATCAAGACAAGGATTGAAAATGCTGCCAAGTGACAATGCCAACTCCAAGCTTGTTAACTGTGAGGGTACTTTTGTTCTCCTATCTATTCAACATCGGGGTTGCGGTTGCAAAATCAAAATTATAATTCCACATACCTGCTGTTCCGTCGACAATCTTCTTACCATTCCACACTAGAAAAAAAGCTTGCATATCTCGATAGCCTCGTCGCATAGAGTCCTTTTCAGCAGTTATAGAGTCCTTCTCGCCCTCGTCTGCTAGACCAGTCATTTCCTTTAAGGACGATAAAATCCCGCCGGCCGATGAGTCTCCCAGATGTTGACGGGCAAACTCCTTCTTGATCTGTTCCACCTTAGAAAAGCGCACAGCCGAAATCTTGGCGTAGAATCGTCGACCGCCATCTTTGTTTGGGTCAACTGGACCATGCACGTTCAACACTACTCCTCCTGCTTCTCGGCCGCGATCACTGCTATCGGTTTTCAGTGCTGAAGATTGCAGCGCGGCTGGGCATGTGCTGAATAAATTGGGAAGTAAGCAGCAAGTGGCAAATGCTACTGCGGTTCCGACTCCACGGCACAACCAACCACCTTCGTGAACGGTGCGACCCATGTTTGGTACGACGGCCCCCCGATCAACAGCGTGCTTGCAGAAAGATGAACGGTCTAGAACGGTGTGATCACCATCATTTTTTTGCTTTTACAGGACTCCTTTTTAGAAGTAACCAGTAGAACTACATGCAGTAGAAGATGCTCAAATGACAAGGATTCAAATTTTCCATAGATACGTGTAACTCACAGAAAAAACAAATGCTTTATTACCACACACGTTAAGCACCTCGAGCAAGATGTGAAGCAGCGAATCTATTTTACCTCAGGCAAAGAAGCAACTCTGGGAAGCCAGTTTCCTATTCATCCTGACTGCGCACAAAAGGGTGATCTACTTTATTCTCTCAGCACTGTTGAAAATTGCGGACACTCACAAATGAAAATGGATTATATAATTTTTTCAACACGCTGCTCGACCGATACGGCGCCCTTGCCTTCAAAGGGCTGAGAGCTTTGTTCAGTTGTCATGTTCGAGAGATTTGCCTTGTCTTTCCCGAACTCGAAAAATTAAGTGCATTTTCTTAGAAGTCTTAACATGTGATATAATCGCTCTTTGCGTTTTGTTCTACGATAGGAAACCCGTGCCAAAGCCTTTCCCCTCGTTTCCTCCATTACTGGCTCTCTCTAGATTCGATGCCCCAAGAGTGCTCGATCCCAAGCCTGAAGCACTGGAACTCGCACCTATTTCGCTTGCACTCACACCCAAGACGCTTGAGTTAACTCCGACAGCACTTGAACTCTTGCCTAGAGCACTTGAACTCTTGCCTAGAGCACTTGAGTTCGCTACGAAACCACTTCCTCCTTTCGCAACGCTGCTTGTGGTCCCTGTTTTGAATATGTTCAATCCTCCCTTCAAAGCCCTTGATCCTCCACCCAGAGCGGCCGATCCTCCACCTAAAGCACTGGATCCTCCACCTAAAGCACTGGAACCTCCACCTAAAGCACTGGATCCGCCCAAGACGCTAGCTGATCCTCCACCCAAGACGCTCGATCCGCCGCCAGTAGCTCCAAAAGCGCTCGGCTTTTTTGCGATCGGACTCGTTTCTTCACCTAGGCCATAAGTGCCTCGCAAAATAGTTGCGTCCTTAGACGTGAAAGCAATTTATTCCTTCCGTGCATTTCTTCAGAATCCCACGAAGGAAACAGAAGAAAAAGTCCCTTAGAAATGACTTGCATCATGCCTTAACATCCGGTCCAAGACCAAAGGTTCCGCCTTCATCCACGTCTGCTCCTTCGCCCTCAACGGCTCCTCCAAACTCTTCAGCTAACTCCTCTAGCATCACATCCTTCGCATCTTCCATCTTCGCCTCATTCTTGCCACTGCCAAAACCCTTAACTCAGAATTAGAGATGAAGAACTCGTTATGCTCTTTTGGTGAGGCGTATTTAATGGACGAGCAGAAAAAAACTGGAAGAACGACGATCCAGCATATCCAGGTTCTTGTTAATCTTCCAGTAGTAAGCGTGTAGACCGTACTAGAAGATTAAGAAATATAGTGAGATTACAAAGATAAGAAGTCTGATGTTGGAATGTAAAAAAAAACTTAGTGCAACGAAGAGACAATGCAAAACAACCAGTTCTGCCTTTCGCTATCGAGCTTGAGGGACAAGAAACTTATTGTTGTTGTACTAGAGCCATAACCAGGTTTGAACCCCAATTCATGGTGAGCCTTTGGTTTCGCTTTGTTTAGCAGTTGCAGATGCTGTTTCGCTTCCTCGTGCTCAGCTGGTACTGGGAAGAATTGTTTTTTCTGAAGATTATCCTCAAACTCATTACTTCCTTCCTCAATCACGTGTTCATGCCCTTCGCCCTCAGATGCCACCGCCGCTGGGGCAACCGGTGGAATTTTTGAAGATTTCTGGAGGAGCTGCGCAGTCTGCCGAGCCATTTCATCTTCATCGTCGTCATGTGCTGGACCCTCTGCTTTGCCTTCGTTCTGCTCACCTGTTTCCACAGGAGGTGTATCATTGTTCTGCTGTTCAGCACTACCACCTGGCGGAATTTCTTCACCCGCAGAAGTTGGCATATTTCCTTCACCAGTAGTTGGCTTTTCTTCTTCTACTGAGGGTCGTTTTTCCGTTTCCGATTCTTTATCTCCTGACATCGACGATTTCCTCTTTTGGCCATCACCGTCACCTCCTCGTTGTGATATTTCGTCCTCCTTTTGCTTAATCCATGCAGTGCTCCATGATTGAAACCACACCATAAAACCTAGATACAGGAAGACAAAGCCGTACAGACAGATGGAGTAGACAGTGTGGCTCTCGCTGTTCACTGTGGGTACGCTTTTGACTGCAAGAATGAAAGAGAAAGAGAAGTTGAAGACTGATGTGCTGGTAGAAAGTTCTTAAGTGCCAAAGATAAACTTCACCTATCAGTAGAGTCTATCCAAATTTCAAGTTCACAATGTTTTCACGAATGGTGAGGTAATCGGAGTGAAATTTTGTAAGAGGAGACAAACCAAGGAAGTCTTTCCTCCTAACATTATCGGCCGCCTCTGCATTTGCAGCGGTTTCATCCTCAAAAGGTTCTTTTGCTTCGTCATCTATCGCGAGATCATCGTCATCATCAGCACGTGCAACTTTCTGTGAAGCTAGAGGCAGGGATTTGAATGCTGCTGTATCGACAGAACCAAGGCCATCCGCATCCTCGAACGGTGCATATTCCCTGACAATGGTTCGTTATTCGCTGGATGTCTACTAGAATGGTGGCTTGGCTTTTCTTTTGAAATTGAACCTCTAACTCCTACTACGATGAATGAAAACTCAATATAGAATCTTCCGTTTCTTCTTCTTTCATAATCAGTATAATTTTTGCGCAGGAACGAAAATGAAAAAAAAGCAGGTCGTAATCGTACTATAAGCATCTTCATCTTCTATGAATGTATACTATGAGTACGCCAATCGAACTCGTTTCTTCAATTTCTCTGGTATCCCTTTGGATTGCGGATCGCTAGCCAGTAACACGGCTAAGACCAGGTCTCGACCTGATTTCTGAGGTGGCTTGTCAGCGGTAAGACGTTTTTCGAGATAGGTGCACAGTTTGTCGCTCAACGAAACGCCGAAATCTCGTGAGTTTGTGCTTCCCCTAGTTCATCCCTGTAGGGGTCCCTCAAGCGTATGCCTCACTATTCCCCTTGTATTGGTTTGCATACTGTTGCGGGATGTCTATAGAGATGGATTAGGGGAAGCCTTAAGTGAGGTGATCGTCAAGATGCAGGTATTCAAATCCTCACCCGACTCTTCGGAGATGCTACTGCCTTTTTTCTTGTACTAGATGAATGAAAATATCATGGGACTCGGGCGGGTTACTTATTCCTTAATCAGAAGTTCTATGGAGAGACGATGGATATACGGTCAAAGCTACAATCATGGTCAGAGCCCTAAAAAATATCAACATGACATGATCATAACCATATTTATATTTATATGTTCCAGGGCTCAGGGCGGGAGGCCCCCCCCCCGATCTAACTTTTTGAAGGGGGGGGGCCTCCCCGCCCCGGCCCCTCTTTCCGAGGGGCTGCCGGGGGGGAAGGCCCCAAAGCGCCCACTTCTGACCCCTTCCCGCTTCTTGCCTGTACGCTACAGACCTGGCAAAGGTGGCAAAGGCTGGGCCCTCTTGTCGTGTTGCGTGTGCCCGACAGAGCTGGCAGAGGAGGCAAGGCGGGACCCACCCCCTTGGCGTGCTGCATGTCCCCGACAGACCTGGCAAAGGTGGCAAGGCTGGGCCCCTCTGGCGTGTTGCATGTGCCCAACCCTACGCCATGGGGGTGAGTTCCCGCCTTTGCCCCCTTTGCCAGGTCTGTAGGGTACATGCAACAAGGCAGCGGGGCCCGGCCTTTGCCACCTTTGCCAGGTCTGTAGGGTACACGCAACAAGGCAGCGGGGCCCTGCCTTTGCCACCTTTGCCAGGTCTGTAGGGTACATGCAAGAAGCGGGAAGGGGTCAGAAGTGGGCGCTTTGAGGCCTTCCCGCCCGGCAGCCCCTCGACAGGCCTGGCCAATAAGGTGGCAAGGCTGGACCCCTCTGGCGTGGTCCACCCAAGATCCATCCGCAGGGGGGGGGCCCATTCTCGAGCTTAAGGGGGGGGGGCCTCCCTCCCTGGTACATATATAAGTAACCTCTTGAGCTGAGTCTTGGTCGTCATGAAACTGAAAGCATGTGCGACTATAATTTCCACCATCTCATAAACAATTCTGGCGCCACGACCTGCGGCGTCCCTTCAGCGCCTTTGACCTTGAAACCCTGCGTGTTAGGGTTCACGAGGTCCCACTCATACTGCCCTTCACGCCGGAGTAAAAGGCGCTTGCTCTGCTCCTCACGTTGCTCCCGTGTTACCCTTCGAAGCCCGGCGACCATCGTAAGGTGAAGGAGATGTATGCACGCCCAGCCAGAAATCCATGACGTACCGCTACAACTAAACGCCATTTCCTGGCTTACGCTTTCCCGCACACGCTTCGAGTTAACAATTCAAACATGTTCTTTCGTCACATTTTTCATTATGTGTGCTATCTGAGCTCTTGCGCTCCAAATCTAAGTCTAACCCCAACATTATGAATCAATCATTTTCTCTGTTTATGTGCACACGCTGTTGTTCGCCTATGCTTTGTTAAGGTGGGGCAACCGCTTTTAAAGCTAGACGTAGCCAGTCGTTTGTGTTGAAATGCAATTTTTCTTCGCAGGATCTCCTAATCGCCTTTGGACTCTGGGAAGAAGCCGTCATGTCCAAAAGCTACTTGAGAGAAAGGGGACATCACGTAGTCTACGAGAGCTCGGGTAGCTTCTTCCGTTTTGATCAACCCTCAGAACAGCCTCGGCGAGGGCTCTTCGGGTAGCTTCTGGCCCGGCGTTTTTGATTTTCGGGCCTTTTTTCTGGGAGCCTTTGTTTTGCTCCCGTCCCGGTGCTCTTGACTCTATTTGTAGCAACAGCACGAGCATGACAAACTACCAAGTAGAACAACAAAAATATTAGTGTTTCGCTTTCATCGGAAACGAGGTAGCAGTTGTCCTGACTGACAGATTACCGGTGTAGTAAGTACTTCTTCAACAGTTCAAAACGAGACGGTTTGCAGCCCTCGAAAAAATTATAAGAAGGCGCTCCACCACAAAAGCTAGCAGCCCTTGAAAAAATATAAGAAGGCGCTCCACGTCTTCGTTGGTGCTAGAAGAAATAGAAAATGAAAATGCTTCACAACAGCTAGCAGCCCTTGAAAAAAGATAAGAAGGCGCTCCACCACAAAAGCTAGCAGCCCTCGAAAAAATTATAAGAACGCGCTCCACCACAAAAGCTAGCAGCCCTTGAAAAAATATAAGAAGGCGCTCCACGTCTTCGTTGGTGCTAGAAGAAATAGAAAATGAAAATGCTTCACAACAGCTAGCAGCCCTTGAAAAAAGATAAGAAGGCCCTCCACCACAAAAGCTAGCAGCCCTTGAAAAAAGATAAGAAGGCGCTCCACCACAAAAGCTAGCAGCCCTCGAAAAAATTATAAGAACGCGCTCCACCACAAAAGCTAGCAGCCCTTGAAAAAATATAAGAAGGCGCTCCACGTCTTCGTTGGTGCTAGAAGAAATAGAAAATGAAAATGCTTCACAACAGCTAGCAGCCCTTGAAAAAAGATAAGAAGGCGCTCCACCACAAAAGCTAGCAGCCCTTGAAAAAAGATAAGAAGGCGCTCCACGTCTTCGGTGGTGCTAGAACAAGTAGAAAATCAAAATGCTCCACAATAGCTTTTTTATTTGTATCACTATTGTTCATCAAAAGTTTCAACGTCTTGTTTCAGAGTCACTTCTCCTAAGACCCTTCGTACCCAACTTCCCTCCTTCGACCTTTTTCTATCACAACGGTCGGAGGCTTCCTTGATCGCCATCACCAGGCTCAATTCCACTCGACGTCTATTAGCATGAATCGATAAGTTTTAAACGATTCTCCTCTACGGTCCTGCGTATTATCGGCTTGAGCTTGACATTCCATCTGAAAGCGAAGCCTGCCGTATCTCGACAGAGCATCAGCGATTGCGGATTTCACCTTCTCCCGCGTAGCTTCTACAGATATCTTCTCCACCTCCACATTATCAAAATTTCTAGGACGCCATGTCTCGCAACTATTCAATTTCAAATTCATTTCGTCCAGCGTATCAAAAAAGCTGCCACCGCAACTGACGATTCTTCCTACCGTGACATCTCGCACGTTTGCAGTACTACTGTAATCATCTGGTTCTATTTCTTGTCCAAACATTTGTGATGATGAAGTATCAGGGAAGTTTTGACGGAGCTGGTCTACGTTCTCGATGATCGGGGAGTCTGTGCCTGCAAGATGCTTCCGCGGCAACTTCATCGCTTTCTCCATCTCAAAGCCCTTGTAGTTGTGGCGGCACATTCCCAAAACCAAATTATCGTCGAGCTTCTCGACCTCTTGCTGCAATGTAGAAGATGGAGTGCGGACGAATCGTATGCGATAATGAGGACCCCGAAGAGGTGGCTGGTTGAATTCTTCAACAGAAGCAGCAGGGCTCATGATTTTCACAGAGGTGCCTGGGGTCGATGCCGAATCCACTGCTAATAGGTTCGTAAGCAGCTTTGCCTGTAGCTCCCGTTCCTCATTCCGCAACGTGGTTAACTCTCCCTGTAGCTGCTCTTCCTCTAGTGGAAGATATTCACTTACTAGTTGAGCTGCTTCTTTTGATGCATCCGTATCATTTTCATGGGGCTCCATATCCTTTATTTGTTTTCGCACTTCAGTTAGCTCTTGTTCTACTTCTTTGGCCCTCTTTCTATTAGCTGCTAGAAGTGCATTAGCGTCGGCCTTCTCCTCTGGTTTTGCTGCTTGCGTACCAGACGACTTTCCGCCAGTGCCACTGACTATGAAACTCGGCGTCAGATGGCTGGCGTCGCCTTTGTCTTCTTTGCTATTGTCGTCCAATCCGTCATCATCGTCAGGTCTTGTGTGATCGACCTCATTCTCATCCGATTGATAGCCTGTAGCTTTTCAGGGTCGGTAGAGATGGACTGGCCTCTGCATATAATGTTATAATGTAAGCGCTGGACCATTCGAACACAGACTTCTAAGTCGCGCCTAGTTTCTCGGTAAGAAGCACTTGAGCTCGATACAGATCGCACGATTGCACTCACAGCCTGAGACTAACGGCCTCTGGCTGCTTTGATCCCTGTGGATATTCATTGGGGTCGCAAGGAGGAAGTCTCAGCTTCTTCATTGGGACATCATGATGCTTCATGTGAGAACGCCTATGCTATCATCATTGACGCACTCGATCGCCCTACATCGAATCACTGATCAGAACTGGCGAGACGTTATGAACCTGATTACAGCTATGAACATTCGACATTTCTGCTATCTGAATACGTTGAAGGTCCTTTGCCTGTTGATCATTGATTCTGGAACCATATGCATTTAGGTCTGTAGGTTATCTTTGGGGCCTTTCCTGTTGCGTTTTGTCCTTGACTGTGTTGGAAGGCTTGAGCCACAAACGAGAGAGGGAGGAGAAGCCAGAGACACCCGCGCGACGGTAAACCCGTCGGGCGTTTGGATGGTGCTCCGGTAACCTTTTGCCTGGCGATCTTGGTCATTTCGTTGATCTTTATCCTTCTGATCTTTGTGACATTTCAAGGATTACGATCTTGACCAACAGTAAGACAATGGCTAAAACTAATATTAAGAGCAATAAAACTTTGCAAGCACTTCCCTTCGGAAGCCTCAACCTCCAACACCCAAACCCAAAACCTCCAACACCCGAACCCAAAACCTCCGACACAAAAACAAACAAACCCCAAACCCATGAACCCAGGAACCCAGGAACCCACGAGACCAGGAAACCACGAAGCGAAACCATGAAACCAAGAAACCACGAAACCATGAAGCAACGGAAGTGAATTTCGGGGGAAAGGGCTTAAAGTCAAAAGCTTTAGGATCTTAACGCTCCAAACTCACGAGACTCGTTCTCAAAACGACGACAAAACGTGGAAAATTTTCGAAATTTGAAAACGCGAAGCCAAGGAATTAAATTTCAAAGAAAGGGCTTAAAATCAAAAATTTTGGGATCTTAGCCTTTCAAAGTCAACGGAGTCACTCGCAAAATGACGAAAAAGGTAGAAAACTTTCGAAATTTGAAAAACGCGGAGCCAAGCGACTGAATCTCAGGGAAAGGGCTAAAAATCAAAAATTTTGGGATCTCAACGCTTCAAACGCACGAGGCTCAATCTCAAAACGACGACAAAATGTGGAAAATTTTCGAAATTTGAAAAACGCGAAGCCAAGGCATTAAATTTCAGAGAAAGGGCCCAAAATCAAAAATTTTGGGATCTTAGCACTTCAAACTCACGGGATTCACTCCCAAAACGACGAAAAACGTGGAAAATTGTTGAAATTGGAAAAACGCGAAGCCAAGAGATTGAATCTCAGGGAAAAGGCTTAAAATCAAAAACTTTGGGACTTTAGCACTTCAAACGCACAGAATTCAACCCCAAAACGACGGCAAAACGTCGAAAATTTTCGAAATTTGAAAAACGCAAATCCAAGAAACTGAATCCCAGGGAAATCAAGCGAATGCGGCCGGGCTGGAATCTATTCTAATTCTTTTCTAATTTTTCTCTTTTTTGCTTCTGTTTGCTCATGGGAGCCAATGTCGCTTCGTATGTTGTGGGGGATGGTGAGTGTGTTCATGTGCAAAGCTTTTGCGCCAGCTGTGTGGGGGGGTTGCAGTTAAAGCTGCATGAGTCACACTTGAGGCAGGGCAGCACTAGCTCAGTACTTAGATCTATAGCTCTAAGTAGTTATGTGCGTATGCGTTAGGTGCTTACATCTATAGGCTAGCCCGCGGCTCTTGGCTGTGCTAGATTATTAGGATTTGCGCCCTCGGGCTGAGTGTGAGAGCATCTGAGAGGAAAACCCGAGCCAAAAACATGTCTGGCCCTCTGGGCAACGTCATGCGCGAGGGTGCTCCGAAGATCGACTTTTTTGGTGCTGAGCTTCCGGTCTGTGGTTTCCGCGACATGGTGTTGCTTCCTCGGGCACCTCTTCGAGCAACCGGCGCGTATTTGAAATTTTTGGTCAAATATGCGAGGTTTGCCGCGACTGGCATCTGGGCGCGGAACGTCCCTGGTGAGTTTGATGACTACAGTGTTGGAGCGCAGCTGGAATGCTATCGGCATTTGTTCTGTAAACTCCTCCTGCTACATCAGGCGGAGACGATCCCCAAGTTCTTGCGTCGTGAAGGCAGCAACTCAAGTAGGGTGTGCTACTTCTCTCACGTGGAGTGGGATGAGACGGACATGACCACCATCGACAACACTACGAAAGTGCCAACTTCTTGCAGCACTCTGCTGGTGGTGAGAGCAGTGGGGCGCTATGATGCGGGAGACCCTCGGGGTATAATAGATAAGTACTTCACCTTGCAGCCGCTTGTCATGATGAACGTCGGGAAGTCGGCAGACCAGGTGATGGGGCAGGTGTTGAAGGTGGCGCCGTCTTTGCGGAATCTCATGCGGGGCGCTGCAATTCCGGTTGAGGGTGTGATGACGTTGAGTCATGCAGCAGGAGATGGAGCGTCCCTAGTCCCTCTGCGTCAGCATCTACATGGAGCACATGGCGACCCACCTCTACCGACTGCAGCTGACCGCTTGGATGGGCTGTTAGATCTCTACGTGCCATCACGCTGCACCCCGCACGAGTGGCACCTGGGGATTAAAGCTGGGACCTCTTTCATCATTTCGGGGGAGGCTGAGGAGAAAGGCTTCTCAGGCATATGCAGGAGCGCGAGCGGGAGCATCATGGTGGTGAGGGAGTTCATCCCGCTCTTCGTAGACACGCACTTTCAGGCGGCAGTGATGAACGAGCAAGACCGAGCGGAGTACGCGGAGCTCATTGACTTCCTCTCGCAGGATTGGAAGCAGGAGCTCGTCGATGAACTGAAAAAGAGCCCCATCTTCTTCCGCGGTGGTTCTCTGCACAGTTGTGCGACTAAGAACAAGGCGAAAGAAAGACTCTTCGAGTTGTAGGCTCCGGCGAAGGTGAACTTTGGGCGGTTCGGTGATAGTGTCGAACCGATTGCGAGGTACTGCTTGCTGAACTTGCTTGGCTTGTGGCCCGCGTGTGCGAGTCTGGCACTCAAGAAAGCAAACAAGAAGATGCTCTTGCGGGCGGCACTGCAGAGTCCGAAGCTGGATGTGGATAAGTTCACTCAACATTGCTGGCAGATTGCCTTGGGGCTGCAGGTGTTGTGCAAAGCAAGGAGGATGATTCTGAAGACTCCAACGATTACGCGCCTGGAAGCGTCGCGCCTGACAGTTGAAGCCATCGCAACACAGGAGTGGCGATCAACAGTTCCGCAAAGTGCCACCCGCTTTTCAACTCATTGTAGAACGGAGGACGCGCGGGCCAGCCGGTTATCATTTGATGGCGCCTTCACACATCTGCAAACGAACGCCTTCACAAAGCTGGACTCTTGGCCGTGGTGTGCTGTGTTGGAGTGTGAGGATGCTGCTGAGTTTGTCCGGAGAGTGCGCGACGCGCCAGACGCTGACCTGGATGCAAGCTTCTCCAAAAAGATAAAAAAACTCTCGCAACTTCTTCCAGGTGTCCTCAGTGAGAACATGCGTCGACTCAGTGGGTACCTTCACGTCATGCGCTCCATCGCAATTGGCATCATCTATTGCGAGCGGCTGCACAAGAATGGCGCTGATGTTAGTAGGCGGAACTCTTTAATGCATCAGCATGTGAATACTTTTGTGATGCTCAAACTGCACAAGCAGCTGAATAAGATCGACGACGCGGACTTTAGTAGTGAGATGGATTTTGGCGCACCACGTGCAGGGGCTGCAACTTCTTGCACAGCGGAAAAGCAGATTGCGGACATCTACCACCGTGTCGCAAAAGTCAAAGCAACAAGCATGTTTGTACAAGAAAAATCGAAGAAGGGGATTACCGACGCGAAGGGCCAGCGGCTTCTAGTAGAGGACTGGATGGAGAACGACTGGCGGGATGTCACAGACGAGCACTACCAAGAGCTCAAGGAGAAAGCGGAACTCCACAAGGTCGCCTTGTATCAGAAGCTGATGAGCCGCCTGAAGGACAGCGACAGGAAGGTGGTCAAGCGGGACGAAAAAATGGGCCGACACCTAAAGACGTTCTGTCTGGCGAATACAGTGAATGTCGATTCTCTTTTAACAGATGACCAGGTCTATCACTTCTTCAACAACAAAAGAACACGCAAGGAGCTGGAGAACGACTACAAGGAGTTGCATCAGAAGTCTTCCACTCCAGCGACAGTGCCGCGCGTCTTAGTCTCGCACCCGTTGCCGCCGTTTCTGCCTTCGGAGTTGGATGGCTCGCTCGCTGAGTTGGTTCGCAGAGCCAAAAACGATGGGCGGAGCAAGATCGTTGGTGGTGTGTTGCTCGTCTTCGAGGTGACTGCTGACGAGACAACAAGAATACGCGCGTGGCGGGTTGCGTCGATTTTTTTAACTCCTTTGCGAATAGCTGGCTTGCGTTTGAGCTGCGTCTCTAGTGGTATGGAAACAGGACTCAGCGTTCTTGCAAAAAAACCAGCAGCGGCGGAGCTCAGCAAGTTGCCGCCCGGTCAGGTGTTCTTCGTGCCTCCGGATGCTGTTACGGATGTTGGCATGCTTTTGCAGGTGCGTGAGACGCTTCGTCCCATCTTCTTGAGGGACTCGGCAGTCGTATGCGCGATACGTGGCGCCACCACTAGAGTGAAGCGAAAGGACCAGGCCGCACGTGAAGGACCTCCGCCAGCGCGTCCAGCGCCTGCGATTCCACGTCCTCCAGCGGCAGGACCTGCGCGTCAAGTCGCACAGCCGCCACGACAGCAGTTTGATGCGCCAGCGAACGTTGCTGGGAAGAGGAGGAGGATCGAGGCTGGTGCGCGTGTCATGCTTGAGAATTTCATGCAGGATGAGGAGTCTGAGCCTTTTGAGTTCATTCCACGGGGAGGCGAGTGGACAGCGAGGAACGTGGGGACCGTTGTGGATGTTGTGCGTGTAACTCTTGCGGATGATGATGGCCTCAAGCGACTGCGGGAGCTGCTCCTTTTAGGCAAGAAGCATAGTAGTAAAGACTTCGCTGTCGAATTGTATGGAGGAATGGAGAAGGCGCGCAAGGCTGCCGCTGTTGTGGTGCGCGCGCTGCGGTTTTTATTAAGCCGTGGGGCGACGATGACGAACTCTGAGCAACGACGGCAGTCGCTCTATACCCGGGGGGTGCATGCTGACTGGGCAGAGGCTCTGGCGGGACTCTTGGATGACGTCATCAACAATCTAAAGGCGCGAGGAAACTACTGGAACCACCACCCCAGGCATGGATTTTATGAAAAACTTTTGAACATAGCGAAGTGCGACTTTGATGGACAGAAGAGCCTGATGGAGTATTTTTGAAATAGTAGCTATATCCGTCGTAGTGTGCTGGTCATTTTTTCAAGTTGTTAGTAGGGTCCACCGAAATGCACTGGCCATCTTTCAAGTTTGGGGCCAAAGTAGCCTGATCTTGCCTTCGTTGTGGATTTCTTTGCGGCTGCCCTGATTTACTTTTGTGTTCTTTCGGCTCGGGTGTGATCTGCTTGTCTTGGCGCGTAAGCTCGTTGCGGCTCTCTTGCGATCTCCATGCGCTTTCTCATGATCTGCTTCTACCTGTGGTTGCGGTCGCGTTCGTAAGTAGCGCGCAGTGTAAACATTCACGATCAGGCTCGCGGATCCTCTAGAAGGTCGCACTTCGCTAAAAGAATAAGCATGGCCGCTTTCTCAGTATCGTAATGCTTTTATGTAATCACATGACGTTCCTCTCATCTCTCTTCTGCTAGTCTATTACTGAAAGACTTCTGCCCGCTAAATAAACAGACACTCTAACAGCAAGACGACCCATAGTGGTGAGCAATCATGTCGCAGTCCAAGATGAGTGCTCCTGGTGCAGACGGTTGCGAGACTGGTGGCGCTAGCTCCAAAATGAGCCCGCCGCCTGTGCCCGGAACTCAAGGCGAGAACGTCGACGAGACGCCTGGCGCTACAGGTGGCGCCGCCCCTAAGAAGAAAACGGGTAGAAAGCCTGCTGCTGCTAAGTCGGCGGCTCAGCCAAAGGCTCCTCCTGCTGGTACTATGGACAAGCTGCTCGATGAAAACAAGAGTGAGGCGCCGGCGCAGCAGGAACATCAGAAGCAGGCTCCCGCAGCTAGTACCAGCAACAACGTCGTGGCGCCGCCGCCGGGAAAAGAAGATGCTAACTCCGCCCAGCCGAAACCGAAATCGAAAAGCAAGGCGATCAACGTGGTGTTGTTTTGTATAGGGTTTTGAGGTTCTATTTCTACACCGACACTCTGCGCCTGGTCATGTTTTTTACGCTTCTATTTTTGGTTCTAAGTTTTACCTCGGGGCTCGGTTTCTAAGGAGGTTTTTCAAATAGCACTTAATTGGAACCAAAATTAGAGCCAATAATAGAGGCTGAAAAACGTGACCCGGGGGCTCTTGCTGGAGTGTAGTAGCTGTCTAGTCTCGATTTTTTGATGCTTTTTCCATCATTTGAATTCGGCAACTTTTCGAAAAAAATGGCCACCGTGTCAAACTGCTAAGTCATCCTTTCTCTCTCATCTTAGTCAAAAAATGACCGCGGTCATTTTTCAAAACTCAATCAAAACCTCTCACAGAAACGCGCCCTGGCCTGGTGGCCAGCCAGGACGAGATCGACTTCAAGAAGGACGCGCAGCCCGCAAAGCGCAACCGCAAGAGGGAGCCGGTCAACCTCGAAGACATCGAGGCGCAGAAGGAGGATGCTATGCAGAAGCTGAAATCGAAGCACCGCAACGACAAGTGGCAGTGCACCTACGGCGACTTCCTCACTGGCTTGCCGGCTTTCGGGAAGAAGCCAGGCAGCACAGCCGATGACGAGTCTGGTGGCTTCCAGAACGCGGCGGAGTACGTCGCCTCCCTCCTCGCCGAGCAGCATAAGAAGAAGGGCTCGACCACCATCAACCCGCACATCCCGCAGCTTCAGTGGCGTTTCATCTTGGACAAGATCAACGAACACTGCAACACCGTCCGTCGCCAAGAGTGCCGCGCACTGCTCCACAAGCGCCTGAACCGCAAGGAAAGCGCCCGACAGAAGTTGGACACCATCAGCAACTTCCTCTATGCGCATGGTAGTGCCATCTCAATGCATGGCTATGCCACTCGCCCGGTCAAGATGGTTGTTGATGAAGCAGCTAAGCCAGCGTTTACATCTTCTTCTTTTGGGTTTGGACTAGGTGGCAGCCGTAGTAGCTTTGGCGGATTCTCTCCGGTTGATGAAAGCTGTGCTCTGGGTCAGTTGTGTGATGACCATCGCAAGGAGCAGGAGAAGGGGGTCGCCTCTTTGTTGGGGGGCATGCCCAAGCCTCCGCAGGTCGCGTCGTCATCTTCTACAAGTACTAGCGCCATTACTACAACTTCTTCTTCTACTGGGTTCGCTGTCACTCCGTTGTCTTCGCTTCTTGACATGTCTGACGCTGCTTTCAAGGAGCAGTTGGCTAAGAAGACGGAAGCCAAGAAAGCCTCATCATTGGCTGCGGGGGAAATTCAGATTGGCAACAAGGAGTCGGAGGAGATGCGTTGGCCATTGAACGACGCCGAGATGTGTGCTCTGCAGAAGCACCTGCGTGGAAAGAAGCCGGAGCTTCTTCATTTGTCGAACATCGCGGAGTGTGTTGAAGCTGCGCGCGATCAGTTGTCGATCTTTGGTAGTTCTTCTACTACTAGACTCTAGCAATGGCATGTCACTAAAGTTGTGCTGTCGTTGTTGTTTCTCTTCTAGCATCTCCTCTTCTTCAGTTTTGGCAGGTAGATTCTCGGATGATCGTTAAAAATGACCGCGGTCATTTTTTCTAAACTTATCACTTTCCATACTATCGAGTCGTGGCAGCTTCTTTTCTTCGTCCAAAGATGGCCGATTTTTTTTATCGCTACTTTTCTCTCATGCACAGGCGCGCCCCAGCTCGAGCAGCCGTATCAAGTTCTTGCGGATTGGGTGAGCGATTCTTTGAAGAAGAAGTTCGACGCCGAGTCTAAGGGGACGGCCGTGGAATTTGTCAACAGGTGCTTTCTTTTTCTCTTGTTTCTTTTCCTTATAGCAATTTCTTTCGTGTGACTTTGCTTTTTGAATAGGCCTGGGACATCATTCTTTCAAGTGATTCTGTCTTATTCGAAGGCGGGCCTTTTTTTTTCATCTCTCTATGTTTCTACTGCATGAACCTCCCAGGTACAAGGCTGTTTTCAAGTCGACTGGCCCCAACTTGCTCAAGGCTTCCAAGATGGTCGAAGATATGAAGTTGCTGGCTGCTCCTGGAAAGGGGAACTCCACGACCACCGCCTTCACTGAGAATGATGAGCTGAACGGTGACGACCCGATGGGTCTTGATGGTGAACCTGAGCAGGCCCTTAAAGGGGCGGAACTTTCTGGCGGCGGTTCTGAGATGGATACCAGCCCCACCATGTCCCTTGAGGAGTTGCAGGAGTGCTTCGATGTTTTGAAGCAGGCGGAGATCTCGACGTTTTCCCACCAGACCAAGAAGATCGAGCGCCTGCTCGAAGATGCGCAGTGGGAGCATCGCACTGAGGCGGTACTTCTGTCTTCTTTTGTTGTGCAAATTTTAGAGAGAGACACTGAGCTGAGGGACTTGCTGATGATCTCCGAGTGATTTTGGCACTCTTTTCACTTTGTGTTTTTGGGTTCTTCCGCTGTTCTGGTGTTGTCTTTTTATATTTTCTTCACCTCCACTGATTTTTTTGCTTTTTGGGTGGGATCGCTTTTGAGTAAGCAGTAGCTGCTTTTTTGTTCTTGACTCGTTCCCTCTTACCACTTGCACAGGCCTTGTCGCGCTTCCTCGAAGACTCGGAGTTCGATCGTGATTCGGCGGAGCTAGAACGTGCTCTCAAGTCTCAGCGCGCTGGTGCCAAGGACATGTGTCGCTTCTGGCGTGTGTTTGGTCAGACCATGAAGGACAAGAAGCTGCTCCCGTCGGTCATGGAAATGGTTGAGGCTACGTTGACTGGTCAGCCGTTCACTCGCACCACGAAGGAGATGGAGTTCATGGACGTCCCTACCGTGCAGCTTTTTTGCGACATCCGCACCGAAGCGTTTGCGAAGATCCGCAACAAGAAGCAGCTTGACTGGACAGTGTAATGCTTTTAGTTTTTTTCATACTTGGGCAGCATCACTTCGCCGTGGTCATTTTTTTCAGAGTGGGAGAGTACTTCGCAGCGGTCATTTTTTTCAGAGTCTACTCATCGCAGATTTTGCTTCTTGTTTAGTGGTTGGATTCGCTTCGGGATTCTTATCTTCATTCGTGACCCAGCTTTTTCACATCTATCGTCCGTGACCATTTTTTTGCAGATACGCACTTCAACCAAAACTATCGCCAGGTTTGACGTCCTTCCGAATTTGGTGGACTTCGGGGGAAAGGCTTTGCAGTCTGACATCGATGAGCTGCGCGCTATCTGCCACGTTAAGAATGCGGAGCTGGCTTCCATTCTCGAGAAGGTTGCCTGTGGTGAGATCAAGGACTTTTCGAATGTCAACTGGACGCGTGGTGGCTGTCAGGATGATACCAAGCGCCTGACGCAGGACCTCCTCACAGATGACGCGGTCGTCTATGATGTTTACCGCTCCATTTGGGTGAACAAGGGCGCAGATGACATGGTGAAGAAGTTGATGATCTGGATTTGCCGCGAGAAGAAGCTATCCGAGCCAGAACTGGCGAAGCTGGTCCCGCGTTTGAAGCAGGCCTCCGATGCTGATAATGGTGCTAAGTTCTTATCTGATGGGTAGACTTCTGTGCGTGCTTTAAGTAAGTCGGTGACGTTTCGTCTTTCTTTGCTAGGGTTTGTCTTATGTTCCCTTTTTCATCTGATGCAAAAAAACTACCAGGTAGTGACATGGTGGAGACGCTCTTGCAGTACACTCGTGGCGTCGAGTTTCTTCTTTCGGAAGGTGATGAGACGGCTGCTCGCGCAGTGAAGAACAAGTTCAACCGCGCGAAAATGCAGGCGGACATGGGAGACGATAATGATGACGTCTTCGGCTAAGCCAAACAAGGCGCACAGCCAAGAAGACGCGCAGAAAAGCGTGCCACCTGGAAGATTTCACACGGAGCCACTTGCTTTCGTGTCTTCTTCTTCCACGTGTTGTCTCCTTACTTTTTGATGTAGTTCAATTTGAGGGGTCACAGATGTGGCTGATCTTGGGCTTTCCGGGGCGCCGGTGATACGTGAGGGGCTAGCCCGCCCTCTATGTATGAACTACTTACCACCGTTATTGTTTGAAGAGAATCCTTATCACGTTTGTACTACTTTCATGGGCAGTCTTCAGATGTATCGTCATAATTCTCATGCTTCTTGCGATGTCCCCCCTTCGACCGTCAAGGAGGCGCCCCTGCGGGGTGTCGTCTCCCTCTGGCGGTATCTAACTAGCGCTACACCGAGATAGTACTTTTTTAAGAATGGAAAAACGTAGAGAAACTTCATGGCGTCTGACATCTTGGCGGAACGCCATCAGAACTACCCCGAGGCACCACACGACAGCAACCTTTGAAAGATTTTTTAACACAATACTAGCAACATATCGCACAGACCCAGCACTTTGCTTGGGCTAGTGCTGTCTTGCCATATAGGCTTGAAGCTCTCGCTCGGCTTGTTATCTTCGTCGCGCTTTACAGGCGTCACGATGTGGCTGCGCGGGGGGCGGTGAGTTTTGTATGAATGTTTCTGGAGCTTGCTGGCCTCCTAGTCGTGGCTAGAGTCTGCGTCTTCTGATCTAGGTCCTTTATATCTTTTCGCGGTGACTTGGGTACTGAGTCTTGGTGTGTGTGTGTCGCAGTAGCCTCAGTGCCTCAGCTCCTTCAAGTCTTCGATGATGTGCCTCGGCTTAGCGAAGTCGCCCTTGTCTGGTGATCTTCTCAACCCTTGGCAGAGAGTGACACTCTATGCGGGAACCTTAGGGAGCTGCGTTTTAGTGCTTTCTGTGGTTGCTCTAGGGTCAAGCTTCCCGCGACAGTTTTCAAGACTTTGATCGGAGGAGCTAGAGCAGGCGGGGGGTGGCGCTCGAGCTTAGGCATTTCGGCCTGCCGTTCGTTCGGTGTTTGGCGATGTTCGCTGGTGACTCCTTCGTCGGTGTTCTCTTTCGGTGTTTCTCTTTCTGTTCGTCGCCGGGTGGGGTATTAGAGGGCAACTAGCAGGAAACTAGCAGGAAAATAGCAGACGAGGCGGCCTGGGGTTATTCGCTTGAGGGAAAGGGCTGAAAAGAAAGGCAAAAACCTTGGGGCTTTAGCGCTTCAGACGCACAAAATTCAATCCCAAAACGACAGCAAAACGTGGAGAATTTTCGAAATTTGAAGCATGCAAATCCAAGAACGAGGTTGAATTTCAGCGGAAGGCCTTAAAGTCGAAAAGTTTTGGGATCTTAGCACTTGACTTCAAACGCATGAGACCCAATCCCCAAACGATGGCAAAACGTGGAAAGTTTTCGAAATTTTAGCACTTGACTGCAAACGCACGAGACCCAATCCGCAAACGATGGCAAAACGTGGAAAATTTTCGAAATTTGAAAACGCATATCGCTTACATCTTTGCCTTGCTTAGTTTCTTATTTAGGGGAGGAGGGGGATCCTAGTGGGAGGGATGTTATCGGACGCTCCAAGCTAGTACTAAGAGCAATAAAACTCTGCAAGCACTTCCCCTCCGAAGCCTCAACCTCCAAGCCCACAACCTCCGACACAAAAACAGACAAACAATCCCCAAATCCATGAACCCATGAACCCAGGAAACCACGGGATTGAATTTCAGGGAGAGGGCTTAAAGTCAAAAGTTTTGGGGTCTTAGCGCTTCAAACTCACGAGGTTCAATCTCAACACGACGGAAAACGTGGAAAATTTTCGAAATTTGAAAAACGCGAAGCCAAGAGATTGAAGCTCAGGGAAGGGGCTCAAAATCAAAAATTTTGGACCTTTAGCACTTCAAACGCACAAAATTCAATCCCAGAACGGCGAGAAAATGTGGAAAATTTTTGAAATTTGAACAGTGCAAACCGAAGAGATTGAAATTCAGGGAAAGGGCTGAAAATCAAAAAGCTTTGGGATCTTAGCACTTCAAACGCACGAGATTCAATCCTCAAACGATGCCAAAACGTGGAAAACTTTCCAAATTTCCAAAACGCGTATCGCTTACATCTTTGCCATGCTTAGTTTCTTATTTTGGGGAGGAGGGGGATCCTCGTGGGAGGGATGTTATCGGGCGCTCCAAGCTAGTATGTAAAATAGTAAGGATTTTTGCCTGTCTAGTCAAAAATGGCAACGGATCTGACACAGTATAAAATACTCACGAAGTAACTACAGGAAGAAAAAGCTACACTAGGAGTACCTGCGGGAATGCTTTCATGATATGCGTTTTGCCATTTCCTTGCTGAGGCCGGCATGCAGAAAAACGGCAGAGAAGACGACGTCCACAGCGATGGCGCTATACCTGCGTCGGCAAATATGACGCGTAACAGGAGGACCATCAGCGACAGCACAGAGGTGCTCTGTTGCGCTGGCCGGCGATTCTTTGCAACACCTTGAAGGAGAGCCGGAAGAACTAAGAGAAACATGTTGCCTGCTACCTTCGGTCTTGGTTGGGTAGGAAAAAGTCAAGAAGAAAGCGTCGAGCTTGAGCGGAAGAACGTTCAACGTCGCTCTCGGTTTTCCCAATGAATCATGAGGCGGCTTGTGTCTTCTTCTTATAGAAGATTCGCTTTCAAACTGCTTTCTACTTCTTTTGCTACTGGAGATCGGCGAGGCTCGTGAGTGTTTGAGCTCGTGAACTCGAGGTCAATCAATCAAGGCGTCTCAAATGGCCGTGCTTGATCATCGGCAAGACGAAACAACTCCTGCTCGAGATCTACTCCAGCTAATATGAATCAATCACTTGCTCATTTTGTGTGCACGCGCTATTCGCCTATTTTTTGTTGAGGTAGGGTAACTGCTTTTATTAAAGGTAGGCAATCAACTGTTTTGGAATGCTCCATTTTTTTGTGCAGGATCTGCCAGTAGCTGTTACGCTCATATGTTCTCTTTTTTCGCAGGATCTGCTACTCGCCCTTGTGCACTGGAAGGATGAACCCGTTCTGTCGCAAAAACATACTTCAGTGAAAGGGGTCATAACGGGGTTCCGCCTCATCAAATTCTCTCTCGCCAGAAAAAGTGGCCATCACGGGGTATCTCCTCATCAAAATCACTCTTGCGTATCGGTACTGCTGAAACTCACACAGTTTTCTGACATGCCGTCCCACACAGCTCGCAAATTCTTCTGAAATATATTTGAAAAAATTTCGAAAGTATGAAGACCATTCTACAACAACTGTGTTCCTTCTTTGTTACATACGTTGAAACTATTCACATGCTCATGCCGCTGCACACTCACTCGTTGTCAACGAAAAAGCCTGGGACTTTCTTACGATGCGAGATGACCATCTCACGAATCTCTTCGCTTTTTGTATCTTCCGCTGGAGTTCTGCCTTTTCTGTCCTTTACCGTTGTGTCCAGACCACTGTCTAAGAGAAACTGCAGAACATTTTTGTGCTGTTTATAGGTCGCAAAATGCATGGGGTATTGCAACTTCTCGTTATGCACATTCCCTAACGCGACAGCCTCCGAGCCCGCCGCTGTGATTAGTACCTGAACAATGGCTAAGTCGCCGCGGCGCACTGCACGCGAAAAGGCGGTAGTGCCTAGAAATCCACGATGAAACAGCTGTTCCCGTTTGACATCGGCCGCGCAAGGTCCCGAGTCCCCCACTAGAAAGTCAACCGTTTCCGTATGCCCATTCTCGCACGCCCATATCAACGGAACATTCCCAGAGGCATCCGGCTTTAGCAGTATTGAATCGCCTTTCTTTGATTAGACGTAGACTCCAAAACGAGTCACTCCTTGGAAGATTCATCTTCTCAGTACTCCCAGTAGAAAACACAGAAAAATGACAATGACTTGCTAGACCCAAAAAATAGAGAGAAATGAAATACAGCGAGTCTTAATCTGAAACCAGCGCCTTCAGCTTTTCTAGGTCCCCTGCCGATGCTGCACTTCCTGCACTGTCCGGGTCGGGTACTGGGGTCTCTAATTTCACCAGTGTCGGAGCATTCGCATATTTAGCACTGTAACCGTGCATACTGGTGACTACACCGGAAGCAGCAGTGTCTGCCGTTGCAGAAGTGTCTGCCATTGTGGTCAAGTTTCTCGTTCTTGGAAGCAGAGACGTCCCCCCTGCTGAGGTGGTCGTATCGCTGCGTTTGATACAGTTTTGCAGTCGTGATAGTGTGCAGAAGTCGTCGCGGTCTTCTCCAAGAGTCTGGGAGCGCCTTCGAGTATGCAAGCGACGAGTCGGTCGGAGCGCAGATGGTGTACAAATCGTTCTCAGTAGTGCACTACAACCTCTGGACGAGGATCTTTGCATCCTCCAGTTTATATACGAACTAGAATAACCCCCTGGAAACCTGTTTCCTTCTAGTACCGAAGGTGAAAAATCAGACCGAATATATTATACATAGCATTACAGCATTTATTGCACATAAAGAGATGCCGTCAAAATCTGGAGACATCAGAGACACCAAGACTGTTTGAGTTGGAGACAGACACCTTTGTTTCGATCATCGTCCAAGGCGTGAACACCCCTGCTCCGATGAACAACACACCCGAGAGACACTTCGCACTTGTTTTTGACGTTCGTGGATTCAGGCAGTTCTGTCTGTAACAACAAAGTGGCACAAAGACACAATTCAGCAACACTAGGCATTCGATGGATTCTGAATTATCGCACAATCAATGACCCAATCAGAATCATCAATGTCATTTTTGTATGCAGCTGTGTAAGCACAAGAGTGGAGTCGAATAGAGCTACTTTTGCACCACAAGGCTTTCCTCCACATATGCGCCATCTTCACTTTCAACATCGGTCGTCAGCAACTATCCGAACAGCGGTTACTGTTCGAGCATCCTTGTCCGCGACCGCGACTGACCCTATTAAAGGTGATGCAGCAGCCACGTCTTAGGCATCGTTGATGGTGACCTCGACCTCGACACCGGGTTCGATGTGGATGGACGTGATCTGCTTGACGACATCGGATGGAGAGTGCAAGTCAATCAAGCGCTTGTGGATGCGCATCTCGAACTTGTCGTAGGTGTTGGTACCCTCACCGTTCGGAGCTTTACGGGTGCAGATGCGGAGACGCTTGGTCGGCAGACGGACCGGACCCTTGCAGGACAAGTCCTTGGACCTAGCACCCTCGATCAAGTCGCTGCACACCTTCTCCAAAGACTTGACGTTGCGGGAGGTGAGCGTGATACGGATCTTGTGGAGAGTTTCCTCCTCAACCTCCAAGTTTTTGATGTCCTTTTCGGCCATTTCGTTTTTCAGGCAGAGATGCCAGTCACGTTACACTACAGGTAAGTTATGTGAAAACCCACGAAATCGACATTCCTGTTCGAAAAAAAAGTTGTGAAATAAATGCAACGAGCATGATGATGATGAGTCTATCATACCATCTCTATGATTCGTTGTACTAGTAACGGATTCTTGTTGTATATTCTTACGACGTCGTGGGGTTCATTCTGCGATGCGGAAATATATTGATCTAGTATAAAGTTCTGTACCTGACCTTGAACCGCTCGTGTGTGTGCCAGATTCGAATAAGACACGTGAACTATCGTATATATTTTTTAGTCGTGATTGAGATTCTGTCTCATAGGATGATCTATAATGATCTGTTTACCCAAATCCTTAATCTGTTGATCTATTTTCGTGCACTACGAAAAGAAGATCAGATCTGTAATTCTACGGTTATTGAATGATCATGCTTACTTTCATCGTCCACATTTCGGTCTTATAGCCGTCGGCTCATCTTTGGTAGCATTCACGGCAGCGACAACTACTAGTGTTTATATTGCAGTTCTCTCCGCAGCGCAGCCCTCCAAATGCGTTCGTATTCTTCTAGCTGCGTTGCGTACCCCGGAATACGCTCTATAGGTTTCGCATCGGTGTCCACCAAGACCAATCGATACCACATCTGTCTCGTCCCTCTACCGATTTGCTTAAAACCGGAACTTCGGAGGGCTGTCATTCGCTCAGGTGAGCCTTTATCCTCTGCGAAACTGATCATCACGCTCACATCCATCGCCATCCGGCCGAGTAGGAACCTGTGGATTTCTCTAATACTTAGACTTACGAATGGTTTGGTAGAAAATAAGTCCTGTAATGAAACAAAAGCTGAGCATCAATACCAACATCAAGGCTTTTTCCGCCGGGATAACATTATGAATGAATCATGTAAGTAGGAGGCACCTGCATAAGTAAGCTCGGATTTGCGTTTCGAGGTCTTTTCTCGATGTGGCTGAAAACAGATCGCCCTGGGATCCTTGCGGTAAGGTTGCTGATCGTACAACTTGTTCCCGAAGTTTTATCCCCTCGCGCTCGCTGTGGCGCATGCCACTCTCGTCAGGGGTCCACGCTCGCACCTTCGCTGCGTCCACGGTCGCCACGTAGTCGTTTATGGTTAACTCCACTTCTGCTCCCGACTTTCCTTTCCCACGAAGTTGTTCTCTAAGTACTTCCAGTAATGCATTCGCGTGCTGCGCTGTTTTTCCTGCGGCCCACCCTTGGATGTACAACAGCCGCGTCCAGACGGGATCTGAGGCGATGACGCCAGCTATGTCATCAACTAGCTCCGCGGTTTCATTCTTCGATAGAAGGGGTTCATTGCCGGGTTCAGGTGCCAATATTTCTCCGTTATTCGCGCTTGTGCCAAAAACTAGCCGCCCATCTTTGAAAACGCGTAAGAAATGCTGCGGGTTGTCGAAAAGTGCGTCTAGAGCGCGTTTGGTTGACCGAGTTCTGAACAGATCTACGGGATTGTAGTGCGTTATTTTCGATATTTCCCCATCGTGCAGTTTTTTGTACTGTAGCATCTGAAACCTGGATGGCAGCGTCTCCACCTCCTGCAGCCCGCACTTGTTAGAGCTCACAATAATTCATATCTTCAGCCCATAGCCTCAGAATCCGAGCAGGAACCTGAGGCCACCCATTGATCTGTGAAGATGAATTATTATGTTGAGGCTTAAACTTGGGTTTGATTTCCACCGTTGTGATATCGCTTTGGCCTTCCACCGTCAAGAGATTTTGCAGTCGACTCACGTAAATCTTTCCACCTATCGCTTTCGTGTCGCCCTTCCCATTCGTCAGCCGCTTCACCGCACTAGGGGGTGCGCAATAAATAGTTGGCACTTGGATGTTGCTATTCTGAAAGAGCGGCAATACTACTTGGCGTCGAAATTCCTCGTCGTACAGTACCAGCTCGTGGTGTTGCTTTCGCATGCGAATAACAAAGTTCTCTACTCCCTTCTTGCCAGCTGATGCATAGACCATGTTCATGCCACCCTCTGCTATGAGCTCATATGCGCCTTGTCTTTCCAAATCACTCAGCGTCGGGAAGGACCGACCCTGTGCTAATGCAAGAGCTGCAGCCCGCTTTTTTCCATCATGATTACCATTTCTAGAAGTAGACTCCGAGGAAGGTGAAGATCTATCTGAAGACGCGAGATAGATAGCACCCGAGACCCATGCCGCTATGGCCAAAATGGAGGTAAGAGTCATTCCAGCAGCGGCTTCGGCTGGAGGAGCATCAACGAAGAAGGGCCCATCGTGGTTGCTCTCCTTATTGTTGTTCTCTGTGGCATCTCCTCCTCCTTCTCGAGTGGAATGAGCATTCCGCCAATCATGATCCTCGTTTGTGCAACCAGCAAGTCTCTTAAAACTGCGCGTCCTCCTGGCTTGCCGTGAGAAAAGGACCACGACGGATCGTCGTAAGGCATGTGGTGCTAGACGAGTAAAGCGCAACATTTTTCTTGATTTAACTGTTTTCACTCGCTGAATTCATCTGATTGCAGTTGTAATTTCAGGAAAATAATGCATTTTTTTTGACCTAACGTGCGTCCTGTTTCTTTCACCTTCATTAAACATTGTTGATGTAGATGTACAGACTTCGGTCATATCCAAAAAGGGCGTGTGGTGCGCCAGTATTCACCGTCGCTCAGATTCATGCCCACTGGTCATTAATCAAGGACACGTCTTTTGGTGACGAAAGTCTGACAGCATTAGCCAGCAGTCTGAACTTCTATCCATTTCCACCTGCTTCGAAACTCATTTTTGCACAGACTCGGTTAGTTACAAACGCACAGTGTTCACCACGTGTTGCTAGCGCATCTTTCAATTTTTTTGTTGCGCTTTCTGATGTTCAATCAAGCTAAACTTATCTACACTTGCAGAGCACCACCCCGCGATTTTGAAATAACTTTACTCCAGGACTGAAATTGCATCGAAATACTGCATTACTTGTTCTACTCTGGTGTCTACTAAACTCTTCTAATATGACGACCATGTGCAATAATCAAAATCTCAAAAAGCTTCTTTGACTAACGTTCCACGGAGCGTGCGGAAAGTGCTACGATCTTTTCTGAAATAATCTCCAAACGACCAGCACTTCATTCTAGTACTTACTGCAAAGTGATAAGTTAAATCAACCGGAATTGCAAACAGTTGGTTCTAAGAGTTCTAAAAATTTTCTACCTCGAACACGTGCGGAAGTAGAGGTCGGTGTAAAATGGCCCAGATTGGTAAGATGGCATATTTATTAGATAGGACTAGAAATGGAAATACGCAAGCCCCAAGAAGCGGCCTAATCATGATATGAAACTAGTTGTATCTTTCCGCCCCAAGGGATGCGTTCTCCGGGGTAGGTAAGCTGTACAGGACATTGACAATCAAGTAGTAGTTGTAGTTAGAATAATAAAAAGGGTATAGAAAGTTGTCCCTTTTGCAGATTGTACCGACGATGTCAGCAAAGAGATATCAGTAAAGATGAGACGAAGATCCGTCAGATGGTATAAGTAAATGTAAAGAGAAAGGTTACTATAACTACCATAAAAACTTACTTTTCTTCCCAATCCCATCTCTCTAAACAGGACTCGGAAGAGAATATTACACTAAGCTTAAAATATAAGCCTTTTTATTTGACAACAGCGCCCATAACGCACTTTGCAGGCGTGCGTGTGATCTTGCCACTCTTCACCAACTCGATCTCGTATTCTCCGCTTTCCAGCCACTTTTTCGGCTTTTTTCTCGTCTCCGCCGACTCAGCCTCCATGCTGACGAACCCCAGGCCAATTGGCTTATCCAGCGTGTGCGAGTAGCCACCGCTGGTCAAGTAGCCGCACTTTTGCGAGAATTCGCCTGTGGCTGGGTTACGACGGTAGATAATTTCCGCATAGTGCCCGTGCGGTGAGGCATCAGCGTCTTCCAAGACGAAACTGCAAATGCGCTGTCTGGCGCCGGCCTTCCTTCGCTCCTTCAATGCGTCGAAGCCGCGGAATTTTCCCGGTTTCTTCATGTCCACGCAGAACGCCAGTCCCGCTTCCATGGGGGTGACGAGCGGAAACGTGTCGTGGCCGTTGTGCGGGAAAGCCTTCTCGATGCGCAACGAGTTCAACAGCGAAAACATCCCCGCGTTCTGCAGATCCACGTTAGCCTTCTTCGCCGCCTCGAACGCACGTTTGTAGACGTCGCCTGCCTTGGCGTTCTCGACGTGCAATTCCCAACCTAACGTGCCTGCGAACGACACGCGCAGGGCGCGGACACCCGGTTCTAAATCTTGCATCGTCGAAAACGGGAAGCTTCCGTCGTCAAACTTAGTATTTGGGTACATGTTCTCGAAGATCCCGCGAGTCTTCGGACCCATTACGGCGAGTGTGCCCACGTCTCGTGTCACATGCGCTACTTCGACGTCGACTGCGCTACCGCCAGTGCCTTCTTCTTTGGCCAGTTGGTCGCGGCACACTCGAAGGTGTCGAAGGAACTCGAAGGGGTCAGCCGCAGGGACTACGCAGTAGTACTCGTCTGCCGCAATGCGACACACTGTGAGATCGCCCAAAATGCCGCCGCTATCATTTGCAAAGCACGTGTAGACGATGTTCTTCTCCGCATTTACCACGTCTGCACAGACGGCGAAGTTCGCCAATTTGGTCGCGTCCTTGCCTTTCACGACCACTTTTCCGAACGGCGTCATGTCGAACGCTACAGCCTCGTTGCGGCAGTGTCGCGCCTCGTGCTGTTCGCGCGCAAACCAAGCCGAGTCCTTATACGCAAATGCGAGCTGATCACGCGGCACGGACGTAGCGCTTGTCGGATGTGGTGTCAGATTCATCCATTCGGTGGGACCTTTGCTATGCAAGTCCTTGTTCCCAGCCTCAAAATACATCGGCCGTTCCCACCCGAAGGCTTCGCTGAAGACGCCGCCGCCGGCAATTAGTTGATCATGGAAAGGCGACTTCATCGCCAGACCCCGCACACTTTCATCAGCCTCGCGCGGAAAGTGGGGCTCGAAAGTGCCACCATAAGACTCCAAAGCACGATAGGCGCACCACTCGTCGTTGTTTGCGATATCCGGGTTGAAACGGGCCAACTTAGCACCCTCGAAATGGTTCGAAAAGGAACGTGGATACCCATCTAATGCCCACTCCGAAAGCGCGACGCCGACTCCGGGACCGCATTGAATACCCTGTAAAATTATAGAAGAAAAGTGAATTAAGAAGGGTAATTAGATATTAACACTGAGGCGATGGAAGATCGGAAGTCACACACTGATTGGTACTTGTTGATTACCATCTGAGACTTTACTTCCTCCATCCAATGAACACTCCTGATAACAGAACAATATCTTCGTGGCATCGAAAATAGTGAAGTCCTAAGTACCTGTGAGTTGAATCCTCCCGCCGAAAAAGCGTTATCCAGCCCGATCAGAGGACCGACGAGGATGGAGTGATCAGGAGTGTGCGTATCCGGACCGTGCAGCCACTGCTTGATTTCTGTTTCCTGCAATACTGGAAACTGGTTCACCGCGTCCTCAAACTCGGGTCCTGCTTTTTCCAAAGACTCCTCAAAGAGTTCGTGCGAGGCATCGGCCGGGACGTATCCCGTGACACTGCGCTCAAGCACGAAATCTGGGATGCCATTCGGAATCGGCTGTCCCTCGAAAACACCAACCATCAAGCCGCCTACCTCCGGCTTCAAGTAGTACTTGCCGACGTAGTCGCGCACTACCGGCAACTTGTTCGAGACGCCCTCAATTCGGTTGAAAATGGTGTACTGGTGGGGAGCGTAGCCTAAGGGCAAGTATTCCTGAAGCTCGTCGCGGCACAAACCCCTGGTCCACGCGGACGCTGCAATGACGACATTTCCTCCATTCGCTGCTCCTGGGTTCAGAAAAACCTCTTGCACATCCGCAGCTGAGAAGTCAACCCCCTTCAATTCTCCCGTCGTCGCGTCGTTGGGCACAAAGCGGACAGACACAATCCGAGTGCGGCAAGGAGACAGACCGAATCCGACCACGCGAAGCCCCTCCCTTATTTCTGCGCCGGCCTCTCTAGCCTGCTTCGCGACAGCCATCGTGCAGTCCGCGGGATTCACGATACCATCGTTCGGAGAGTGGATAGCTGAAGCAAAGTGGTTCATTGGGAAGCTTTCAACATCTAGAGCAAGTAGAAGTTTACTACATAGCATCTGTAGCAAGCGGTATTTTCAACGTCCAAACTCGAGCCCCAGCCTAAAGCTGACTCTAAATCTAATAGAATTAGCCTCCACAAGCTTCGCCCGGCTCCAAATTTCGCACTTCTAGTTCTTCGCCCACAGGCTAGCTACAGCTACAGACAGCCCGCGGGCTGGGTAGTGCACCATGATGAGCTGACTATGGCGAGACTGCTGGCACTCACATACGATACTTAGCTACGTCGATCCATGGGAAGATAGGCGGGCTTCTTTTGGCTCTTTATTGGACTACCGGGAGGGTCACGCAAATTCTTCGGAATTTGCAAGACCCCCACGGCAATCCAACAAAAAACTAGAAGAGAACCACCAGACACGCAGAAGGACGGACCCGCAGGGCCCACTGCTTATAGCCGGCCCGCGGTGGCAGGCAAGAGCGAGGGCATGGGGACCTTGACGAGCCAAGAAAAGGCAACGCATGGCCGCGCTGGCTGGGTCTCTCCACGTGCAAGACTCTCTCTCCTTCGTCTTCCGTCGGTGAGAGACAGAGGCGTCGCCTGCCGGAGGGGTGTCAGCCTCTCGGAAAGCCGACGCCTTTCGTCAGACCGACGCCCTTCGTCAGACCGTCTATCTTTCTTCTATCGTCAGGCCGACGCCTTTCGTCCGGCTGACGTCTTTCGTCCGGCTGATGGCGTTGCGTGTCGTCGGCCGGATGTCTTTCGTCCGTCTTCTTTCGTCCGACTTCTATCCCACACTTGCGCCCATACCCCCGTCGGGAATTTTTCCGGCTTCTTTTCTGGAAGTATGCCCGGGGACCTTCCCGTGCGTTTCCGCAAGAAAACGGTCGGAGACTATCGGTACTGGAGCTGGAGGGGAAGCGGCCGGAGACTTATAAGTATAAAGCAAGTAGGTACCCAATCTAAAGTCGCCTCCCGGATTCTCGAGGAAGGGATGGATTTTTTGTGCTTCTTTCAAGTCCCACAGCAATCGATGCTCATGGCCCATGTAGCGGCAGCCCTGCAAGGCTCCCAGTAAGGCTTCTGCTGTCTCGTCTGACCGCGCAATTCCCAAGCTCCCAGTCGGGTGCCACCCAATGTCTTGCCCTCTCTCTTGGAGTTCACGATACACTCGTCCGCCATATTCCGCCAATTCTGCTACTAAAGGGTTGCCTTTGAAGTGCGTGATTAGTCCTGCAGCGTGCCAAGTGGAACCGCTAGTGAGGGAGTTCTGCTCGAGCAAAAGGGTTTTCTGTCCCCGCTTCGCGAACGCATTGGCGCTGTTCACACCAGCAACGCCACCCCCAACTATGATGGCGTCGTACTTCGTGCCATTCGCTGGAACCGTGGCCGTGGATGTGAACCACCTCTGACTTTTTGCAGGAAACCGACGCTTGTAGGTATGCGGGTAAGCAGAACGTGGTCGTGCTGGCCGGATAGGAATCTTCCCACTCCCTCGGGACAACATCGTGAAGGAAAGAAGTCCTGAGTGAAGCGCCGCTCGATTGTACTTCTTTGAAAAGAGACAAGTGATAAAAATCGCAGTAGAAATGTGAATAGAAAATGGGAATCAATACGAATGGAAATAGGAAAAATTACAATGATGTGCCACACAGGGTGCTGGCTATCAGCACTACTCCTGTGTACCTTTACAATAAGACCTCCTGGAAGATGCAGGCGTAAACTCTAATGCTAGGGATGAGTCACATCCGATGCCTAAGTACTCATTTAACTTGGTTACTTACCAAGACGGAAAGTAAGAACGTGGAAATGCTCCACGTGAGAGGATAAAAATGGAATAACTCAAAGAGGATACGGGAAGAGGGACGGGATTTCACGCGAGTTATACAACTCGTTCGTCTGACTGGTTCACAGATTATTCGGACGGAGTCTTCGTGAATAGGCAATCGCAATCTTAGAGACAGGAGAGATACTTAGACAGATGACATTATGACATAGTGAGCTCAAGACGACAGCCTACCGCTCACACTCGTCTAGGATAAAAATTCCATGATGTCCTTCTAGTGATATCTCGTCATCAACACTTGCATATTCATCTCGTGGTCATCGGGTGAAGCTTCACAAGATATGAAAAGACAATGTATGAATGCCAGCTCTCGAAGTTATTTCTTGTTCTCAAGAGATGCGTCTAAACTCGTTTTGCACACGCGAACACGCCGAAAGTGCAGTTACTTACGGAGGTCGGGTGGTTTCTTTTTCGTGATCATTTTTTCACCTTTGAATTTCTCTCGTAGTGCATTCTTGGTGCGCATGTTCATATGCTTTAGCTCTAAGCAATATGCAGATCTTTTGACAGATTTGTTTTAAATCACATGTAAAATCTATGCGTATTTCAACAGTCGCAGTCATTGACAAGTCCATTGCATTCATCAAATACACCAACAGCAGGCTTGAGAACCCGCATGAGGCATGCAACAATGAATGAAGTCTGCTCTTACTTTTTTCAACTGTATCGAGATGATCACCTCTACAAATAGGCATAAAACTTCCATGCTACAAGTCATCAATTATCATTAATTATGTTCAGGAAGTCAACGTTTCTACTACTTGCCACTACTTGGTTATGTTTATGTATCTGCGAAGAAAATCTTCCGAAAAATAATTTTGCAATCGTCTTTGCCGTTTATTCTTTGAAAATCTCGTCTATTCATACGGAGGACAGCTTCTAACTTCGCACTTAAATAACATTTCCTACTCATCTAGTTCACACTGTCTTTGACTCTATACAAAAACTGCTGCTCCTTTGTAGGCGATATTTTCTTTGCTCTATTTAGTAGTTTCATAAATATTCGGTATCGTACTTGTAGCCTGTTCACCACCTCACTCGTTTTCCTCATTCATACCTTTAATGTCCCACTTCGGAAAAAACGGTTCTCCACGCGCTTCTTCCTCCTGCTGGCGCAGCTTCGCCATCCACGACCGCGGTTGGTCGTCAGTCTTTCCGAACAAGAAGAAACGTCCGACACTGCCAAACTCTTCGCGCGGTGTTGCATGAAACCCGGAAGGTAAGTCTGCTCGACTAGCTTTGGACGATGTTCTTGAGTACTTGTTTTTTTGGTAATTTGTATCAACCAGATCGGCCTCAATTACGCCTCGAGGAAGTTCCTCCCATGCCGGCGGACGCCCGGACGCTTCGCTTTCAAGCTCGGGCTTCGCAGCATATTTCGTCTTGCTAAAACTCTTGCCAGCAAACGCGAGCTCCTCGAATCCATCTTCTGTATCTTTCGGCTTGATACTGCTTCGAATTTCGGCGTCAACCAAGTCAGCTGGAAACCCCTGTGGCGATTCCGGTGCCTTTCCAGCTGGAGTATCAATGGTGCCTCGACCAGTGTCCATGCCACTCTGGTCCACGACTTGAGAAGAAGATGCTCCTGTAGTTTCTATCGTATCTCCGACGACACTGACTTCTTGTCTCTTGTTCTTTGCAGGTGTACCAGCGATAATGACCAAGTCAAATCCACCTTGCTGAACTGGATTTTCCTGCATCGTTTGTGCGGAGGAGTCCTTCACTGGAGTCTGTGGGGCAACGGTACGCACGTCCTTTGTAGAAGCCGGTGTTTCTGGCATCACTCGGACCGAAGTTGGTGGCGGCGGAGCACGTGGCGCGCTGTCACCGCTGGAAGTGGTCCTTTTCGATAACGGGACAGTCGAAGCGACATCTTGCTCTTGAGGATGCAAATTATTTCCACTTCTTACATTGGCCCATGCAAAAGGTCGCTGCTGCACGTAGTAGGCGACAGAGGGATCATAATTATTGCTGGGATACGGATACCACTTTGGATTGTCGCGCGGCGTAGCGAGACCAGCAAGTCGTGGCACGACGGTGCGCGCACTCGTGACAGCATACAATTCTGGCACGTGGCGACGCTCGCGGGACCTCGGTTCAGCGAGTGACCCAAAAACGTACGGATTTTCGTTGTCCGAGGTGTCGAAATTCATTCCGGGACGATAAAAGGGCGAACCAGAGGACCCAGCGTCGCCTCTTCCTTGGGCTGAAGACGCAGCGAGGGCTTCAGCTTCAGTAGCTCGCTGCTCTGCTTCGGTGTCTTTCGCAGCGCTATTCCCAGCTACTACTTGGGTTTCAACAGATGCAGCCACTTCCTGGGATGTATCAACCGGACTAGAATCCACCGCTACAGCTTGCCCACTTTGTCCTGATCTGTAGGTCGACGAACCTGCGTTTTCTAGTAGAATTTCTTGGATTCGCGCTCTTTGCGCCTCAATGAGCTCCACTTGCTTCATGTAGTTCGCGACATTGCGCTTTCCACCCGGCGACGGCCGCGGAGGCGGCGTCATCTTCCGCGGATGCACGAACGTAGTCTTATACTCCGACGTCATGTAAGTATTCGGCCCAGGTCGTAGCGCGCTTGGCGGTGAGTACTCTGAGTTTTCGATTCCCGAGAACGGGAGTGGCGGTAACCCGCGCATTGGCTGACCCACCATAGCCTTGCCTGTTCCGTGGGGTCGCAACATCAAAGATCCATCCTTCAGCCGCTGCTGCTCGTATTTCGTGTAAGTGCGCTTTCCTGACGAGCTCTCACGACCCAGAAACTCAGCTGTCGACTTCCCCGCAAACGACGCAAAACCATTCGAGTCTTGTTGTAGCTCGGAGACCGCTTGTAACCTCTGCAGACCACCACTTTGGCTTTGGGGCATGAATAAAGAAGTGGAAGTGGAACCAGCAACCTTGCTTCCTGAAACAGCTTTCATCGTTGGGTTGGTCTTAAACGGCGCGTCTTGATCGTAGTTGCTGCGACGCTGTGGGGGAGCTGAGCGGGCACGCTCGACCAATTTTCCCAAGGATTCTTCGCTCAATAGATACTGTACCTCTGCTGCTTTTTCAAGGGGGAACGTCTCCAATACATCCTCTACATTTACCTCTACGACAGAGATCACTTTATTATTCGCTGACATTGCTGGTGGCGCGGACTTCTCTCGGATTTTTGAAGCGGGCGGAGGCGCTTCTTTAGGAGCTTGAACCGCTGGTGGCGACAACATGTAGTCATCAACGATGTCGATCTGGTGGTTCTGCTGCAACGTTGCAGACGCCGTATTCAAGCTCGCGGTTGTCGTACTCTTTGAGGCCATTGATTTCACTGACGTATCCATCGCTTTCATGTTAACGTTCTTTCTCGCTGAGTAGTTCTCGGCTTCAATCGGAGATGCTTGCAGTGTGACAATATCGTAGCCACGCTTAATCTCCCGCGAAACCAATCCGCTGTAAGACTTGTCACCTACTAGTAGAGGTATGTCCTCACCTCCACCTCGCGCACTGCGCGACCTACTCCGGGTACTGTCCCCCTCCTCCTCATCTCCACCAAAATCGAGCACTCGTGCTGTGTGGTCAAGCGGCGCGTCCAGGCCAGGGATACGCGGCATGTCTTCAGGGACCGGTCGCCAGTCGTTGACGCCGGGCCGAAGTAACTGAGTTCCGCCAGAAAAGGTCCATATACGCTGAATGCCTCGATTCGTCAAGCGGTCGTCATTCTGCGGCAAAATCGGACTCGGTCTTCGGGCCGCTGAAGAACGTTGCAACAAGTCTACTCTCTGCGCCATTGGTTTGCGAACTTGTTGAGCGCTGCCGCTTCCTGTAACAACAGAAGAAGCTAGGTTAACTCCGTCTACTCGCTCTACAGGCTTAAAGACTTGCGGAACTTGCGGGCTCATCGTTCGCATCGCCGGATCATAGGTTGTAAGGACATTTTGTCCTCCGCCCAAGGGATTCGACGATTCCGCTGCGGGCACGCCTGCGAGTTGCTCTCGCATCCGCCTACCACGCGGCTGCCGAATCGGCCGGGAGCCACCACTGAAGCTCCAAGTTCGACCGATATCATCATTCGTCGTCGATGTGTCCCACTTGAACACCTTGTCCATTGGAGACTGCTTCGTTGGCGCCATCCTTGATCTTGATGTTGATCCGAAGCCTAATGAGGTAGAAGGACCTGTACTGATTCTGATGTATCTCACAGGATTACTAACTAGTCCTTTAAGGGTTGCGGAAGATTGTTTTAATTCTGATCCTTCCTTGCGATTGACACGAACCTTGTCTTTCAGTGATTCAACAGTATAACAGCTTCCAGGCCCCGCTTGCTCAGTCGGAAAATTGGTATAGGCGTAGAGGTTAGCCAAAAAGGGATCAAACTCTTCAGAATTGTAGGGCTGTGGCACCGTTCGCGTAAAATTCTGCGCGCGAGCAGATTGTTCCGGAACTATGAACATTCGGTCATTCTTGTGCGATTACATGCGCTATCAAATATTGTCACCAGTTGAAAGAGCGCGAAAGAAGATAGACTGACATAGAAAGGGACATTGGTTGTAAGTACACTACCTAATGATTAGTTACTGTCTGCGTTCATCAGATCTATGCCCAGATGTGGGCTCACTAATTATATTTCAAACTGAACTAGTCCTAGTGTAGTTCGGGTTGGGGAAACCTCAAAACCCACAGAAAACCAGAACAATTCATGAGCTGTCAAAATGAAAGTCAAAGTTTGGAAGATTTTTCAAAAAGAAATCGGGGAAACCGAGAAAAATCTTTCACAGGCAACATAAGTACAATCACATCTCTCTCGCTCTCCACAGATTTTTCACGTGATGACAACGACTACCGTTCTTTCTTTTTTACATCACATACAGGCCTACACAGATTCTAAGACTCGTTTAACAGAATCTATGGATTAAAGATCATGCGTCTGATTTTTTTGGGTACTTATCGCTCCCTCTGTCAACTTCATGGAAACACGCAAAACTTACTTCACTATGCGTGGACAGTCATTTTTTGGAATTTCATGCTGTACCAGATAAAGTCGAAATCACGTCGGACTCGTTTCATCTAGTGCTCTAGAATATTTATATTAGCTTTTAGGAATAAAAAATGCAGTACGAACTCAAACTCTATGAAGTTCACGCGAATTTTTCTGGAATCTGGAATATAAAGAATCGACATCAGGACAATCACTTCAAACGGGTTCATTTCATTTGCTCTCATAGAAGTAGAATTCAACTCTGGTAAGTCAGTGCTATGCACGATGCTCGTCAACATTGATCGTGATAGGTAAGCAAGGCAGCCACGAAAGTGACAGTGAATACCTACTTACCTGCTTTTTAGTAGAAATTTCTTGCTAGCTCGCGGATCGATTCTTAGCTATCTGATTCTCGTCTATTTCACAATACTTACTGTACTTTCGCGCTCTATTCAGCAAACTGTTCACCATCATCATCTAGCATGTACTCATTATTTCATCAGAAAATTATAAAGCTTAGCCAAAGACGAGTTTCAGTCATTGGCATTGCACTTCTTATACTTAATTTCATCCAGACGACGGATTCGTCCCGTCGACGACCTCTAATTTCCCGCCGCGTGCATCTGCTGGCCGATGGCGCTTTTGCGGAAATGCGTCAAGTCCATCTGCGACAGCACATAGGAGAGGTCATCGAATTTCGAAAAAACTTCTGGCACATCTTTGACAAGAAAAACTTTCTGCTTGTTATCCACGTCGCCGCCTGCTAATCGATACAGCTGCAGATCACCTTCGTTGGTCATCAGCTGCGTACAATTCTGGTGCGCACCGATGTCAGCAACGAGGTCCATATCGAAGAAGCGGAAGGTTCTTGCGATCGGGATTTTACAGAAAAGGTTAGAAGAGGAAGAGTTCTGGAAGGAGCAGAAACGCCCATGCATTTTTAAAGAGAGAGTCTATAAGTTTCGAGAACTTTATTGTCAGAACCGCCTTGCATAACATTGGCGGCGCAAAATCCTCGAGCATCGGCCACAAGCTTCTTTTCGGCTTGTCTTGCCTGATGTTGCGCTATCCTAGACGCTCCGTCGCCTTGGCAACAGCACATGTCCTCTCCAGATGCGCGACAACCGAAAAAACAAGCATAGAACGGAAAACAAAGCAGGTGAGCCGGATCATCGCACAGGTACCAGAAATCCCACTCGGTGTAGAGGACTCGTTCACTTGTCAGTGAGTATTAGAAGCAGCAGCAGCAGATCAGAAAGTACGATTTTAGTGAACCGTCAAGCACGGACGAAAAACACATTGAAGTTTCCAGGAGACAAAAACCAGCTCTCTCTTGTATCGTATTTTACGATTCGTAAACCAGTACTAGAGGACTCATGTGCCATAATTGTACTGCGGCTTCGCGCAAATGTGGAGGTGGCAGATCTGTCCACAGACAGTACGCTTTGCTGTCTCTGAGTCGTAGTAAACAAGCTCGCGATTCTTGTCAATGTTTTTCACTGCTGCTCCCTCATACCCTGGTGTCAGTAAGGATAAATTCCTAAGTCCTCACAAAAGCAATTTTAGTAGGCCTGTCAATGTCAAATCAAGTAGGCATCAGTTTGGAGATCCAGGAAATGCAGATCTGATGTACCAGCTGGAAACGTCCATGTCACCGCTCCCATGAGACGTCCCAAACCTTTCGCTGCCAAACCCTTCAGGTTCATTTTTGACAAGAAAAACGTCATCTCTTGAAACCTCGCTGCCACTTCCGGAACGTCATTCAAGACGAACTCGTTGCTGTTGTCGCTCATATCTCCGCCGCCTAATTTGTGCACCAAGATATCTCCCTCTCCTCTACAAATCTGGCAGAGGTTCTGGTGCGCCGACATGTCTACGACTAAATCCGCGTTAAACTGGTCTAGTTGTCGTCCATTGATGCAGTTGACCTGCCCGCAGCAGCATTTCGTCCACTCCCATCGGCTATAGACGTACCGCACATCCGTAGCCTTGTTCCAGCCGGGACAGGACATGCAGTAGTGAATTTTTCCCATGCAGCTTCGCGGTGCTGTTGCGGAGTTGTAGAAGACGCGTTCGTTCTTCGCAATAACCGCGTTCTCGAGCTCTGTTTGCTTCGGTGCCATCAAGTGCTGACCCTCGACGAAAGGTGCATGGCCTTCGTGGTTCTTTCTTTTGATGTCGGAGCATGAGGAAGTGCAATCCGACACTTGAACCATGCTTTCTTGCACTGGTGCAGACATCGGTGAACAGCCGTCAGCACCACGATTGAAGATGCCGCCTGGCGCCCAGGGCAACCTTACTAGAGGCTCCAACCCTACAGCGAGGATCTCGGAAGCGGAAGGCATCACGTCACTGCCTGCACTATTTATGCCAGTGTTTGGTGTTGCTACTTCGGATACGGCAACCATCCCAGGGCTTCCGCCGAGGAGCAGGTAATCGAGCCAAGACCCGCTGCGCGCGTCCTGAAGATCGCGCAAAGGATCGACATCTTCAGTCGGAATTACACGCTCGGAAGCCGGCGGCGGATAGCGCGGAGCGCCGGAAGGCGCCCGCGGGACACCCTTTCCAAACTTCATGCAAGGTCTTTCTCAGCAGCCATGCGAATTGCGAAATGGAAATAGTTGAGAGCTTTCAACCAATAGATAGGCTACGTCAAAACCTTTCTTCTACGAAATGAGTTGCAATGTTGTCGACGCAGACATTTTTCTACAATCTTACCGTGGTCTGGATACCCATTGCTTCCATGATGCTTTGCTTTTTCTTGCACAATTGCCGATGCTTCTCTTCTACACCTTATCACTCTGAATCAGCATGAGAAGCCTCTCATCGCTTTTGGTCCGACTACAATCAATACGAACAACGGCGAAACACATACAATACTCAAGAATCAACTGAACGCGAAAAGCGAGCGTCTCAAGCCAATGGAAAGAGGTAAAACTGGTCGAGTGAGGGGAAAAAGTCAAGGCTGAAGTTGGAGCATCAGCATCACGAGAGCGAATCAACTTCTTCAGTTAGCGTTAAAGTTCCTCCATGTACTTCTACGCAGTCGCTATCGGAAACGGAAAATTCTCCGTAGATCCCCTCATTTAGTATGCGAGGCCTAATCCTTGAACTGTTTCTTCAGCTAATGCGAATACGGGGTCGATTTTTTTAACAGGGACGTTACCAACAAGCTGCGAACGCAACTCAGGCATCTCGTGTACTATCAAACTCAGAGCTGCGGTCCCAAAGAAAGTGTGAAAAGGGTCAGGTTCGTTGCCTGGTCGGTCCGCAATGCCACCGCCTGACTGAGTGGTTTCAGGCGTTCTTGCAGCCGCGGTAGCTTCAGCAGTAGCGGGACAATCGGATTTTTCATTTGCTGTACTAGAATCTTCGCCTTTTGTGAGAGAAGATGCTTTGTGGTGCTTCTCGACGACAGTTTTCATCTCCTCTTCTACCGCAACTTCGGCTACAGCATGATCGTCTTTTGCGTCCTCGGCCCCGCACGGAAGCTGTTCTCGAGCGGCCACGTCCTGGCACTGCAAGATCCAAGAACCAAGTTTGCGTGCGTCAATCCAGTGCATACGATTTAATATTCCGAGAGCTGCGAGAATCCACCAGCTATAGCACACGTCGGGTGCCTTTTCTGGTCGTCCATTAAGACCACCATGGACGGTCTGTCGCGAACAGAGAAACCAGCCCGTCCGGTCGACGTCTATCAGACAAATGCTGTCGACAACAGCGAGAGCAGCGACGCAAACCCTGGAAAACGTGTTAAATTTGAAAATGAAACAAAGATGAACGAGGACGCTTGCGCTGAATTATAGATAGAATATAGATGAGGACCATACCAAGAAACCCATAGCCATACCCAATCACAAAAGAAAAAATCTATTACCAAGTGTAAGCTGCATGTGACTCGCTCCCCGGCTTGGAACCGAATCCGCCGTCTGCGTTGTAGCATCGCGAGAGATAAGTACAGCCGGCGGCAACGTCGATGCGATCAAGGGCCCCAAGAATCGCGCAACAAGCAAAGGCGTTGTAGACTAGACGTGGGTCAGTTTCACCCCACACATCAGCGGTAAAACTTCCTTCGTCTTGCCGGAAGATGAGTCGCTGCTGCACGCGTAGCGTAGGCCATCCAGCACTCTCTGCAACGCCAGTAGAGTCTTTTAGCGGACCGGAGGAACTGCTAGAGGCTCCGCCAGACTGCAATCGCGTCGGCGACTCATCCTCTACTTCACAGCATTCGCACGCATCCGTGACCCCGCCAACACGAGTATTGATAATGTCTCCAGCAGGATTAGGATTGCTACAAGAAGTAGAGTCTGCACCTTGGGAAGATGGAGTCTGGCTTTTGCACTGTCGCGCCGCGATCCAACGTAACAAAGCTTCCTTTCTAGTAATTGTCGATGATTCTGCATTGTTTCCTTCATCTCCGCCTTTAAGAACTGCAGCTGGAAATTTCTCATCCAAAAGACTCAATCTGCCAAAATCACAGAGAACCAACACAGCATAATGACTTGCGGTGATATGAGAGTCCTGGCTGGCATTGAAGCCAAAACCTCCGTCAGCGTTTTGACAGGATAGTGCCCACGCGCAGATCTTATCTGCATCCAGATGCTCTTTCTTCGTCGACGCCGAGGCACGACCAAGGTTACCGGACGAAGACGCAGATTCACTTGCGTCACCAGAACCAGTAGGCGCTTCGTCCAGTTTATGAAGCAAATCCAGGCACGTAAACCCCCAGTAGGCGCCACCAGTTCGCAAATGCGCTGTCATGAAGGCTAACATCGTATCCTCCTCTTTATCCAGATAGCTCTCAATAAAACGCGCATGCGCATCAGCATCAAAGTCCTGGGGGAAAGGCTCATTCGAAGCACCGTCCATTTTGCTTGTCTTTGCGTAGCTAACAATCGATTAGTCCTTCAAGCCCGGTACATGAGAGGGTCCTCTATAAATTGGCACTTTATACGTACGAAGTATTCCAAAAAGGTACTATACTTTGTCACAAGTCCACTACCCGCAAAGAACCACTTTCATGACATGCTATTCAACCCGTCGCAAATACTCAATACGCCGTAACCCTGTTTTCTAAGAAATGGCTATGTATGTGACTAGAGTGTCAAGCCAAAAAGTAAGAGGACTTATCCCATGTTGATCCACACACGAAAACTTTGTGACATCAAGACGCTGCCGTAGGGATCACGAACTTCATATACTCACGGGAAAACGGGATTAAAACTCTGGCCTTTGCGTCAGGTGCATAGACCCTGTGGATCGCTGTCGCTCGACGAACAATGTTGATATGAACAATAGTAATCGCTGCTTGCAATTGCAATTCCGACTTGAAGGTGCAGCATTGGGAAAACTTTCCCTCAGCAGGTCTGAAGATGAAAATGTTGATTTTGATTCGTTCGCACAAGAAAGGACTCCGTATCGTGGTTCAAAGCACTTGTTCGTATTTCAGTCGCCACGCGGCACTACGACGACAGAGCGATAGTACTGCTTTATGTGCCTGTTCCAGATGCATGCTTCTACTGACTACAGCTCCTGCACTCGACGTACCATTGCCCCTTTCTCGCCCACTTCCACCCAGTTGTAAGCCCAGACAAGAACTCGTAGTGCATTTATTCACGATCGCCGCCCCGTCTTGCTCTACACCGACGCTTGGAGTAGAACTGGGAGCTAGACTTTGTGCTTGCATTTTCTCCTTTACGCGGTTCCATGCTGGTCCAACCTTGTACTCCAACTGCATCTTGACTACAGCGGTGAGCTTTTCCTTCAAATACGTCCTCGCCGCTCGCTCTCTATCGTCTGCTGCAAGCAGCGGACCTGATGCCAACTCCGCGATCGCCTCGTTGCGTTCCTCTAATTGACAAATGCGAGGCTCCAACTCACCCTCCAAGCGTCGCACGAGCTTGTCTGCGGCAATCAAACGTCCTAGAATCGCCACTTTCACAAAAGCAAACGCCCGCTCTGCCAGGGTGGACGGACCAGATGATGCCGAGGACGGAAACCCACTTTTTGTGGTATTAGACATGACTCCACCTTCGGGGTCAACTACTGTGGAGGCATCCGACGAAATGCAGTTGCTGCAATGTTGATTGGCGTACACCCAAACGGTATCGTCTACAAGCTCTGGCTTCAGCGTACCGTAAAGTTCACTGAAATGATCCGCAGCAGCGCCACGTCGACGCGCACTCTTTCCGGAAGCTGTAAACTTCATCTTCTGTTGCGCGACAATGCGTTCTCGAATGGCTTTTCTAATACCATGCAGTTGTGGAAGCTGACGCTTCTTCCGCGGCGCGATGAATCCACACTCGCTGTAATCTTCCTCAGTCTTCGCGTTGCCTCCAAATTCCGAATGAAGATCGTCGAAAAAAATCTCGTGGTCGTCCTTGGTGCATTTGTCATCAAGCTTTTCTCCATCCTTACAACTCGAAGATTCCTGCGATTCTTGCTCATAATCGTCGTTGATGGCGTGACGATCACCACCATCAGAGTTCTTTCTTGCTTTTGGACTTGGAGCAGCAGGCAACATTTTTGAGGTCGCTCTACTTCTTCTAGAAGACATAGCTGTAGCACGAGCACCACGTCCATCGCCGCCACAGCTATCAAAAGCTTCCAGAGCACTTTTTTGAGCACTCCAAAATGGTATTTCGTCATCCAGCAGTGCTCGCAAACGAGTAATCAGAGCCTCAGTTTCTTCTTCGATTTCAAGCTTGCCGCTTTGCACGTCACGGAGACGGTTTTCGGTGTCGACCATTGCAAGTTCTGCCTCCCTTACTGCGCTACGCGCGGCTTCCACACTACGGCAAAGTGCGCGTAGCTCCTCTCGGATTTCAGGATCCAACAACGACTCCGCATCTTCATCCTCTGCTCTCTCACTTTGCTGTAGAGGTGGCAATACACTGCGCCCGCAAAAACTCGCAGAGAAAAAATCTGGGGTACTACGATCTCCTTCGCCTGGCGGGAGGTCGTCATTTATTCCAGCTGCATTCTCGTTGTAATTTTTTGCACCCTGCATCTCCACGACCGGCGCCGGCGTGAAAGACGCAGGAGTTGCAGAAAAGTCCTCTTCACAATTAGCGTCTAAATCTGCTTGAAATCCTGGAGTCAGACTAGCAAAGGTACCAAGCCCTGGAGTCTGACTGGCACCTCTTGGAGTCTGATTAACACCGCCATTCTCAAAAGCCGCTTTCTCGCAGGCTGCGGTCTCGCTGAAAAACCAGGCAGCACTCGAACTTGCAGATGCCGAAACTGCTCCAGAAGATGCTCCGAACTCTTTGTCCCCGCTGCTTTTCGTGCCCAGACGACTGCTCAGCCCACTCCTTAGCTTCTCCAGTACGATCACTTCATTTAGCGCGTAGTCGTCTGGATGAACGCGAAGTAGATGCGCCAGCGTTTGCTGCTCTCTCTGATTAAGGTGATTGGCGGCCCATACTCGTACTAATCGCCGTTGCTCAGGACCAAGGGGTCCGATACTCGTCAGAGTCGTCGGCGCCGGCGTGCCAGCTCTGGAATCTACAGGAGGTAGGCTGCTAGAGACTGCACCCGAAGCTGGTGAACCCGCTCCGCCGAAGAACGGTGTCGCAGATCCAGTGCCATGATCGTTGGGGGTATTCTCATGATTAACGCAAGTTCGCAATGCTCGAGGTATGCCAGCGTCGTCCAGGTCCAACTCCTCAGGGATTTCGTCATGGAAACGAGGCTCTGGAATGCTTTTCAAAAACTTCTTCCCCTTCCGCGCTTCGGCAGTGGCGCCCTTGGGGCGACCGCGCTTCTTCTTTCCACCAGTTTCTGGTGGAGCACTAGCATTTCCTAGTCCTGCAAACTCATGGCGCGTTTCATCGCCTGTAGCGAGAACGCTGCTTGAAGTTGAGTTGTGGACGGGCATGGTTGCTTCTTGGTGTTGTGTCGTCGATCAAAATGTTTTCACAAATTTTTTATCGTCTTAGCAACTACAATAGTACAACAAGACTAGGGAATTGAATGGGCGTCAGATTGTCATCAAAGGTAACCAGATGATAAAATTTTCTTGAGAATATGTACTTACGCTCAATCTTGGGGCGCGCTTGTCTTCATCAAAGAGCAATGCTAGAGTCCGTCACCGATCCAGATAGGAGTTTCCAGTCCGACCATTCTGCACCGATCTAGGCACAACCGATCGGCACTTCTTTTTCTTGTTCTTCAGCTTACAGATAGAAATTAGGAGGTCATAATTGTTAGTCGATAGTCAGACCGACTGATTCTTTAGTAACCAAGAGATAGAACCTTTCAAAAGTACAAACCGACACCTATCGTGACACCAGCGGCGAGGACCGCTTCGAAAGTTTGGGTTTTAGCGTAGCAGAGGCGCCTGGTCGACTCGATGAAGCGCCACTATAAAGTTCCAAGTTCCAATTTTAGCTATCCTCTTGGAGCAATTGTTCAGATGTCAGTTTTTGACACGACCGGTGCTAAATAAACTAGAAAATTGAGATTGACTGTTCTTCATCCATCAAACATGCGTTTTCGTTTCGAGACACAAGTTTCTTCATCGAAAACTACTTTATTCATTTTCACGGACTGTTACAAAAAAAACACTGGTCACGACAGGTGATTGAATACACAGGTGAATTTATGAGGATTAGTAATTGCACAAAACAAAGTTACGAGTTTTTAGGATTAGTAATTGCATATCAAAAGCGACTGATTAGAGGTGTATTAGCAACTGAATATGTAGAATCTACTAGAGACTTCGATTACAGATGGGGCATTCGACCGTCCCTCTTATCTCATTTATCTTAAATAGCAAAAGGTACGATTTTCCGCTTGTTCTTCTTCATCTCCCCTGAGTAAGCGTCCTTCCGTTCTGAGAGTAGGCGAAGCTTGTCTTGTTCTTTGAGGATGCGCTGTAGCAGATGCAGTTTGCGTGTCTCCATCACTACAGTCTCCAACTCCTCCCTTCGGTCGTGTATTACTGTCCTCGAAAAGAGGTCCCTCAACCATGAAAGCCAAGACTCATGTCGAAAACTTTCCGCTTCGCGCGCCTCCTTCTCCGCCTCGTACACGTGCCGCAGCAAATGATGAACGTGGGACTCAGGAAGAAACGCAAGGGGAAATAATGTTCTTCTGCAGAATTTTCGCTGGGCAAGAATACATGATCTAAACAAACCCTGACTACAACAACTAGCCTTTCTCAACCAAAAGATGAAAAATCTCGCGTAGCTCCATGAGTCGTTCAAGACCATTCAGATGGATTCTAGAAGTAACTCCCTCATGCATAATGATCTTCGTATCCCTTGAGAGCGTTCTCGACATTGGCTATGTCTTCTTTTACCGTGGCTAAGCCGTAGATGGCGCGTAGCCCGCGCTCGCTGTAGAGTTGAGAATATACCTCACCAAACAGCGCTGACCCAGCTCGGATGTACTGCTTTTTATTGGATAACTCGGCGTCTGAAGATGAAGTTGCTCTAGTAGTAGTAGTAGTAGTAGTAGTAGTACTGGCGCTACCACTACTAACGGCCCCAGTCTGTGTCTGGTTCGGAACGGAGCACGACAGATCCTGGACGCGTGAGATAAGCTGAGCTGCCAGCATGTGCCGCAACACGCGCTCGTCTCCGCGCATTACGTAGTCCAGAAAGCTGTCATAAGGTACTCCAATTTCGCTCGTCTCTCCCACACTATTTAAGGCTAGAATTTCAATTGCTCGCCACAGTTGATTTCGACTCCACAGTTCGTCTTTACTGGTGTCTTTTTCTCCGCGCACGAGCAGCTGCCGCACTGTAGAGGCTGACGCGTCTACCATCTCCGACAGAGCCGCTTGAGGATGCATCCCATCAGTTTCCACTTTTGACACAAAAATCTCCAGATCCGACAAGCGGCCTCCAAGCACTTCGATCACGCGATCGATCATAGCGTCTTGTATTAGCGACGTGGAGTTCGGTCTCGGTGGGATAATTTCTCAAATTGTTGTTGCACGGGAAAATTTCTCAAATTGTTATGACATCTAGATGAAACTGAATGGCCTGTGGTGACGGTGAAAAAGCTGAATTCTAGTACGCAAGTCGCCGTAACATTTCTCTCGGACCATCGCGTTCGCTACAGTGAACCTTCAAAAACTCGCGAAGCCATCGCCGGACAATTACCTCTGGCGCGTCGCCCCATACCAGTTCATCTAGCAGTTCTGGTCTATGCTTCAAAGTTTCTTGGAATAGAGTGTGGCTCCAACTGCCGTCGATAACGAATACCACCTTGGCGAGTTTCTGTTCGGATACTAAAGCGGCCCATTGAATTATCGTCCGCAAGAAATTCGGGATCGATCCGTGATTCTCTTGCGTGAAGCCCTGATGTTGAAATGAATGATAAACGAGCAAGATAGATTCGTGTGGAATGTGAATATTTTTTTTCAAAATTACAATAATTCTTCCTTCTGTTCCTGCCCCTTGATCGTCGTCTTTTGTGACGTGTACTACAACCAATGGGTAACGGTAGTACCTGTATAACAAAGAGTGGATATTTCGTATCACGGTAGTCTTCTCTCTCCGTTTTGAATTCGCTGAGGGCTACAGTCGTGAAAGATAGAATGCGCATTAGCATGTTCCCGATCGCTTCGCCTGGAGCGTTGCTACCACTACCTCCGGCAACTTTGCTTGCCCCAGGCACGAACGTATCTAGTATCGCAGCGGACTCATCGAATATTCGCATCGCTGGAAAATAACACGGTTTAGAGGCAGGTAGAAGCACCTTGCGCTTGTCGGAGTAGTCAAGAATTTCGTAATGAAGTCATCAAGAACCCCAGTTATTCAGGAGATCGAGATAGTAATATATCTTCTCATAACAAACATTCTCGTCAAGTTTTGCGCAACAAACCTCTCTTCCTTGAATCGTGCCAGCATTGGCGCAAAATCCAAGTGAATGACGCCTGGAGTGCCTTCCAGGAGCTTGTGGACCACGAAGTCCTTCCCGTCTCCGCGAGGACCTGACAGCAGCATCACCCGCTCTGGCGGATCCGTTCGCAGCCAGTGGCGCAGAGATGCTAAATCCGCCTCACGCTGGATTGCTAGGGATGTCGCAAGATTCGAGCGCTTGCCGCTACCGCTGAAGCGGAAAGCGTAGACGGAACCTGAGGGAGGGACTCAAAAAATTTGGACTCGAAGCATGACCTAGAAGGAAAGACTCAGTTGTACGCATGGGGAATGTTGTGCTCGTAAGTTGCATAACAAATAAACCCAGGGCATACAAATGGCAAAAATCGGCAGGCAAGTCAACAAAAAGCTAGTACTCAGGCTTTCGCTCCAGCGCCACAGTGTAGCTAAAGCCGAATCCAGTAACGACGAGCTGGCTTCACTTTTATCTTTTTTCTGTGCCTTATTATCCCGCAGCTCGAGTTCCGTATTTGTTGGCGAACCGCTTACGACGTAGGCGAGATGAATCCTTCCTTTGACAAAGAAGAGCCGCATCGGGTCAAACAAAAACGTAGTGCACAGTCCGACGCCGGCTATGGCGAGTAAGGCGACCATACGCCAATTCGCTATCAACTGCTCCCGCATTGATCGAAGATCATAGGTCTGCTTATACTTGACTGCTAGAAGCTTGTCGGAACGAAACTCGGCCGGTGTGATTAGACTAAGACCTCTACTACAACGAGTAATTGAGGTACAAGCATTGGTACAACGAACGAGAGAACAATTCATTGTTCTTTTAGAAGACTAACTACGACCATTCTTCGTTCAGCTGACCTTCCTACTTTATTAACTAATTTCACAAACTCAGCATAAAATTGTTTTCGGTAGCATTGGTGGTGCAGTTGAGGGCACGCGGCCACGATTAGCCATGTACTGGCGGAGAACCACTGCTTGTTGCTTTCGGAGTGCCTCGGGATCTGACGTGGACCCCAGGACATAGAGCTGTGTCGCCCGATCAGCCATGTACTCCAACCCCTTGCGTAACCGGGAACGGGTATCCGCTGCGTCATCCATGGAAGAATTGGCTTGGGCCTGGTAAAAGTTTTGTCGGAGAGACATCAGCGATGGAGGTAATTACCGACACACTACAGTAATACTACTCGACGTTCTTCTCGACGTAATTATACCCTCTTTTTCTTGAAGAGTATACAGGTGAAAGTAAAAATCGCATGAGAATGTTGAGTACTGGAGAAGTGAATAGGACCAAAGTTCTGAGTACATCGTTCCCAACGAGTGTGTTAAGCCTTTGTAGTCCCATTTCGCTCAAAGCATCCTTTTCGTACTGGTCTCGCAGTTCTTTGTAGACCAGATTAGAGTAAATCTTGTGCAAGGGCGCTCGATGCAAGCAATTTCGGACAGCGACAGCCGAGTGCACACGTAAAAACTGAATCTCCCACTCCGCTCTTTCCTTGTTGAAATGCATGTCTACGACCGGGCCGAAGACCCGCATCGCGGCATGCAGGTTCTCCTCTGAGTAAAAAACAGCCTCCTCCAAAACTCTCTGCATTCGTGCACTCGTTTTCTTTGCCTCATCTTGTTCCTTCGTGGCAGATCCACCAGAGCCAGCTTCTCCTATGTTCTGTCCTCGAACCACAAGCTGCAAACTCGGCGAGTTAAGGTCAACAATCTTGTGTGTTTGACCACTAGAATCACCCTGCTCTAATGAACCCGATTTATCAGCGGCTGCCGCTTCTGCCTCCTGATCAGACTCTTTTTTTCGTGAAGAAGCTTTCATCTTAGCTTTCATGGCAGCCATTTTCGTACGCTTGCCACCCTTTTCAACTATCTCAAACACCGCCTTCTTCGTCGCACTGATAGTTCCAACATCCTGGCCGCTGTTGTCTCCACTATTTGGATCGCCTTCCACCTCTTCTCTTGCTTTTTTCTCACGCTTTGCCGATTCTGCAATAGCAGTGCGTGTTTTTGCGCCACCGACTATGTCCTCCGTGAGACGCAAATGGAGAACGTTGGACGGATATCGGCCCTCGTAGTGATCGTAGAACGGCGAACCCAGTACCTCGAAAGCCCTCACTGAATTGGTCCACGCTTACGTGTAGTAGGGAAAAGATGAAAATAATAACAGTCTTTCAATACCATTTTCTTTCTAAACTAACTTCGACTTCCAGTTACCAAAGTGGGTATCGATCGTCTGTAAGAACTGCTACAGTTTATAGTAACAACTAGTTTTTAACAAATACAATGAGTTCCGCTAAGTATTTCATCTTCACCAAGAAGGTGTCCGATTAAGCATTAAACTTCAAGCATAAACGCACGTAAAAGTTTGCTAGCGGCGCTTTGAAGTCGTGTTCGCGCATGTATTTGCTTATCTGTCTCGCCACAAACGAGTGCACTTCTAGACTAGTCTTTTCGTCTTTGCGCATCTGTATGGAAACTCCCATACGCTGAAGAATCGACCTCGCAAACCGTGGATTGGCTACAAAATCCACGTAGACTCCCCCTTCTCGGTGTCGGCAGACGAAGCGAGTAATCGACAACGAATCTTGCGGCAACAACTGCGGAATTAGCGTTCGATGCGACTGCGTCGTGAGCGCGTGCCGTATGTCAAAGAAGTTCCTGCGACCAGGATAGATGTTGGAAAACCACAGATGACCGCTAATTTCTTCACTTGGAAATTTGTCTGGACTGCTTGACTCACCTGTTGCTGCGGCTGCATCCATAGAAGTCGAGGAGCTAGAAGACGACGACTTTGACGTTCCACTAGCTCCACCTCCGCCCTTTGCTGTCCCTTTTTTGCTGCCATCTACTTTTGCCGCAGCCGGGCCGGACGCTCCTGTGGCGCTGGAGGAAGTACCACTACCGGCACCAGAAATCAGTTGCTCAGCCGCTCCTGCCCTTCCCGACTCTTTCAAGATCTCGTTCCGCAGCTCCCTTGCTTCTGCATCCGTGCCCTGCAGCCACCGAGAACTCTCCACATCCTCGGAATGATCTAATGGCGCCGTTGACGCAGGCTGAGCCTCATCAACGTCCTCACTATTAGGACTATGCGCGACAGGAGTCCTCGAAGTCCCAACAGGCGGTGCCAGCGATGATCGATGCACGTGAAACTGCACGAAGGAACTAGCTCGTGGTCGCGTAGCAGAGCTGCTCGCAGCGCGTCGCCAAACACGCGATGGACCAAGGGCTCGCATCGTTCACGAGCGACGCTGCATGCCAAAAACTGCTATTCCGGTTCCATCTATGCTTATTGCTGTCGAGTCAGAAAACCCGTTTCCTCCGCGTTGCAGGCTAACATCTTGTTCACGCGTAGTTTACTGCATAATTATTTCGGACCAGATATCTGAATGTTGATGTGTGTCCATTGAGCGAGTAAATTTTCAAACCTAGTACTGGATTACTTTTACTGTGAATCTCGTTTCAAGTTCTTGAAAAACCCGATTCATGGTTCTGAAAATTTTTGTATGTTGACTCACTCTCGAAAAAGTGCAATTGATCCCTGTTGAATCTTACTGTACTACTGGTCTTGTTTCTCGCGCCTCTGACAGGCTCGCTTATCTCCCTCTGTTCTTTTTATGCCTTTTCCTGTTTCTCAAAACTAGATTTCTCAGCTCTTGGTAAATTTTGTGTTACGTCATGGAAGCCAACGCTGCACCTAGCAGACGAAAAGTAGACACAAGTACTCACAGCAGGTCTTTGAGTGCATTCGACCCTCCAGAGTGAGTTTTCATCACTGTTGACCTATGGTCATAGAACAGTGTGTATCATAGGTAAATAAACAATCCTCGGGATTTGGTCTCGACAAATCTTTGCAACAGAAGATCATTCATTACAAATAGTGTGGTTGAGAGTTGTTGCTAGTGAGATGTACGAGTGAACAAGGCTGAGGCTCACAAAAATCCTGCGAGGACCTTTGAACTTAGCGGCTTCTTTTCCAACGCAGCCGTCTCTTTCGCGGTCCGGGCTAGTCGCGCACCCTCACCACCAGGCAGAGGGACACACGATGCATCTCCTGTATGGGATGAGGAACCTTTCCCTGACTTTCCTCGCTTTTCTGCGATCTTCTTGCCGACTTTTTCCCTGAAGACCTGCTCAAAGAGAAATTCATTTTCACGCCTAGCTCGCTGATTCTCTTGCTCCAGCCGCTGCTTGCGCACTTGCCTATTGTACCGCTCTTCCTCCTTGATCTCGCTCCATTTGAACTTGTGGAGGTACCTCGAAGGTCGGAAGTTAAAAAAATTGAGAGAGAAGGTTGGAAATTAACTACGGTATATATATATAAGAAGTAGGAGGTAAATTGTGAAGTTATTACGTTGATCTTGATCTTTATCTTGCCACCACTTTAGTTGATAGACATACACGTCGACACAGTGTTCACATTAGAAAACACACAGTTCGTTATAAGTACTTGATATTCCACAAGTCGTCTCGATAGTAGTTGTGCCGCTTTTTTCCTCCAACGGGGGTCGCGTTGAGGCAGTCAGCGCACTTTTTCGCTTTCTTCTTGTCGTAGAATTCTACCCAGCCGTCAAGATACTTGGTTTTGCGATTCGCATTGTACATTTTCTGTCGGTGTTTCGCCGCCTTCTCGTCCTCAGGTCGCAGAAAAATGCGTGCTACTGCTCCGGCCTTGCCCATCGCGGTATCCAACAGATGCCGGATCTTGTCGGGTCTCATGTAAGGCGGCAGTCGAGGCAAATAGCACACGCCACGAGGCTTCTCGTCTACTAGCTGCGTCTTATCATCGAGAAGTACAGGATCCAGGTCGGACAGGTCGTCATCCAGCTTGTCCTTGCACTCGCCTCCTTGGTCCCCTGCTTGCTCAGAAGCGTTGCCTCCTCGATCACCATTTGTAGAGCCTTTGTCTTTTGACTTGCTCGCTTCTGGTGCAGATGCGTCCTTTCTGCCACTTCTTGGTTCACGGTCATTATCTTCGTCCGAATTCTCGTCTTTGTCCGAGTCCTCCTCTCCTCCCAAGGCTTCTAAGCCCTCTGGCTCCTCCTCTGAGCCTTCTTCCTCCTCTGAATCCCCTTCTTCCTCCAACTCGGCAGCTGAATCCTCGAAACCCTCTAGGGATGGTTCCTCTTCTTCGTCCTCCTCTTCCTCGCCGTCCTCTGATGAGTCACCCTCTGCATCTTCACCCACGACATTCTTGTTTCCAGGGTGTTCAAGTTCATCTGCAACTTCTCCCTCTTTTGCCTTGCTCTCCTTGTCGCTCTCCTTGGGTGGTACGTAGAGTGCCTCTTCATCACTGTCGTACTTCGAATCCTCGTTCTTCCTTTGAGATTGAGCTTGAGCAGAACCACCAGCAATAGCGTCCTTGCCACCAGTACTAGTACTAGTCTTCTTTTTCTTCTCAGGCACAACGAAGTCCTCAAGGTCTGAACCATGGTCACTGGCGTCGCTGTCAGGCAGAGTTTCGCACTCGGAGGCGTCTGTTTGATCAGATACTTCGTCCAGGTCATCGACAAGGCCAGCGCGCTCCAGTTGCTCTTCTTCCTCCTTGCAGAGTCGGTCGGCTTCAGCTTCCTCGCGAGCTAACTCGGAATCAGAAACCTCTTCTGCCTGTGAGCCCTCCTCATCCTCGTCGTCGTCGTCAGAGAGTTCGTTCCCCTGACGTGGTCTCTGTGGAGGTCGTGCAAGTAACCCACCTTGCTGCAGTCTGGTTGTATTCAGGGAGTTTGCTCCAGATGAACTTGCAGGTGTTGATGAACTCGATGCTCCGGAGCTTACATTTGAAAAGATGCTGTGAGGACCTTGTTGTGACAAGAGTTGGCCTGCACTACTAGAGGATGAAGCAGATGCCTTTTTAGAAGGTACTGCGCCCTTCGCCTTCCCTAGATCCAAGATGGATACATCGTCACTGTTCTCTTGCTCCTCTTCATCCGACTCGCCCTTGCCTAAATCGTTGAATGCAATTCCCTCATCATCGTTGTCGTCATCGTCCGAGCCGTTATATGAAGCGTCCTCGTTCTCGTCTGAACCTTCCTCTTCTTCCTCTGCCGACTCAACATCGTCGTCGGCAACTAAATCCGCTAAGTCAGCGTCCTCATCGTCATCCAATCGTGGTGCGCGTGCTCGCTTGCTTAAAGGGGCGCCAGCATTTTGTCCGTCTCCTGGAGACCGCTTTCGGACTCCAGCCGACTTCAAATCTTTCAAGCTCACATCCATTTTGATCGCGACCAAGTCCGTTGCTAATCAAGGACTCAATACTGACCAAGAAACAAAGAACTGCCAGTTTTCAGCAACGAATTACTAGTAGGAAAAAGGAAGTAGATGTAGGAGAAACATACGGAAGAAAAAAATACGAAAACGACTTTCCTTGCTCAAATAATAAATCCACTCTCGTCCATCTCCTCGTCGCTGCAGAAAATTGTTAAAGACAAAAAGAACTCAGATCGTGTTGGTCCCTCGCACATGAACTTGAGTGCACATGAACTTCCTCTCCTTGAAGAAAGTGATGAATCCAGGATCTTCTCTCCTGCACAAGTACTATCTATTCATACCATTTCTTTTGTAGAATTAGTTCCTGCTCACAAGACCTAGAGCGCTCTGATAGATTGTGGATCCTGATGTAAAGCAGGTGCTTACTAGGAACTGGTAAACTTCCTTTCAGATCTATTTGATCCTGATCGTTTTTTCGATCTCACATTCAACTTTTAGGTGAACATCAAAATATCGTGTTAATGCCATCAGCCTGCTATTACTTTCCAGCAGCAGTACGACAACAAATAATCTTTCTGAAGCGAATCAATTACATCGCATCAATTAAACCGCTCAGGATATCGGAAAAGGTCCGCGGATTTGTTGAGGATCTTTGGTTACCATTTGACAAGTCGAGAGACGCAGACCCTGTCGATCAAACGCAGTCTCTCGTCGCACTGCCTCCATTGCATAAAGCTTCCAACAAAATTCTTCCTATACATTCACTTCTGTTTCTCACCTTGTATCGGTAGGCGAAGAAGATTCTACAACAGCAGGAGAGTGAGAAACACAACCAGCAAATAGGGTGGAAAAAAGAACCTTAGTACGATCTTATCGATATTTATAAGTGTATATACAGCAATCATTTCCTTGGACCTCCAGTCATTGGATCGAAAGTGACGCCCTCCACGATGGTTCGCGAAGTAACGGGCGTTCGTTCTCGCACTGCCAAGTCGTTACGAGGATTCAAACCATTGCTCGAACTCCCTCCCCGTTGGTGAGGTGCTGCACCAGGTACGGCAATAGCGCTGGCATGATTACAACCCCATATTAGAGAGAGATCATTCAGATATCTACTTCTAAGATTAGTTTAGGTTAAGTTACATTACAGCTGAGAAGAAAGGAATCCTGTCGTTGTAAAAACGTGCAAAGAAAGTCGTGGATGAAATGTGAATAATTCGTAGTAAATCAACTGGAAAGTACTTACTTCTAGAGTCTTAACATCAGGTCGGCAGGTTGATGACCGCCGCCATCGTACATGGTGAGCGAGATGTCCGCCGCTGACACAAACGCCGGAGGAGCGGCACTGCCTGACGGAGGCGCACACTCTTCTGGCAGGACTAGATTGCTCGGCCTCTCCACTCCGATTTCGCATACTTCACAACTACCGGCTAACACCACAAACGGGTACAAATTAGTGCCACCGGTTCCAGGAAGTGTGCCGCCTCCGTGTTGAGAAGAGGAAGACGAGGAGGGTCCGCCAACCGAGCCATTAGCATACGGGCTCTGCGCGCCTGCCGCGTTGTAGACCATGCCGCTGATGCCCGAACTCATTTCAATGCGGCTTTCACCCAGTCGCACTACTAACGCCCCATTTACGAAGACGAACAAGACTCCGGATTCACCCACAACCAAGCTCACGACATCATTGGCCTTCAGAGCGGCAGAATTGAAGGGCGTAAGCGTATTCCCCACACTGCCCGGCGTTCGGTACCACCGCTCACCATCGACGTAATAACCTCTGTCGTCAATTGCCCCGTACAGATTCTCCGCGGTTAACAGGCAAAAATGAATCGGGCAATTTTGGTATTTCAGGTATTTCGAACGGCCTTGTTTCTACAGCCTTTTGTTTTTCTACACTACGATTTGTGCAACTCAAACTTTGAATCAAGCACTAACATTTTTTCGAAACTTGAATTTCTTTACAAAAAAGAACCGCGCAGGGTCGGTAGTGATGCTAAAAATAGAACTAGAAAGTCAAAACTGGACTTGTTAGTAGTTTCCTCCATCATAAAAATTTGGCGGCGATTCAGGTACTACGCCAATGTGGAGACCACCCCAGGCAGTGGAGGACTCCAATAGCTTTAGGTGGAATTCCATCACTTCCCCATAGCGTACTCGGATAGGTCGGGAGGCAATGGCTACGAGTTCCGAGAGAGGCTTAGGCGAAGATCCGCTAGAGAGACGTGCAGGACGCCGCGCAATCTGCATTTGAGAGTTTCTGACTTTCAAGGAAAGCCTTTCTCGGAGTGCATCAAGGGCAAGAGTAAAATGAGGGCAAGGTAGTCAATTCAACCTAGAGAATTTGTTTTACTTCCACGCGGGAAAAATCTAAGGCAAGAAGCGCAACACGAAAAGGGCACTCGCAGAGAAACGTCGAGGCGAAGCACCAAAATAGCGACCCCGGCGGGACTCGAACCCGCGACCTCCCCGACTCTCATTCAATCCTAGGTTACCCTGCGCTAGCCGCGCAATGCTCATTCCTAGAGTGCCTCCGCACCTGCCCACGGGGCTGGGCACTAGTGAATGGGGTGCTCTGCATCATGCAGGCGTCGGCGAACCGACATCCTGTAGCGGACCAACTGAGCTACAGAGTCGCTACGCCATGTGTCTACAATTCCGTGATACTCTCAGAATAGTGTCCGGAAATACACATTACGGGGGTAGAGCGCCCTTCTATGCTCAATGAACAGTACGCCGATCAATAACAGAAGCCAGGAGGCCTGATCTTTGCCTTTCCGCAAAGTAGTCGCCGCAAGTGCAAGCGCAAGTTTGCGAGAGGCTCCACGATTGCAGCCCCGGCGGGATTCGAACCCGCGACGTCTCGATTATTAGGGTGGTTGTTCGACGGCACGTGCGGCAGAGGCGCGTGTAACAGAAAGGTACTCACCCAGAATCAGAAAAAGGTACTAAAATATTTATCACGGGGTTACGGATTTGCACTTTTCGTCCAAGAACGCCTTGAGACCACACCAAATGAAAACTATGTACGAGACCATGAACGGCCACACTCGATGTGGATAGTAGACTATAGCAAGGTGAATAGGAATACCCAATTGTTGCATTCGAATGTGAGGCTTGGATGACTTTTCTGCGGATCCCATGCCCATCGCCAGGGCTTTTGATTCGTTAAAACTTGACCCTGATGTATCATTTGCCTTCCCACAGGCGCCGCTTCCGGTACTCCAGGTATCCCAACCACGTAGGTGTCCTGGAAAAGACCGTTTTCTGGCTCTTCCGCTGAGCCACTGCGTCCCGGCAGCAGAGACTCACTTCCACTCGCGCCGCCCGGCGAGAAGAAGTTGCGAAAAGGCAGTCTCAGCACCTTTCCGGACCCGCCGCCGCCGGACGGTCCTCGGGCACCAGCGCCGCTGGCTCCGCCGGAGGGCGGACGAGATGAGGCGTTCGTAGACCCAGGTCGGGAAGAGCCCGCAGCGCTGCCCGCATCGCCTCCCTGCGCATGCTTGCTGTTCCAGTCATCCCAGGGACCGCCTTCTCTCCTCGAAATGCAGCGGGACTGCAGCCACGAATCGATGGCTCGTCGCAGGGCGACATTGGAAATCAAAAAATTAGAAGCCAGCACCTGCCCAGTGGAAGGAGAACGGTAGGGCGGCCCAACCTGCTGCTGGAAATACGCTTGGATGCAGTTGCGCTCGGACAATGAAGAAAGGAAAAAGTGGCGTAACTGAACATGCAATAAGGCTAAAAGGGACTCTTCATCTTTCTACCTTGATGTCACTGCTTATGATCATAAAAGTCCTCGTTCTTTTACCTTTCATTATTTTACTAGACAAGAAGATGAAAAGAGGCGGAGGTAGAAGTAAAAAGTTGGTTACCCATCATAAATATGAATATCCATCAGTGGCAACGACAGGATCGGTCAAAAGCTCGCCGGAAAGAGGGCAACAGAAGCCCTCAGGCGGTGAGACGATGGCTGGAGGCATCTTGGTTGCAAGCACTAGTGCTGAATAACCACCTCTGCTTAATTATGATCTTGATCATACACAACGATATAAAACATACTTATTTCCAGGGATGCCATGAGAAATGAATGCGGCGAAAGAATGATGGAAAAAAAGCGAGGTGTTAATTCCACAGAAAATCTCGTATGTGCATGCAAATGCTCCTACGTCCAATAGCAGAGGTCGAAACTGTATCTGGCTGAGAGGAAGCTGTCGACAAGCAGAGCGAAGAGTGCAAAAGAACGAGCAGATAAAAATAAGGATCATTAGTAAAATACGTATACGAGTCCCAAAATACTACTGTCATAGGATCTGGAAATACTTATATGTGTGTGGGGATCGGGAATGGATCCGATTCTGTAGACAGGGACAGTGATTAAAGAAATCAGGGGAGAAGGGCTATAACTGGAAATGCGCTCAAAACTGCGTGATCGTATCTCTCTCGTCTACTTTGCATAAAACTGCCAGAAGACAAGTACACGAACACTGTCAAGAAGTAGATTGCGTCCGATTGTTCAGGGGCATCTCTCAAAACTAACACGCACACCATCGGAGCATGGTTATGATTATATGTTCCTGCTGCTCTCGTCCTGAAATTTGATTGACAGATGCAGATCTTTCTTAAGACAGCCGCGTCACTGAATGGACACTTTCTTTCTGGTCACCGATGACGTCCTCGGAGAACACTTATATTTGTAATGATTCCGCTTGTTTCGTCCCTGCTGCTGCAGCCCGACTCATCTTCTGCGGAGTAGTCGTGATTCATGGGGTGCGCTAGAATAAAATCGTACCAAGATGCGTTTTAATAGTACGTAGTAGGGGAAAAATGTTGGTGTGATTGAGTAGATGAGGGGCGCTTGCTCAGTCCTCGCTGAACGGACACCATATCCGACACCGAGGTATCTTCGTGCACTCATCCTTGATATTATGCGTATATTCAAAGGGGGGAAAGCTTCCTTCTTAAGAGATGTTGCTCGTAATAAGAAATTCATCATCACCACGACGGACGGAAAAAGAACTTCGTAAAGTTCTATTTTTGTAATACTCCTCTAGCCTCTAAAACAACCACATTTAAAATCTAAAACCGAAGATGCAACTGAAGTCGGTCGTAACGACGTTAAAAGTCGACCATGTCATTCATTTGCGCCTGTTTAAGATCTTGATCTTTTTTCTGAGTTTCTGTAAACCCTCTTGTACCAGAGCATGCTTCGGCACAAGAGGTCTCCCAGCAAAGCCTGTTAAATCACCCTACTTTGCGGCTACTTACATTGAAGAGGTGTTACAGTTCACGAGATATTTTTTACATCTTGTTGAGATTGATAAGAAGTAATCATAATCCGTAAAAAATAGAAAATTTTTGTGTGTGAGACAGAGGGCCGGGCTCTCGTTTCCGGTGGCCTTCATGCGTCAGCATTAGAATACATTATAGTTTCAGACCGATCTATAGTTTCCGGGCGACTAACACTATTCCCTACCCTTCCTGCCATCCTTCGCATCGCTGGACGCAGCCCTGGATTGTCTCATACGTAATAAACGTTCAACTCAAAGTACAGTAGCGAAATCCGTATTACGCACTCTTCTTTGCGCATCGTTTTCTTCTCGGTTGAACTACCTCAGAAGAGGCATCTATGTATGTTGATCCTACTCAGTAGGGAAAAAGAACAGCTTACTCGAATCTTCATTGCAGATTCCTTGTCGTCATCATCATCGCATCCCTGTCGATGTAAGATTACTACCTTCTCTTCGATCTTCTTCCACTCCATCTTCCTATTTCAGATCCAGACTTAATATTCTTCCGGAAAGACATCGGATCGCTCCAGTGTTCGGACGTTGTTCTCGATGTCGAAATAGAAGATTTTACGCGAATTGCCCTCGTCTCTGATGTACATCCACTTCGCGGGAAGCTCTTCCAGACCCATGGTTTGCCGCAATTGATTATGCTCTTTGATCAGCTCGGTGATATCTTTTTGACCGGGAAGAAGGTTACCCATAGAACCTGGAACGATCGTGAAGAGAGGGGATTTTGAGAGAGGGAGACGCCATGTGTATGTCCCTGTTATGGCCGTTCTTGGTCACCGTAGAGACAGAATGGCAGCCGACACGGGTGCAAAAACAAAATCAGATACAACTACAGGTAGTACTTGGTCACGCGCAGATACTACCTACAACAAGAAATTCTGTACCGTACATACCACCTCCGTCCTCATCGGCTTCGCCGTTCATCAAGGCTTCCATGTCCATACCTACATCTAAGGGCTCGATGTCTTCTCCGGTGGCCAGCAGGTCCGGGACTCCGCCAGATTCCACAACCTCCGTCAAGGTAGGCACGACCGGCGCCGGAGGTGGTTTCTTGACAGGCGCAGCGGCAGCTTTTCCTTTGCCTTTGCTCGTAGTCTCTTTATTAGCAATGATTGGTGAAACAAGCACGTTCCTCGAAAGCACAAGTTGTACGAGTAAAATGATGATGTGGGCAAGTCATTTCTCATGTTAAGCGACTTACATATACTGATGCAACAGACATAGCAATTATCCAAAGAGTGTAAGCGATTGACTTTCACGATCTTGGTCATGAAAAAAAATAAAGTAGTTCTAGTTATTCCATTCGGGGGTGATCTCAGTCATAATTGAGGAACCGTTTGCCAAGCCGTTTGTGGCCCCTCTAGGGGAGCGCGATCTTGCTCGCATCTGCGCATCTCGTTGATTCACTTGTCCTTTCGAAGCAATCACAGCGATTCCTGGTTGTTTTGTCAGCGATCCGGTAGATACAATCTGCTTCACCGTGTTAGTCTGAGCTGACATCTTAGAGGAGAACGAAATCATGAATGAAAAAGTTTCATGCACTTTGACTTTCGTGATCTGAGTATTATGGATTGTGGAAAAATTCTGTTCTGTTGTAAAGATTGCCTCTTCTACTTGAGAGTGAGATCTTTCCCTTTACTGCTTACGCCCCCACCTAACAGTATCTTTGACTATATCTTGGATGAAGACTATCTCTATCTATTATATACTCATGCCTTAAGATTGACAGAACTCGTCTTGCTGGAAGTCTGGGCCGGTGGCGGCAATGTCGTTCTGCTGGTAGGTTCTTCGTCCGGCATCATGATTCCCGTCGCACCGTCGTAGAGATTCTTCGGCGCATCCCTTGGGCGACCCCTATTCGCCGTTGCCGGAATGCGATCGGTGAGTCGCTGTCGCTGGCCGAAGATGACGTGCGCAGCCGGAAAGTTGCGCGACGAGTACCCTGTCGGACCCTCCTTCGCAACGCGATAACCCTTGTAGTTTGTGTTTTTAGACGCATCCTTATCTGCAAAATTTCGCAGCACGCCTTCCACGCTGTGAGTTTCCAACGACGGACTGAACTCGGGTTGCACCTCTTTCCTGTACATAGTCAACTCCTCGTTCAACGCAGGAAAAAAAGTCCCAAAATTGCGGACACCTTTTGTAGTACGCATAAAAAAGAAGCGTACGCAGCGTAAGCGTGTAAGTGATTCACTGACTGAGTGAAACTAATTGAATGGGTAATTGACTGCCTGGAACACTAATTGCATCAACATCAATTCGAAGGTAACTTCTTATTTCACAAGTAACAACCACTACTACAGCTTCCAGCTCCACCTTTTCCTCAGCTTCAGATAAGATGCCATGTGTGTGTCCCTGTCATCATGATTCAACTTAATACAGTCATCAATCTAGGCGACATTATTGATCGCGAATAGGGGCTATAGGAACTACATCCGAATGCATGCTGTTGTCTCTGTTACCATCGTCCATGATGACCGTAAACCTACATCCGAACCATCGAAGGAACTACTAGTTACTGCATATTGTAAATACTAGAACTGAGACAGTAGAGTTAAAAGTACAATTATTGTCCATCCGCACCCACATTGGTGTGATCCAGAGGACTCGCTGTTCTTCCGCTTGGATCGGGTAGGCCAGGTTCGTGGAAACTGCGGTCATCACATCGCGGAAACCTTTCTCCGTAATATAATTGTCACTCAGATGGAGCTCGGTCACCGGCTTGTCCAACGCTTTCAGGTAGTCGGCAATGTAGTAAGCACCATGATCACCAAAGGTGTTCTTGAACATCTTGATCACGATCATTAGAAAGGAAACACGAGCCGAGAAAGGACTCAGCAGGGCGCCCCTAACAACTAAAAAATGAAAAATAAAAACTTCTGTCTGGTGTCATAGCAAGAGGAACCTTTAGGAGGGCGAGATCAGGAACCTTTTAGGAGGGGAGCATTGACACATTTAATAATATAGGGAGTTATGCTCAGCACCATAACTTAACCTGCACTTTGAATTGCTTCAGGAATCTGAAGATGGCTTCCACTCCATGATCCCCAATGCTGTTGAAAGACATATCCAGCTGTTCGATGTAAAATCGGGAATTCGCTGCACTATTAGAAGGATATCAGGTTAGTACAATTAGGAGTCATTTCATGTCATGGGTAGTAGAGTGGTAAGAAATACTACGCTAGGTAAAACTATAGAAAAGCAGTTTAGCGAGGTGCACTATTAGAAAGCTTCCTAAGTTTTCTCTTGAATTGATTCTCCCACTCACCGACGAGGCGACGGACGCCCGTACAATCCCAGTGGCCACGCGTTCCATTGCCTGAACCGGAGAAGCACTGCATGCGCGAGCTCCAGTTCATGCGCAGCACCCCACGCGAGTCTCCTAGCTCAGCCGGCATTTGTTGTTGTTGGGCGGCTGCCAAATATTGGTTTTGTTGAGGATAGAAACCGGATCCAAAATACTGAGGGGCTGCTGCCGTAGTAGTAGCTGCTCCACCTCCGTAGTACTGCGAAGTCGCAGCAGGCGTGCTTGTATATTGCTGTTGTTGAGCAGCTGTGGCCGCGTACTGGTTGTAGTACTGCTGGTAAGCCGCGGCGGCGTATTGCTGTTGTGTGTACTGCGAACTATCAGCTGTAGTGTACTGCTGTTGAGCGGCGGTCCACATCAGGTCATTTTGCGTCACAAGGACGAAAAAAGTATCTAAAAATAAATCTGCTACTTAAAACAATAACAAATTAACTGTATCTGTAGAAAACACAGTCAAAAAACAACTAAGTTGAACATTACCCAATCAAGGCTAACTACAATGCATCTGTGCTGTCGCGACTCCTAGTAAAAGTTTCCTGCTCCTGAAGAACGTTGGCTTTTTTATTAATGGAGTTTCGTTATATAATTACATAGAAGAGCAGTTCCTAGTTGTATGGACTTTTACGGATTCTACTTGTATACATAGAAAAACAGTCCCTAGTATGGACTGCGAAAATGCAAATGGAACAACATTGAGATGAAAAGAACACACAGAACGGAGACCCAAGCATGATCAAATGCGGTCAATTTTTCATATGATCTGTACCGATGAATTTTGAGCTTCAAACTTCTTCATTCGAGCTTCAAAATACTTCATTTCGAACAGGATTCTTCGTTTCGTTTGCGTCTTCTTAGGCGGATGTTAGGCGGATGCGGTTCAATCTATCTGCATCAGTCACAACATTGGATGCTCCTCAGTTTCTTCAAGTGTAATAAAATGATGTCTTGGTGCTCTACCAAGCGCGTCCTGCCATCAGTCTGTTCTTTCACACATATGACTGGACATTTCCCGTAACATAGGAGTTACATGAAGTTCAAGTTGAGCGTGAGATGCTAGCATACAAGAGTGGACAGACGCCACATACTCGGAGCAAATTAAGTAGATTACAGATGGGATCGTGGTCCACATTTCTACTATCCTGCTCAAGCACTCAAGCATAAAGCACCCATTTGATCCGTTAAGATTGATTTCCTTCCATGATCATAAAGTAACTTAGACCATGCTGTGCTTGGGGATTCCGAGTAATACACAGGACAGCGATCATTTTCCATTTGTTTCTTGTATCAAGTCGGGACTTGAATTGTCAAGGTTCCAACGAGAGGTTTGATTCTAGAACTCTTAGTCTTCGTAATATTCCACGACTTACAAGTTGGTCTTGGAAAACGATCAGCATGCGCCACCGCATACTGAAACCAGCAGATTTTACTAGCCTAATCTTCGAAGTGTACTTCTTCTCCAGAGTCGCCTCTTTCCGGTCAGTCCCTTGTGCGCGGTTCTGTGCCCACGATTCTGACGACGTATATTGCGCGGTTTTGCTCGGTTGTAATCATCTGCTTGGCGCGGCAGCTCCTCGGTTCCTTCGAAGTGGAATGGAAGCCCGATCACAGTGTTGACATTGCGGATGGCGAAAGAAACAATATCGATATCGCCTTCACGATCCTGTACGTTTTTCTTGCCAAGCACTGCTTCCAGGCGTCTTCTTTCCTTGTATTTTGAGCGATTTCTGATACTCAACCCACTCACGCACGATTCTCGGAGCCTTCATTATGCCAGCGTTGGTACGAGAAGTAGACGCATTTACATTTGCCTCAGCAAGAACTTCAGAAGCTGGACATTCTTCGGAGGTTTTACTTCCGTGGTCCATATACAGATTCACAACAGTGTGGCGATTTCTGCCGTCCAGACGATCCCACAATAAAACCGTTTGCCGATTTAGGCACTTGTCGAGCGCACCAAATTCGCTACCCGTTCTCCTGTCCACGATAGCACGTAAACTGCGCAGCAACGTAATCAAACTCCGTGCATCTACGAGACACTCCGACGAGGAAAATGAGGACGTGAGAGTGGATTTGGTTTTCGATACCTCCTTCTGCTCAGGCAAGCTGTCAAATAAGTCGACAATTTCACCTTTTCTCGCACGTCTCGTGTTCATCTTACGGTGACTTTTGTCAACATTCGGATCTTGGTCACCGCTGTAACTCGTCTTTGTTAATTCGCCGGTAGGCAATCCTCTCTCGTGAAATAGAAATTCTCCATTCATTGCGGCTGCATGATCCATGAGTTTTTCACTCGCACGTAGAAGTTCTAGCACCGGTTGCACAAAAAAATTCGTTGACGGAAAGGCCAGAACCATTTCCAGAGCTTGCGCGAGACTTTTCAAATTTGAACTTAATATGGAAGCTCTTCCGGAAGGGTCACCATTGTAGACTCCAGGAAAGACTACAGGCGTCAGCACATTCGTTCTTCTCGCAGCGTAAAGCCGACACAAACGAGAAAGAGTCTCGATGTCACCCAGGACAGACTTTGCTTTGGGTGCGCTGTTGCCAGTGGCAAAGAGATCGTGGGACAGCAATCCTCGAGACCGAAGCAACTCCGTCGTGAGCAGCGGGTCTGCCTCATCCTCGTCTTCTTCGGTATCAACATAATATTCTTCCTCTGAAGGGCATGCGGTCTCAAAAGAGCAGCCCTCTGCGTATGCTGGTTCCATCATCTGCCCCAAAACTTCACTTTCTGGCTCCGACGAAGGAGACCCGCGACCATCTCGCTCCCTGCTGGGTTCATAGCGTGCTAGCGCCAAACACGTCAACACACCGTTATCTTCCACGTCTCTGCGATCAAGAGTAGAACTCTGTCCCCTCCCCGTTCTTTCCCCCTTTTCCTCCTGATGCAAAGCGGGAAGGAGAACGTCTCCGACAACGCAATCAATCAACGCCCGTTCAACTTCCCACATTCGCCGCTCATCCACAAAATTATCTGATGCCTTATCAACTATGTTCATCGGGCTTTGTTGTGTTGGGTTTCCACCTGCTACATGCTGTTCCATTTCATCTCGCATTTCATGACCGCCTACAGTCTTCGTCGCGAAGCCGTTCGCGCTCGGTCGCCGGCGAAACAATATACTTCGGAGCACGTTCATGGCGCTAAGCTTGGCGGCCGGGTCCAGGAACAGTGCAGCGTGCTTCTCCTGTTCTTGTAGTTGATCTTGATCTCTCACTGTGCGTTGAACCTCACGTCGAAAGTCTTGCAATCCGGTAATATACATTTCGCTAGAACTCGAGCACAAGCCATCTACCGGACTGTCTAAGGCCTCACTACGCACTATTGCGGCAAGCAAATTTCGGATGCTAATCAAAAACCCTACTGAACAGATTCTCCCTGAGTCTTCAACATGTGCGTTGTTTCGCGAGTGTTTTCTCAATATGCGCAACAGCCCGTGCGCATGCACAAGTAAGTGCTCATGCAGACGCGCAAATGTTCCTGCCCTGTCCACAGTAGCCTGTAGTAGGCGGGCGACGTCGTCTAGGGACCCGATGCGTCGTAACTGAAAGCCGTCGTTCTCCAACAGGCGGTCCGACAACGCATTCAAAATCTTTAGCTTCGCTGCATGTGGTAGAACAGAAGCGCTAACCGACGTCAGCGCCTCTGCAATTTGGACAATGTCTCTCGCCCGCAACCTACTAATCTGCGCCTCTTCATCGCTAGGTGCGCTAGAAACAAAACCAGGTGGTAATTTAGGAATTTCATCCTCCTGAGTCTCACCTTTATTGACCTTGGAAGGTTCTCGTCGTTCTCCGCTACTACTTCTGAGCTTGCGCCGCAATCTAGCACATGCACGAACCCTACGTTTCAAGTGCTGTTCTTGTTGACTCGCACCTTCTGAGTTCCTCGCATCTACGACCCTAACAGCACTCAACACTGGCGACTCGTCTATCCACTTTAGCCTCGCTGCAGGGGCATCCTGCAGGAGTTTCTCTGCAGTGATCTCATCCAGCGTGGATGTCGTGTCACGATGAAGCTCGACATCGTTGCGGATATTTGAGGATGATGAAGAACTTGACACTTCTGCACATGTGCTGTTGTCGTTCGGTGCAACGCTGCATTTGCTTCGCACCTGTTGTCGTGGAACACGGTTGCCACCACACACAAAGAGTTGCAGAAACTCTGAAAAAATGGTCGGACTGGAAATGCCCAGACTCGCATAGGACTTCGAGACAAGCGCCACGTCTCGTCCGCTCCATTTGTGCAGTGCGCGTGAAGCGATTACAGGTGCCAAGCGGTCACGAAACAACATGCCAAGATCGACTTTTCTTGAATAAACAGAGTAACTTTGTTCTGTCTCGTTTGGTCCGCTCGAATGGCCCAGACTTTCTTGTCTATCATTTTCTTTTGAAGAAAGACATCCGCATCGATGAAGAGCCGCTATCGCATGCACAAGCAACGCAAGCTGCCGCGTGGAGCATTGACCACATATCGCCGGGACACGTTCAGCAACAAGTCTCTTCGATAGCATCTGGCCAGAGTCGTCATCTACCAAGCTTCGATCTTTTTCACTACTCGACATTATAGAAAAACTGCTTCTATTTGCATGCATCGCGACTCGAGCACATGCTTCAAGTGCAGGGACGGTTTCCGCTGCCTGAAAGCTTCCAATAAGACCTGGCCTGTCGCGCAACAGGTTACGGACACTGTCGCGCCAGGCTCTCGAAGAGGCAGTACTCGGAGACAAGCGCACCGCTTTGGCCGTCGAAGCGATCCCCCGCAATAGCATCTCTGCGGACTCGCTGTGTGCGGAACTGATCATGCGACCTTGTTTCCTCGGCTCAGTGCGCCGCTGGCGCTCTTGCATCTGTTGTACCTCAACATAATCTAGAAGCAAACTGTTCTTCTCACTCGCATCGTCCTCATCACGCAAGTGACTGACTTCCGTTCTCTTCCGTTGTTTGCCAGAACCAAATATGTTGTTGATGCTTGACCTATTAGAGACAGGATCGTCCTCTTCGGCTGGCTCCGCCAAGCTACGCAAAGAACCTGCAAAGGAAGGAGAAGTGATCTCTTCGCCAGTTCCGTCTAGCTCGCTCGAGAAAATAGGCGTGGCATCGACAACATTTACCACATGATCGCCATCAGCAATTCCAGCAGACCCTGCCACGGAGAAACTTACAGCCTGACCGGAAACTGGTGCGCGTGTAGTTGTATAAAGAACTGCATGTCTCGACGAGTGTAGCCTCAACGTTCGGGATACCGCAGTCCTGGGCCAAACAGGCCCCGACGAGCTAATTGCACGAACCATGGGATGGTTGGAGACACTTGAAGACTACGCAATTGACTAAGAAATAGCACAATTTTCAGTCGTATCGAGTGGCTGTTTTAAGATATACATTCCATTTCCAATGCACTCATGATTAGGTCGGTCTAGGGATGCGAGTGCACAGATCCCTCTGTTGTGATTCTACCTCACCCCTTTACGCAACTCATCTTCGCATAGTGCATATGAATTATCGGCATAAACCAGAAAAGAACAGCCCGCTTAGAAGAATGCGGCACGACCAAAGGCAGGAAAAAGGCTACGTTCTTTTGAGCTCCCTAGCTATCCTCTGTATCTGTTTGCGTTCTGTAGGAAAATGCAATATGAATGTTGAGCGTGGGCTCAAATTCAAATTGTCAAGCCACTCCATCATGGCAGTCACACTCGTCAAGACGCAGACTTGCCATGAGAGTCAATAGGAAAATAGAACGACGACAGGAAATCTTGTTCAAAGAAGGGCCGTATACACTAAATTGTCATAACAGAATCAAACTCCTGTGGTTGCTTTTAAAAAAAATTCACATTACAAATCTCAAACACGTAGGCGTCACTGCTGTAGCAATGGCTCAGCGAGTGGCACCTGATTACCGCTGCGCGCACATCGTTGGTACAAGCTTAGCGCCAACGCGAACAAAATCCAAGCGCCTGCGAAATACCCAACGTAGGGACTAGCGAGAATCGCGAACAGGCCAGTAGATGACGCAGATGAAGAGTCAGCATTTCCCGTTGTCTGCTTCTGTCCAGTTTTCGCCGGTAAGCTCCTACTCGCATCTATGCTCCGAGTCGCCTCTGCAGATGCGATCCAGTTCACTCCTGCTGTGTTCGCTCGTTGAGGTGCCGTCGCCGGTGAGATCCTGCCTGTTATTGGACTATCTCCTTGTGGCTTCAGAACGTCCACCTGCTCTTCAGGTGATACGCCTTCGCCCTTGTCCATTGATGGCAATTCGCGGTCTAGATCTCTCCCACGCTGAGTTGCAGCCGGTGCCTCTCCTGGTGTGATGAAGGTGTCGCCGTTGAGTCGCGGCGGAGGTGGCGCTCCTGGCTCGCCTTCGTCTTTTTCACGCATGATAGCGGCAATCTCGGATGGAGAAGCACCACCACCGCTGCCGTAGCCGCCCTGGTGTAGCTCCACCTGCGGCACGTCGAGTCGTGGTCCGCCCTCCAGACCGAAGTCTTGATCCAGAAAATACGGACCCGGGTTGATGCCGCCAATTGCGAGATTCACCTTCACGAACAAATCGGTGCCGTGGAAGGTGTTCCAAAAACGTTCGATATTCTGGTTACTCATCCTGCCATTTTCTGGCATAACCAGCAACGCGTTGTCGTGCGTGAGCAAATTCAGATTTGCTTCGGTATCAGCCCACCACGTTGCCAATCCCAGGTTCCGCCATGATTCTTCAGGAATATAACTCGGTGATCCAGAAGGTGGGCTGTAGATACCCAAAATTTGCTCGGTCGCAGTCCACAAGCGAGCTGGGAGCGCCGGCTCCTTGTTATTCGCGTCGTCGTCGTCACGCAACACGTCGTGTTTGCGGTCTGTTCGACCCCCCTCTTTTTTTCTGCTCGTTGAAGAATCACCATCCGCATCATCGTCTCCTGCAAAAGTGGTTGTACTATCGGACGTCGTGGACTGCTGGTCACTGTCCTCACTGTCAGCATCACGATTACGAGAGGTGACAACCTCGTCATCGCTAGTAGCATCCAAATCCGAGTCTTCATCATCGTCCTCGTCCGAAGGAGCAGTCGCTTCAGCCAAGGAGGTGTCGTCTCGTGGATCGATTTCCTCGTGTCTCCGGACCGAATTTCGACGACGTCTTCGGTTTCGTCTGACGTCCCTTGGCCGAAAATTTCGAAACTCCATCACGAAGATGGCCCAGCCGTCAGGGTCGCGTGGCATATCCCGCGTCTTCAAGTACACTCCTCCGATATTGGCATACTCCGGTGTCCAGAAAGTCTTCTCATAAAAAGCGAACTGGTCGATGATGCCGTACTTCGAGTTCAACTCGCGAATGTCGACCTCGCCGCACTGGGGCCACAGCTTGCCCGCTCGCGTGAAATTCTGCTCCTCGTGGTTCATCGCGTCGCGCCACTGCGTGCCCATAAGCCACAGGGCTGACCACGCACCAAGTGCCGTATCGTTTCCACGAACTCGCGCCATCAACGTACCTGCGCTCACGCTTTCCTTCTTCATTTGCAGCGATGCCGAACTGATCCATGGGCGCACCCTGTCCGCCAATGCCGCTGCGGCCTCGGGCGTATTCTCGTTTTTCGACGGCGCTTCCTTCGGCCGCGTGTTGCACTTGATCGGATAGTGCTGGTTATCGCACGTCAGCTTCGTGCATTCCTCACGAGTACCTTCCTCGCAAAACGCCTTGAGGACCAGCGTGCCCTCTGGTGTGCAGTAAGCGTTGCGCCTCTGGTCCGTGTACTCCTGCGCCTCCCAGTTCCCCGGCCGAGGGGTACCGGTCTCGTACTCCCATGCGCTGGGGTCAGGTTTCCCGTCCACGCAGGTGTCGAACTCCTCACGCCAACCGCCATCTACAACTACTTCCTTTGTTTGATCATCTTGATGCTTTGCAGTTCTTGCTGATGATGAGGTTGACGACGTCTTCTCCTCAGACTTGACAGATGTAGTTGATCTTGATGCCTTATTGCCGCTCGTTTCTCCAACGCGACGCAGCTGGTTCGGGTCGAAGATCTGCGGATGCTCCAAGTCGCTCAAGAACTTGTTCTTGTAGAAGCGGATGTAATCAATCTCGAAGAAGTGGCCCTGATAGAGGACGTCCTCGCTGTCGCTTCGACGCGGTGGGATCGCGTAGTTCTCGGCACTCAGCACTTTGGCAGCGCTTGCTGAACTAGTCCTCACCGGAAAGCTCGCCCTGTTGCTCGAGGCAGCTGCGGACGCTGAGGTAGTCGAAGCTGCTGCTAACGGAGAGGTCTCAGTCAGCTCCGTATCGCCGGATGACGTCGAAAGTCCCACGCTAGCCGCGCCATACGCAGCGCGTTGACCACCTACCGCAAACTTCTGCTCGCTGGAAAGCCGCGACTCATCAAGATTGATAGGGGGCACGAAGAGGTGCCGATTGCTGCTCTTTGCCGACGACGTTGCCGCCGCAATTAGTTGGAATGGGTTTGAGAATACCATCATACAATTTGGCAGAACAATTACAGTGATTGCTAACACAATGCGACTCTTCAGGACCACCTCCTACTTTCACCCATTGAAGTACTTATCTTTTTCGCGCAAGAAGGAAACTATCTCGACCACGTAAACAGTTTGTTTCTTTCAAAGTAGAAATTAGGCGGACATAATTAAAGGAGAGTCGCTCAAAACCAGAGAAATGCTACTCCCGCTTGTTGCAACAAATCGCCATCCAAGTGCACAAACGAAGGAACACAACGTTGTGACTGGGCAATATGCGGTCACCCCTCTTCGATTATCATCATCTGATTGCGTCCATCACCATTAATAGCGGTGGCGTATCCAATCCGTTGCATCCGCTGATTTCGTCTCTGCACATCAATCCGCAGTACACTGCGTCTTGTTCAAACAAAAGTAGAGGGAGGATCTCAGATTTTTACCACCAGTGATGCAAGTAATCAAGTTCGTAGATACATAAGCATAAGGGCGAATCGAAGTATTTATTTTCCTGCTGTTCAAGCCCATTTTTCCTGCTATTTTCATTCCCTTTCTTTAGCTCATAAACTTGCGATAAGCATCCACGCCAGCTCAGCGTTACTTCGAATCATGACCCGTGCTGGCGTAGTACTTACTTCAAAGAAATATCTGGCGAGTAAAGTCAGGTGGTTCACCAGCCGCTGGCGTGTCCTTTTCATGATATACTTTAAGTGTTTCCGATTTAAAAACTAGCTGGTATTTCGGTCAATTCTGATATCGTCGACAGATGATTCTTGCATTTGGATTCTTGTCTTTCAAGGTTATTTGCAAATGGTCTGCAAATGGTCTATAACTATGATGTCTGTGCTTCTGATACATTCATATCATGATTCAAAAAGTTGTAAATCCAAGAAGCAGAACAAAATAGAAGTTCAGCAAATGAAACACATTCATAAGTAGTCTTTCTCTTTTTTAGTCTAATTCTTCGTCAACAAGTTCAATGTCGATGCCACCGAAAAGTTTCTGCTTCACTACTTTGGTCCCCCAGGAGGACTCATCAACAGACAAATTGAATTCATTTTCAACCACGTGCTTCCATTCCTCCCAAGTTTTCAGGTCGATTTTCTTCGTTATATTCTTCTCGGCGGAAGTCGTGTCTTCATTCTGTTCGCATCCCTTTCCCGTGACTCCTGTGACGCTATTGTACATGATTGGTGCCCTACACAGGCGTTTGTTCACCAGAGAAAGAATCTCGCCACGAGGAGGTGGGGACGGGGAAGTAGATGTAGATGAAGAAGTCTTTGCGGAACTGTAAGTTGTTGCATTCGGAGAAGATGTCGTCGTTGTCAAGATGTTCCACTTCGTGCGGTCAATCAGAAGCAGTTGCTCAAAAACCGCTACCGGGAACAGATACATCCACTCTCCGATGTCTCTCCTTATCAGAGCCTCTCTTCTGTCGCCGCTGGTTCCAAGGCCGGGTAGAAGACACGCATAGGGACGATATTGGGGTGCTTGCGGTAGCGGAACTTCCACACCCAATCATCTCTGAACTGGAGGATTTTATCGCTTTCAGAGCAGGTCGGCTTACGGCGCACGCGTTTGTCGCGATACAAAAATCCGCCTATGGGATCCTCCACCGTACGATACATGATAGCGCTACTGCTGTCGGATTCGCGCATCTCCTGCGCTGGATAACAGCGCTTGAGAAGATCATTACTTCTGTCGGAGAGAGAGAAGCTACTAGAAGAGGAAGCTCCACCTACTGAACAAAAGCGATGCAGTGTAGAAACTATTCCGCTCCCGCAGCAAGTCAAGCCGCTATCTGCACACGAGGAAGAGGGAGTCGAAATAGTTGCAGAAGAAAAAGTTCCGGTTGAAACTGAAGAAGCAAAAGGTTCAGACGAAGGAACTCCCTTTTCTGGGATAAAAATTCTGCCCTTCACGCTATCGACAAAAGCTTGTGAAGGTTCGGCCCTGCAACCCGGATCGTTTTCATCACGAAGATTTTTATCTACATCATCGTCACAGCCCAAATACGCAACAAAAGGTACTACTCCTCGTCCCGGCGATCCCGCTTCGATCAAGTACCGCGTACCCGAAATCGAGACTGTAATCGCGCAGTGTTCTGCATACCACCGCTGCAAGCTACCTCCCCACAGCTGCACCTGCATCAAACCGACCGATTCAAAGCCTAGATCCTCCAAAATCGCGCCGAAAAGCGTGTGCAGTTCTCAACACCGGCCACCACGTTTGTTCAGCATGACCTTCTTGTCAAGCGCAGGCACGGACAAATCGAGATTGTACATGTTGTATTTAGAAGTAGTCTCAAACTCACACAATTGTGCTGCTGTGCATTTAGAAGTAAGTAGTTTCTTTCTTCGTCGGACTCGGACAATCCTGTTGTTGTACTAAGCAAGACGCCATCTTTTTTCCTGCATCTTTACTGGTATCTTCTGCTAGACAATGTCCTAAATCATTCTTGTTAGCATTCTCGTGCAAGCCTAGCGTAGGCACGACGAGGGGAGAAATCGAATCTGCTCCTATTCTCTGTGCGAACTGGTCCAAGTTCTCGAAGGTGATGTGGTCGCACCACTTTTTTTGGAGGAGAAGTAAAGCAGAATAGGGCTTGTTCTTCACGTACTTTTTTAACTCTTCTAAGCCCACGTCTCCCAGCTTCAAGCGATCAAGTACGATGGAGACCTTATCGTCAGCAAAGAAATCGCTGTAGTTGCCGCGTGGCAATAACATATTCACTGCTTGCCGCTCAGGCGCAAGAAGAGCGCTGTCCGGGTTCTTTGCCATGATGTTACTCCTTTGCAAAAGTACAATCTTCAAACGTTGATGACGCAAGTGGGCTGATTCACTTCTTGCAGGGCTATGCTACTAAGAAGCCAAGAAAGGCAATCCTATGATACTTTGCATGGAGGGATTCTAAAGTCGAAAATAAGTAACCGGTATGTTTCTTTAAGTGCTTTGGGCGTCGCTGGACCTTCTAGACCTCTATCTTATAAAAAGATAGAAGCCAATCAAGATTTGCAGCAAGCCCCGACAAACAACAAGGGGGTCCGTCAAGCATGATCCTATCATGGGAGGAGGTTACTTAATATGATACTAAGAAGAGGAAGCAGAAGATTTCGAAGATGATGCTAAGCTAGTCACGAATGGCGACGCGTTCACAATGACGAATTCAAATTCTCTATTTTGCAAGGACTAAGAACAAGACTCTATCAACCCATCTGCGACAGCAAAACGAAACAAAAGCGATGCGCACTCACTCTCGGTGTTTCTCTCAAACACATATTGGATCTCTCAAACCTTTTCAACTGGTTACAAAGAACGAAGGGAACGATCACATCGTTGCGCTTGTGAACACCATGCCCACATGAAAATCGGGCATCTTCCACTTCCAGTGAGATCTCTCGTTTGGTGTCATCGGCATCCACTGCCATCTATCAGCGATGCTTCATCCATTATGCGACATTTCCTCGTTGTGTGTACCACAATGGGCGCATCAAGTGATGTTTCGCATCAAGTGATATTTCGATGTCAAATTTTACAACGATCCACCTCCACATCAGATGAATCAGATTTATACATAAGAAGTCACAAAAGTATTCATTTTTATGCTGTTAACAGATGTAATCTTGATATTCGTTTGTTTTTCATAGCTCGTTTTTTTTTCTGCTCGCAGTATTCATCAATGTTTATGCTTCTAGCTTAACAGTTTTGAAGGTAAAGGAATACAAAGGAATCAGTTGACCTGCGGCCGCAATTAGACAATTATACAGATATGGAAATCAAGTTCCAAGAAGAAACCAATTAACGTTCTTATGTCGGCATGTCATTGTCGGTGATCTCAATCTCTCACATGTTGTGTAGTTCAATATTATTACTTCTTCTAACTACGTTGAATTTTTTTACTTGACAGAAAGACAATTTTTTTAGAAAATCTTCTACTTAAGGCCGTCTAGAATTGAGCTCGTTTTGCACCTCAAAACGTGACTTCCCGTGCCATGCTCATTCTCTAGAAAGCAGCGTCGAGATCTGGTTTAGTAGAGTTTTTTATACGGTGAAGATAAGAAAAGAAGAGTCAATACTCAACAAGAAAGAGGACTTGATGCAGAATAGAGTCAGCTCGATTTTGTTAAAAAGTACTTTCTTAATATGCTAAAATAAGCGTGAGAAACGTCAGCATGCATTCGTTACAAAAAAACGCACTACATCCTGCTTCTACGTCTGAAATTTATCTATTCTATCAGTTTCCTGGAGAAATACCTGAGTCCGCTTGTTGCGTCGGTCTGTTCTTGAACTGCGATTTGCGTTGCGGTGGTGTGGCTGGAGGCGTCTGTAGTTCTGTTACTTTGTTATTGTTACTACCGGAAAAGGAGTCTAGATTTTGGTTCCTAAAGTCTGCTGATGCGACTTGTTGCGACAGACGTACGACCCCCTCCACGTCTGCCACCGGCATGGAGGTGCGTGTCCTGCTCGCCGTCGTATGCGCTCTGTAGCCATCCACGACGCGGCTGACTTTCGAGGACTTGCGGGACTCCGCCCTCGAGGGAATGCCCGAGTGGTCTAACTGCGCCGCTAGATGATCGACGGCAGCTATGCTGCGACGCGCACCATCCGCCAAGTTGTCCCTCGCACCAATCGCGGAAGACGAGCGTGGCGCAACACCAGGAGCACCAGCACTCTCTCCGGATATTTGGCTAGTCCTTGCTGGCACGGAGGACGTGCGACTCTTTTTTTTCCACTTCCGCTTCCGTTTCTGCGACTTTGTCATCTGCTCATATTCTGCCTCGTTGTGGCCATCGGAGCTTGACTTGTTCTCCACGACCTGCGGCTTTGGAACTTTCGGCCCAGGAGCAAAGCTCAACTCCATCAGATGCTGTTTTGTGATGTGCGTGGCTCGACCGCGCGGACGCCTACTAGCATTCGCATCGGCAGATCCAGGCTCGTCAAGATCTTCTGTTTGGTTCAAGGCCAAGCCGGGTGGGGCTTGTTGAATGGGCAGCCCCTGCGCGGCTAAATTCCCCGCGTTGGCGCTGGCCCGCACCGCAACGCCAGCAGGAGTACTGGTCATAGTATTTACTTGCTGCGTCGTCATATTAGACAAGCGCTGCTGCACCGCGCTCGACCGCATCGTAGCCACCGCTGCGGTAAATTCTTCCTCCTGATCTGCTTCCGGGATTTGCAACAAAGCTGCAGAGGACGTGTCCTGGCGAAAGCCAAGGCCTAGGCCGTCCGCCACGGAGTACCTCCCAACATCACCCTCTTCTGATTGTGCAAAGAACTCCGGATCGTCCAGGTAAACGCTGTTCGGCACGGAACCGCTGGATCTAGTGGCGTGGACACTCTCATACATTCGTTCTTGGCTGTTATCGTTAGTGGAGCCTCCCAGTGGTCTTTCGCTTGGCGCGAAAGCTGCTTGTTGTTGCAGCCCAGCTAACTGCTGTTGCAGCACAGTATTCAACGGCTGGAAAGGTGGATTGCTACTGCTTTGTGTGCTCGCGGTCGCACCAGTTGTGTTCTTGTTGTAGCTCAGCCTTACCGGTGAGGACGGGCCAGAAAGAGGCGAAACCGGTACGCTCAAATCATCGAGCGACGGATAGAGAGAAGCACCGCTGTTCAGCTTTTGCTCTTGCTCACCCACAAAATTATAAGAATATCTCATCGGCGAAGATAGTGGCGCTGGTGTGGTTGGTGCCGCTTCAAGTGCAACTGGTGCTGCGGGGTAAAAACTGAGCGGCGACACGCTTTCTTCCTGTAATGTCTGCTCGTAGTTATATCCTGGCTGCTGCGTCATACTGTAGTTAGCTGAAAACACCCCGCCAGCGCTGGGGTTCTCATCCTGAGGCGCCGTCGCGGACGTGTAATCATACGCACCCGGCGGCGCTGCTCCAACATAGACGTTATCGTTATACTTGTACGTGCTGCCTCGATTACCACTGACGCGGTTGGCAAACGTATCCCCACCACTCGGTGCATATTTGTATGCGCTACTGGGAGCTGGGCCGTTGTTAGCGTTCATCATGCCCACGGCCAAGCTCGAGCGCTGATAAGCAGACAGTGGACTAGCCGGCTGATAGCCTATAGAGGGGGAAGCGCCCCTCGAGGGCGCAGCACCACTCCTTTGCAGCAGGCTTCCTTGACTGACCAGCGTCGGCCAGCCCCTTCGTTCTTCGAGTCTGGTCTTCAGAGGCTGCGTTGAACCGAATCGATTCAACTTAAAGAGGAATATGCTCGTATCCATCCTCTCTGCCATGGAAAAATTCAACAAGGTCGCCTTCGCCAGGTCGCACGCAACCTAGATATTTGCATTGCGAATCGAGATCATCTAAATTATCTTCTCTGTGGTCGCTTTTTAGATCAGTCTCCCTAACCCAAGAGCCAAAACTAAACGACCTAGATATTTTTCCATGAACACAGAAGAAACTATGTAGGACGAAGTCTAGTATTAACAGCAGGGCCGAAAATGGCACAAAAAAAACCGCAAGTCGACTCGTAAAAACTGTAGTAAGTAGGAGCGGCCGAAGAACATGCCTTTCGAGAAAAAAAGTATAAGTCAATCAGATACCTAAGCTAGTATGTATTTGAAAAGTACCTCTTTGTCACAGGTCGTTTTGTCGAGCTGATCGATACGTTCCCTTGCTAGATACCGCCTTTGTTCTAGGCGCTGGAGCTGTGTGTTGAGGTCCTTTCGATGCGAGAGGCACTTGAAAGCTCCTTTTCTGTCTGCCACTAGTAATCGTTGCTTTGCGTCATCTTGCGTGTCCTCAATTTGCCGTTGTAGTAGTTCGATGCAAACATCCAATCCACGTAGCTTCTGAGCCAATGCTTCACATAACTGCCCTTCTAAGGGCATCATCTCTGCTGTATTGATACTCGCAGGACCACCTCCCTTAATGTCTATTCCACCTCGTCGCATCCTATTATTTTGCCTCAACTGCGCACTTCGTTCGTCAGACGTAGTCTCGGAAAACATTTGAGCCACGTAGTCCACAACATTTTCAAGCATCCCAGGCTTATTCGTTACCAACCGTCTTACAACGGCATACCCCAGAACGACTGTGGTGCCGGTAATGAGCACGCGAAACCGCGCCTCAGAAGCGGTTTCTGATGTGGACGCCATTTTTCTTCAAAACCTTCTTCACAAATAAAACTTAAAGTCTACAACTCAAATAGAATAGTGGTCGATAACTTGTAGTCGCGTCTCCTATCTACGGCGCAGTACAATACTACTCAGATGCATTGACTACTTAGTTACTCTTAACATCGCTCACTTAACATTAAGACAATAAATATGTTGTGATCACCAAATGTATTCACCGATATTAACACGGTACAATCATATCTTTATGTATTCATTCACGAAGGACAGCATAGGAAATCTTCGGAGAGGAGAAAAAAGTTGTTGTTACAGCATGAGCAGATATTCACTATGATGTATATACCTGAGGAAGCTGGAGAGAACTGACAACCGTGGAGAGACTCGAGAAACGGATCATGGAACTAGAGGACACCCCTTCCTTATACCGCGTACACCATATTAGAGTGAGCACGAGCAAAAGCGACACAAACAGATGCATATAGCAACAGAGACTACAACGGACGCCATGCAGTCAAAACTCAATCGGATTGCACTCACTCGCCTCACGACTCGCATATTCTCTGAAATCTCTTATCTAAATTAAACTATCATGGTCTCTCGATGTCACAGAATCTGCGCAGATCTCTCAAACAGATGCAGAGTCTCAGATCTCACAGAAAAGCATCATCATTCTTTTGGGTCGTATCAGGTACTTGTTCCCTCATCGTTTTTTTCAACTCTGTTGCTGTTCGTTGCGGAGGTCTCTGTGACAAGAAATGACGGCTTCGCCTATAGGATCAATCTTTTCTTATGGTACGGGTCAATCTCTCTGATCAAGATTTTGAGAAGCCTGTGCTCGATGGGATTATCACATAGCGGAGTTAAGAAACCGAAGATGAGAGTCCTTACAGATCGACCCTAGGCTTTTGACTTCCCATCTACCACAGTGATATACCGCAATCAGCGTGCGCATCTCTAAGATCATTATTCAGTATGGGTCACCCATACAGGTTCTATTGCCAAACCCACAAACACGAACACCGAGATGACACGCAGACTGACAGGGACCTTGACAAACAGAACAAAATATGAACAACGCAGAATAAGCGCTAGGTGGAGGAAGTGATCCTAATCTGATATTCCTTTCATGTACTGTAGTCACCGCTACAGCTTAATGAAAAGCACAGTAACGCAAATGCATGCCAAAAAACGACTTCTTCAATATCTCTATAAAGAAATAGGAATGCTGTGCAGAAATGAACTCAACGAATTTAGAAGAGCTGTTCGATTCTCCATCAAAGCCCTACAACCCAAGGCTTCCGCTGACGCGAGGCAGGTACGCCAAAGTGTATCGTTCACCTGCTTATTCTGTTTGCATCCGCTGTTTTCTTCTTCCGGTGGAGCCTTCGTTCAATTGTCGTCCACTCTTCGCCAGGCTCTTCGTCTTCGCTGCTGTTGTTCTCTTTAGCCTTCTCCTCCTGCTTCTCAACAACGCCATCGGGAGCTGCTCCTCGAGCATCGCCGTAACACTTTTTCTCTTGCATCTCAACAACGTCGCCTGAAAGAGACTCCTGATCATCGTCGTCACACTTTATCTGCTGCATCTCAACGACGTCGTCACAGGGCGCTGCTTCTCGTCCTCGAGCGATTCGACACGCGTTTACAAGCTGTAAAGCGACCTCTTCAGACTGAAACTTTCGGGCCAGATCCAGGACGTAGGTCTTTGGGTGACGGTTTCAGGTCGTCGATTTAGGTGACGCTTCGTCGTCGAAGACGAGGTGTAGATCGGCCCAAATATTCAAAAGTGCAATGCACACTTCCGCGGATCGTCCTTCCAGAGCCTCGTGAAGCACCCGCTTCGCCTCGGAAGTAGGCAGGATAAAATTAAGACGCTTGCTCCGACCATCAAGCGTGAAAAGGCACAACAAGTCCGCGTCGTCCTCAAACCTCAACAGGCTACGCAAAATCGAACTTCTTAACGTTAGGTACTGGCACACGTTCCCGTCATGTTCAGGGTACCGCGTCTTCATCAAATGCGGAAAAAGCCGAGCCGTTGAATTCAGAATGTCCCAGAAGGACCTTGGCAAGACGTGAGAGTCCTTCACCTTGCTTTCGTAGAAAAACTCTATTGTACTGCACACAGCCCGCTACTTCGTGGGCCTCATCCGCTAAGTACGTGGCTCGAACTGATTTCCGCATATCCGAGCGGGGATACTCTTCATCAAAGCCATGAACATCAATCTCAACGCTCCAGCCTTTAGCGCCGACCTTGTCGTCTGGATGAGACACGTCAATGTCATCAACGTGCTTCGTCGTCTCCTCCAGTCGTCCTTGCAGAGCCATCTCGACCTTGATGTCGCGTGGTCGTCGTCTCAGCAGACACTCAATAGCGAAGCTCTCTGGGGCGTGACGCAGAGTAAAACTGAGAGGATTATAAGCTCTCCCCCGAAAATTTCTTCCGGGACGCGCGTTCGGGTTCAAAGAAGTACAGCTATTGCTAATCTCCGAATCATCCGCATATCAAGCTGCGCCACACTGCTTCAGACCACAGGGGACGTGGCAAATGGTGCGTTCGAGCGAGGCCACGTCCTACCAGTTCGATTTGACACAAGTAATGCAGCAGCTGTCTCGTTTCTATTCCAGTCAAAGTCGCGGCTATGGCCTCGGCCAAGTCCAACAGATACTCTCTTCGCCTCTTCCTTCTTTCCTGAGTCTCGAGTGGATACAACGCCCAGAAATGGCGTGAGCGCACCTCATACATTTCCTCCAATTCCGCTATGCGCCCTTGTACGAACTGCTTGTTAGTTTTCGCAAGGTCCACGTATAACTGCACTTCCATCATCCAGTCGTGCGGCTTCGGGGGATCCGGGGTATTTAGCGCATTCCACTCCTCCCATTTGTAGCAAAACATGTCTCTGCGTGCCGCGGTCCCTGGGCAAAAAGTGTACCCATGGAGGCACATGCCGAGTCGAATAAGAAAATCGTGCAGAGGGTTCTGCAAAGGGCCTGCGCGATCCCCTGTGCGTTCGCGGCGCCCCCACAATCTATCATACGCACGTAAAAAGAAGTCCGGTGTCATCCTGGTGCCTACAACTCAGAAAAGTCGTCCTCTTCCTTGTCGTGGTTAAGGAAAGTCCTCCACCACAAGAAGCTCTCCCGCCTTATCGAGCACTTTAAAATCGGGCTGCGTTTCTCCCGAGACACACGAGTTACCTCACGTTTGCGTTAAATTTCGTCTCAATGTAGTTCTCGTGTTCGTTATCGAAGCGTGATATAGAAGCAGGGCGGAGCCGCAGTCTCCCTGGGACAGAAGAGCCAGTAAACATAGTCAGTGCAGCAAGCACATGTCCGCTTTAGAATATATATCGGCAGTAATTGGTTCATATATGAACTCGTGAAATATAATAAAATAAGAATACCATCTTGACCAAGATTCAACAGGATCATCTCCAAGGGCACGGTCATCTCGAAGGGCACTTCCATCACCTTGTCTGCTTGTTCGGTTCTGGAAAGGGCTTCATGCAAGAGCCGCTTCCGCAACACATGATCCCCTAAAACAAGATAACTCAAGAAACCGGAGGACGCGTTCGCTGGAGTTCCATGAACAAGGCCTGCGCTTCTGGCTCCTGCATCATCTACAATGTCATACTCTTGGGCTTCCACGTCGGCATCTTCAACTTTGTGCGGGAGGATGCGGAAGCAAATGCCACGATTTTGTTTTGCCATCACGTGTAAATCAGAATTAGCAACCGGCACCCCACCCGCCCCGGAGCAGGTGCTTGCTTCTCCGGGCTGGTTGCCCTCAGGCTGATTATCCTCGACGTTTTCCCTTTCGGGAAGCAAGACAATAGCTCGCCACTGATATCTCCCAAGAAAGGACTAAATCGCAAATGAACGACTCCCCCTGTCGCTGGAGGCAACGGCACTAGTTGCAGGGGCTTCTTCATTTCGAGTATCCGGATAACGTTGCTGTGTTTCATCTCTGTTTACGTCCATCATCCGTTGCACACCCCCGAACGACTTCAACGACGTTGATGTTCGTGACTGGGTACATAAGGACTGCGACTTGGTCTGCATTTCGTTGAGCTTGTCTGCTGTCGCACGCTTGAGATGTTTTGAAGATACAGCAACTCTGCTTTCTCAAATGCGCGTGACGCGCTTCTTCCCAGTCACTCAGTCACCCATCACTGTCTCGCTGCCTCCTTCATTATGATCAAAAGAGATGTTTACTGTGAGCACATCTCCGCTTAACCTTTTCGCGAACTCGACAGCCAGGATGTCCTCCCTTCACCGGCCTCCGCGCTCTCGTCGGATGCTTCATGCTGTATTGCAAAAAACGCAACTTCGGCGTCCTCCTCCCTCGCCTCCTCTAGTCGCACGGGCTTCATCCCTCCATTGGCTTTACTATTGACAGCAGCATCGATCAGGGACGGACGACCAGCATCATCTACCCCATTGCGTGCGGCATCCGGTGTGGTTTCGTCATTCTTTTGCTGCTCCTCACTCAGCCCTTTAGCGCGGTCTTGTCGCCCTTCACTCTTTCGCATTTTTCTTAGGCCTTTGTGCTTTCGCGACGAGCACACCACGACCGGCTTCCAAAGTCTCCTACGAAGATATTTATATCGAAAGAAGTCGGCATTCTCCTGCTTTCTCAAACTGGGGCACCACGAATACTCAGGCTTTTGTTCGGTATCAAATATTTCTGCGGTATTCCCTAGACGCTAACGCTAGACTTGTACTCACTCTGACTGGTTACTTTCGTTGTGTTTTCAAAAAGAGATAACTGTACTTTAGTGACGAATTTGAGTCTCTCTCATGCGACATTAGGCGCACCTTTTGGCGCGATTGTATAATCAAGCATGGAAGGAAAAACTAAACTCATAAGGCAATGCCACGATGCCGGATGCGGGGGGTGAAGGTGAGTCTCATCGAAAAAAAATGAAGTTCCAGGAGAGGGGGCGCTTTTCGACGAACTGCACACCAGAAAAATCCTGATCAAGCCAGTGGATAAACATAAAGAGAATGCTGAAAAATATGTGGAGGGAGAAAAACATCCGAAGAAGGGGCTACCGGAGGAAAGTCGCTGACTTCTGTATCGTCTCGTCCTCGTGCTGGCCTCCTAGCCGTTCAAATCATACAGAACCCGCGTTTCCTATTCTCGCGTCTTGCTCGGCTTTCGTTAGTCTTTTTCGTATGTGGATTGACCTTTTAGACAGACAGATATACGCTCTCTCTAAAAGATCGATGCACGAAACAGACTGCCTCTGCTGCTCAGTCCACCATTGACACTCTTTGATTTGCGTATAGATATCCGATAGTTTCAATGTCTCCTGTTTATCGCTCACGATCACTGTGTGGTCAGCTCGAAGATTCTTTCATCCACAGCTTGGAACTTTACTTAGTATTTGCTAGACCAGTAATCACAGTGAGTTGATGGTGACATTCTTTCTTTTAGTTGTTTATCCAGGGCATGGATGTCCTTCTTGTTGTGTAGTTGTGTACGGAATCAAGTCCTCAATATGTATGTCATATTGTGCGCGTTTTTTTTGTCTTCATGACAAGGAATCTCTTGGAACGCCGTGCTCACTAGATATGATTCTATGTATTGATGGGGGTGTGGGTGGGTGAGGTGGGCACAAATCGACGATCGCCTTGCTCATCGGACTTCCTTCGTTATGGATGACTTCAGCCGTAAAGACCTGTGCCTCCCCCATTAACTCCCGTTTGTAATTGCAATACCACCAGGTTGTGCGCACAAATGATACTTAAACGAGAGTCCTTTCTTCGTACTCAAGGTCATCAAAAACATTTCTTTCTGATTGTATTGGCCTGTTTTTTCCGATCTTTCTCCCAGATCGGAAGATTTTGGGAGCAGGCTCCGTATGAAGAGCAAGCTCGATAAGAAATCGTAACAATTTTCTACAGTTCAACCAATGTGACATGAAAGTTAAATACCATAGCTGACATCACTAACCTCCCTTTCATGATACGTCAAAATAATAGTGTTGGTTTTGATACATAATGCTACTTCATATACATGATCATACAGTAAAACGTGACATTTTGTTATGCTCCTATGACAACCCAAAGAGATCCCTCGAAGCTGATCCCACACCGTCATGAGCAAGTCAATTTCGCCCACCTCCCGAAGTGGTGGCTCGGCTCAAACTTCCAGGAACTGTTGCTTCCTCAGCTTGTTTGGCATAGTAATCCTACCACTAGTATTGATACCGAGACTTCTCAACAAAGGCTTGGCGATTCCTCAAAGGATCTACCGGTGCTCCCGTGCATCTCCCATACGGACACGGATCATATCGTAATTCTTGATTTTACGATTGTCCAGTTTTTCCACGACATCTTCCGCAATCGACCTGTTGTATTTGCGGAAATGCAACATTAGTACAATGCTGATTCATTTTCCTGGAATCGTCCTCTTCAAAAAAAGAAAATTTTGATATATGGAGTGAACAAAACTCTGGTAACAAACCGGAACCACGTTGAAGGCACTAAGTTGCAATATCAATCGCACCCAAATTGATCATATCCTGTGCTAGAGTAAAATCGTATACTAGACCTATGTATAATGGTTAGTCGCACAATCAACATAGGAGTGGCATCTATATCAGTCATCACAAATTCACAAGCCTATGATCCAATATGGTGTTATTAAGTACTTTGTTCGGAATTCCAAAATTCCGCATGCCACGCCCTCTCTGCCTCGATAGGTACGAGCGAAGGTCACTTCCGATGGACGCTCCACTTGCTGTTTGCCCAACTCTTTCAATTCTGTCCACGTCATGTCATCAGGGATGTTCTCCAGGGTAATCTTGTAATTGTTCGCGCCATCATCCTTCGGGCGGCGGTCTGTGGTGTGCATTGCAGAAAAAAGGGATTTTGGATTCTTGATTTGCAAAGAATGAAATTTGTAGTGCTGGAATAGTCTGGTACGACGGACTCCACAACCATCTTGTTTAATATTCAAAACAAAATTTGAAGCATAAAAGATCAGTAATTAACACGGGACCAATCTGCCCTGCATACATGCGTACTGCTCACGCTCGCAAGCAAACAAAACAAAAAAACTCAAGTATTACCTCGGTAGTCATCCCTTCCTCGACGACGAGAGTCCCGACGGCCATACCCACCTCTCGCTCGAGAGTCCCGACGGCCACCACCGCCTCCTAGCGGTCGCTTTGGACCAGAGTGTTGAACCGCAATCTTGCCGGAAGAAAAAATGAAAGGTGTCCACGGAAAAGTAGCGTCCTCTCAAAAATCAACACCTAGTTGCGACTGCTCTATGTATATCGTATTCGTAGCTACTGCACAAGAGATTACGTCTATGGCTTGGATGCTGATCATCACGCAACCATACGAGATGAAAGTGGCAGTCTCTTGTACTTGAAACTCTTATTTCCTGTAGACTAGAAAGAGCAAGTCAGTAGTTCCGTGTTAGTCCGTTATTACTTTTTCTTCTTACGACTTGCCAGACACAGGTGCGTGTTGCAGTAATATTGCTTTACAGGAACGTCGCGTATATTAGGAGTAGTAGTGGTTATATTATTGCTTTAAATTGATTCTCCGAAACCAGTTTCATAAAAATAATTACTATAAAAGTAAGACAGGAAAACCATAGGTATCACGGCCACAGTATTGTATTAAGTAGAAACCAGAGACATGCATAAAAAAAGCTGAGGTCTGATCGAGGCCCTGCACCGCATCCTCGGCATCACGTTGGTTTGCGAACTCCACAAATCCGAAGGGGGGACCGCGATTCGAGATCTTCAATCGCACATCCGCGACCTGACCAAAAAAATACATCAACCACTGAGCCACCTTGTCAACTCATTCATTCATTCGAACCACGTAGCAACTCAAGGCTACCTGGATCCGTGAACCTAATGTTGACACGAATACACTTTTTGAGACAGATAGGGAAAAAGAAAAGTGAGAAGTAAGAATCTCTGAAACACATGCTGATATTGAGAGCAAAAGAAGATGTCTCCACGTCTAGATAGTAGCCCGTCGCGTGGGATCGAAGGATGTCTACACGAGTTAGTTAAGCTCATATTATAGACCCAACAAGTTGTAGAGCCGCATCCTTGTATAGGATCCTATAGGTAGTAAGGAAAAGCATAACCACATCCGACGACACCCGACCTATACATTTAGCTCTAGTGACCACATTTCATTATACAATTACAGAACGCCCTTTACTACTACTACCTTTCCGTATTTTTCGAATTTCTCGAAGATCTCGTCTTCCTTGATATCGCTTGGGAGGCCACCAACCCAGATGGTGCCACCGCCGCCATTGCCACCACCACCGCCTCCACGGGGTGGGCTTTGACGGCGCCTGGGGGAGGGACGGGATGGACGGCGTCGGCTGTGGGATCGGCTGCGAGAACGAGACATTTTGTTCTTTGTTTTGGAGGTTGGAAGGTTGGTGATAGAGAAAAGTAGTTCTAGTAGGTAGACCTTGATCTTCAACACAGCACAGTCACTGATTATCTATCAAAATCAGAATTACGAAAAAATCTGTTTGGTTGATGACGTTGATATCTAGTGATTTGAAGATAAGCTTAGACACAAATGGATGAAAGAAACTCAAAAGCAAAACAGGGGAAACTCTTACACACAAAAGTGCTCCTGGAGAATCGTGTTCAACATTGAAAAGAAATGTACTCTGGTAACAAAATGCGTCATAACGCACAGTAATTTTACCAAATGCAGGGTGACAGAGGGCAAAAAGAAAGTGCTAACCACGGACTTCAAGCATAATCTCATAACAAACCAACGTTTGTAACGTCATCGTGATTGCATATTTCTTAGAATGCGTCCGAACACCAGGTGATCGTATCCGTTACCAATACCAAATACCACTGTGGTCATTCGTTCGTGATCCAAAAAACCATTCCATTCACGCTTGTAAGGTCTGTCTACTCCACGTTGTTATTCCACGTGGTACAAAGTCCACGTAAGTTGACGCTTCTAAAATTTAGGTTCCGTCACGAGCATGTGGTACAAAATCCACGTACAGGAAATTAAAAAGAACGGTACGCAAAACCACGTCGGTGCTTACAACAAAGAATTCCACGTAGGTACAACTTCTGCGCGAACAGGTAGTACGCGAGATCGGTAGGAGGAAAAGCTCCTCGCGCCAACTCTTCAGTACACGGGCCAGGAACACGTAAAATTGGTTTTTTCCACGATTAAACCAAAAAGATCCACGCAAGTTTACACCAAAAATTTGTTTGTTGAAAGTGGTGCGACCAGCGGCGGCTGAATTCCAACGTATTGTCTGATTCGAACGCCACGAGAAGAGTGCCAATCAATGTTCACATTTTGAGTGCGGTGACCATCTATCGCAATACCACACCAAGGAGTGTACAGGTAATTAGATCCAGCTCGTTCAACACCAACGCCCATGCAGACCATCGAAACAATGGGAGCGCCTATCTTCACAGATTTCGTGCATTTCTCCACACCAAATTCTTTTCTGATCCTGGGCTTGAATCTTCATCGATCCCCAAGAAATCAAGATCCTCGAGAATAAAAGCACGACATCCGGAAGAACTAAAGTCTAGAGCCATGACGTTCCTTGACAACGCCGTGCTTCGCTGACCTATTTCGATCACCACAAGGAACATTTAGCTTTTCTGTACCGCACTCGTCGACGTGGCGGTTTATGGTATAACACCGGCACCAATTTTGGTAGCGCACCACACCACATTTTCACTCAAATTCAAGGCAATTGATCCGCGTCGTTGTCTCAAGAGTGTTCTCACATCATACATTAGGCTTCAATCAACATCGCCACCTCCTAGCTCGTCAACGACCCCTTTGTTGGACAGTCGAACGTCACAGAAAGCAACTTGAGGTCCGCATTTGCGATTCCACTATGGAGGATGGGGTTTCGGGTAAACATAACGTCAGCCGCCTTACTCACATCCCGTGTCACCCGTTCACCTGCCACCAAGTCTCCGAAAACCAGAGAGAGCGCTGGGAAGATATGAAAGAGGTAATGTGCCTGTTCTTTGGATGAATAGAAAAAGCGGGTAACAAGTCGTGCACTCGGAGACTCTATATCGTTTGATTGGTATCATATTTGCAATGCGCCACCGCTATCATCATCATACTGCATCCCAAACGACCATACTAGGCCATCGGCGGGATGATACATTTCCTGCGGTTGTGTAGACCTGACATCATCAACTCCAATGAAGTACACGCGACCTATCGATATGTGATACAAAGAAGTAAGTCATTGCTCCTGCGCTTTTCTGATATTAATATTTTGCTGTAGACTCGACTCGCCATAAAGGTCCTCACCCGCCGTGTCTTTCCGCCTTCTGCGCGCGTCTAGGACCACGTCCGCAATAATTTTGTTGTTCGACTGAAAGGTGAAAGTCGGCTTCCATGTAGTTCCGAAATCGATAGCCACAAATCGTGTTGATATTACTTCGCACACTGCTTGTTCCATCAACAAGCGACCTTTCGAAAATCAATTTGAATTTTTTGTATTTAGATCCTATTTGCACATTGCTACTCAAAGAGCAAACTCGCATATCTAGGCGAAAGATAAATCTCGAAATAGATCGAGTTCCCACCTCTACAGACAACATTCGTCCATATTGTTGTATGCCTGAAGACAACATGTCACAGATTATACATGTCTCCGCTAGCATCGATGATCCTTGAGCACAGTCGATATCCGTAATTCCAACGCTGCCCATCGGTGAAGTCAGAGTGCTCCACTTGGCTGATTTTCGCAGCCTCTGACCTGCGACTCTTGCCTCTGCAGCAGCTGATGAAAAAATTTCGGTCGCAAGAAGTTTCTTCAAGGCTAAAAGAGTGGCTTCGTGCTCCTCTTCACGATCTAGTGGTCCGTCAGTCTCCGAACCACCCATAGCGTCGATGTCTCTCGTTACCTGCCGTTGCTCTTTCCCTGCGACGACCGATGACACGCCTGCAGCTACCTCCCACATCGCTAGCTCGCGTAAAATCCTGCCGCCCTTCTGGCGGTAAACAACTGCTGCCTGCGAGTGACTAGGATCCATCTGGATACCGATCTGGTTGCCTGCTATGCGCTGAAGTGCATAGCCACTGTTTGCGTACAACAATGCGGCATGTCTCGCCCGCTCGGCGCACGTCAGTACAAGCTTGCCGCCTGCAACAATACTGCGGGAAGCCGAGACGGGGAAATTAAGCTCTGCAGACCACTCCCGCAGAGTATCACGTCCTCTAGAAGCTGCATTTGCCGACGCGTCATCGCCTCCGGCGAAGCATTTTTTACCACCTACTGCAACGGTGGAAGCTGAAGACGACGCATTTCATTAGAGCAGGGGTCTCGTATGGTTGTTTTGTGACCCACGACTCGTCGCAGTACTGAAATTCTCTATATTACTGCCACCGACTAAGATGCACCAGCATCTTTTCAGATTACTAGATACTCCATGAGACAACCTAGATTCTCAATAAAAACCATTGCGCCTTTACCTTCATCATTGTCGTGATCAACGCTTCCTGCATGACTGTAGAAGAGAAATCAGTAGTTGCAGTGCCACCTTTATCTAGTGTAGTACCCATAGAAATTAAAACTCCTCATGACGTCTTATCTTTATGTCTACCCATTAATCTTACCTTGCACACTTCGCTGAAAGAACCGGCATTTCTTCCTGCAGAATAAACTCGCGCCCATCTCTCATCTCGGTGTTTCGTTTGAAGCAATCCTCTGTCCAGCTTTCTGCGAATTTTTCTGCGGCTTTGAGTGCAAAAACAGGATATTTTGGCGACCAATATCCATAGTGGTACAACAAGTTCGCCAGCCCCAATGCGGCTTCTGGCCTGGTGTTTACCTGGGAGACAAAGCCCCACAAAGCGTACTCCAATCGTGAAAATAGCGTGCCCCCCTCGTTATTTTGCTCTTGTTCGGGTGCAGGTGTCTGTTCTGAAGCTCTTTCCAGCTCTAGCAGGGCTGCACTACTCGTCATCGCCAAGCGTCCACCCAATGAAGATCCACTAGATGAGGTTACTTCTAGTCCACCTCCGTCCGCAACCGTGGTGACTTCTGACGATGGTTTTAGCTCTGTACCCGGTTGCTCGAAGAAAAGCTCCCGACAATATAGTGATCGGAAATGGTAACCGAAACGCACCGCGTTGCGCTCTGCATCTTCGGGATATAATTCCGCGGAGACGTTAGTGTAAAGTGCTTCTCCTGCCACCGACGGAGCACAGATGGCGATGGAAAGAACAGCGACGCAGAATCTCCACCTTCTCGTGAGTGCTGTAGAGAACCGCGATCCAGAAGATGAAGATGTACTGATATGTCGCATGGCTGTCAATGGGACAAAATTGTCGCGTGAGCTTACAAATTTTGGTTTAGTTCTCAAATGTCTTAGTCTTTGTTTTTAATTCTGGCAAGAGTAGCCCAGTGTGACAGGCATGTTCTCGAGCCTCCACCTTGCCATTACCTTATGTTTTCCCGGATGTCGACTTTTGAATGATGAACAGAGGTCGTGGAGTACCATAATCTTCATGTACTACTACTACTAGCACTAGCACTAAGTAATCAAGTCCTTTCGACTAGCAGTTCCGTGTGTGCTCATGCCTGCTCCTGATTTTTCCTCATCTCTCAACCTTTCGTACTCGGGATAGATTTTGTTGCCTCCCGCTCAGTACTGCTTCCTACGGCTATGGTGCACAAGAACAAGACAGAGAGTGAAGGATATGGAGAAATGAGCAAATGGTGAGAAGAAGTAGTACGTACATCCATGACAAGTGGCATCGGGCGCGCAGTCATGTTCTCTTGTCAACCTTAACGTTGAGTTTTGAGTATTTAAGAACCTTCTCAGAGAAGTCACAAGACAGAGACTTATCTACTTCAAAACGTCATCATGAAACTGTCCCTCTACTCGAGTGTGTTTTACGTGCGTGACAAAAGACACATAAAGTCTGCACTTGGGACAGATCAGATGCCTCTCCACCGCCGTCTCGCACCTCTACCACATGATCGCAATTCCAAACCATCCCAGGTTGAAGTTCTTCCGACGCAGTTCGCAAAAGCAGACGCAGAAAACCGTCCACCCTCGTATTCTTCTCTAGACACTCGCGAAGTGACTTTTTAAAGCTCGCGTCAAGAAATGCACGACGACTTGCTGTACTAGGTTGCGGTCGGGGATCACGCGATGCGAGTCTGCTACTGTATGTATTTTGATCACCATTAGAAGTCTGCGTGTTTCCACGAACAACTGTCTCTGCGGAGACAGTCTCCGGTGGAAGTTGCAACAGCGTGAGAAAGACCCGATCGCAGTCCACGCGACACGATTGACACACACCTTTCTCGTGTTTGAACAGCGTACTGCGTAGCTTCGAACCCGACCGCTTCATCTTGTACTGCGTTGCACAACTCCCACTGCAGAAAAGATCATTCTTGCACTCTAATTTTATCCTGATATCCTGAACGCTCCTCTTCTTGCTGAAATCGCGAAGGAACGCCTGTGTTTCGGGTAGGTTTTCGCGAATGTGCTTCTCGAGTCGTTCCCGTTCTTCAGTACTCGTCAATTGTCGTTTTAACTGCCGCTTTGGTTTTTTTGGGCCGACTTTTTCAACAGTAGCAGAAGACACTTGGTTATCCCCAGAAGAAGGCGAAGACGATACACCTACTATCCCGTCACCAGCAGCAGCAGCGAAACCGTTCTCAAGTTTATTATGGGCCGGCAAACAAGTCGAAGGTGCCGCACGAATACTTGCCCTGCCAGCTGTCATGTCAATGCTTTTTTCAAAAATTTCCATGTTTCCGCCATTGACTGAATTCGCAACACAGTTTGCGCAATACAAAACCCGCTTTTCCACGTCAAAAGGCGCTGCATAGGCTGTGAGAACCTTAAACTTCGGATCCGGAAATTCCGCTGCGACCCAACGCAAGTCAGACTGCCGAAAAGTAGTAGGACTAGGATTAAGACTACCTTTTCTGGGCACCATAGCTGAAGCAGCCTCAGCACTAGGGGAGCCAGCATCTGTACTGATCCCATTGCGAATACCTTCTACAGGAGCGCTAGCGCCACTGCAGCCTGCACCCTGTTGAGCCAACTTTCGCTGTAGCACCGCAAAGAATTTCAGTTCGCTGGTGCTAGGTCGTCCGGATTCTGCAAAACGCTCTGTTGACCCCGAAGCAGGCGCTTTGCGTAGCGCAGTTGCTACACAGGGCAGTTCTGACAGTGCTACGGGCACCCCGGTAAGACGCGCACGTACATGCGTTGGCTGCGAAGAAAGACGAACCCAAAATTGTTGAGCCAAACCACGTATATGAGCCATGGTGACGCACGAATCCTTACTGCTTTCCCAAGAACCTCCTTCTTGCTTGACCTGCAGCATCTTTTCTGAATTCGTATCTTCAATATCAGAGGACCGCCCGGCAGCGAATGAAGCCGCTTGCGCAACTTCTAGCTCTGCAACCGGAATGACGAGTCCAGAATGTACTGGTATACCACAATCCAACGAAGGATGACGCAAAGAAAAGTACACATGCATAAGTCCAGTATCTGAAACTTCAAACGCATAGAGTGCAGCCAGAGGGGTGCCGCCCGATACGCAGACTTCATCAAACACACGACGAGTACTGTCGCTCAATGTAGTGGATGTAGGATCATGTTGTGCACTCTCTTCATCTCCTCTTTTCATGTGTGTTGTCTCCTGCTCAACATCACTCTTACTTGCTTGTTCGTTTGAGACTGCAACAGTGAGCTGGTCGCCTCCTGGAGATTCGTTATTCCTGCATTTTTTGTCCTCAAGAAGACCTCGATCGAAAACATTTTCCAGTCGTTGCAGGGATGCCTTTAGTTCAGCCCAACGGCGCACGTCACTAGTAGCCGAAGTGTCCGACACTGCACCTTTATTTGAGCCCGTTCCCGATGAAAGGCTTACACCTCTTTTATCCTTGTCAGCCTCCTCTTCGACAACAAGAAGAGACTGTTTTTCATCATCAGAACCGTCAGGCGAGTTGGGTGCCGCCGAACTAGAAGCCTCAGGACAGCCATCGGCGATCTTTTGTGCGCTACTCGAAGCAGCCGCACCGATCACGTAGTGAAGAAAAATTGTACTCGCTCTCTGCCCAAAGCGGTCGATACGTGCTCTACATTGCACCCACCAATTCGCGCTCTCCGGGAGCTCCAGAAAAACCGCCGTCGAAGCAACTTCCAAACCGTTTACACCGATTCCCGCTGCCGTCATGCTCACTAGCGCAACAGGGTAAAACTCTGTTTTCTCGGGACCACAAGTGTTGTAGCAATTCATCAAGGTTGCACTTGTCGTATTTGTCATTGTCATTGAGTTCGAAAGTAAATGCTCACCACTTCTACCCGCAGCTGCTTTTAACTCAGGCAAGTCTCGTCTGCTACTCGACATCTCCTGTCGTGTTCCAACACTAGAACTACATTTGCGCTTGAACTTGTCTAGCTGTTCCTGCTTGCCGCGTGCATCCAGGTCCCCATCAATTCGAACAAAGGGAATCGGTGTCAAGCGCGTCGAAGAAGAGCCTACGGCCATGGTGGAGGTCGAGCTAACATCAGCAGGCGTGCATTCCCCCTCCAAGAGATCCAATCCTTCGCTCAAGAGTTAGAGTGAGTCGACTGAAGAAAGCTGTCAAAAATGTGCTAACAGCGCTTGCTTTTCAGATGCTAAAAAATCGATGGAGGTTGTGCCTTAAACAAAGGATAAGGAATCAGGAATCAAAAATTCCCAAGAAAAAGCAAATGTAGAAGATATCTGACCTCTGCTGCTCTCGGTCAATCATAAATTGCAGTAGCCCCACCATGATCTACTCCCAGCTGCGACGCTAAAGAAGACATCACTGTATCCCCTTGAGATGCATGTATTCGCGTTTTCGACCGCGCGGTGCGCGAGCGAGCGGCCCCAACATCATGTCCCAAGACCCAGTGGACCACCATATCGAACACTCGTTTGTGATGTGCGAAAATGACGACTTTCTCTTCCCGTAGAATGAGCTCACGCAACCAAAAACGCATCTCATACAACTTAGCTAAAGCGAGGCGCTGCACCGTCCCCATTGCAAGCTTCTTATTAGGAGCAGCAAAAGGGGGGCCATCATGTATCAAAGTCTTCGATGAAGATGCGTCTGCATCTTCTATTAGGGTGTCGTCTTTTATCGGAACAATATTGCAACTCTCTTGGAAAAGTCGTTCCATCCCGCGGAAAGAGGCAGCCGTTAGGGGCACAAAGAAAGGTAGCTCTTGTACTCGCGGCAGCTGACTCATGACTTCGCCTTTCAGTCTTCGAAGCATGACTGTCGTTTGTAGAAATAGATGGAATTCGTGCGCGCGCTTCGTAGAAATATCGCATTCCCGCGTATTAGCTGCACCCTTTGTATACTCGTCAAAAACATCGAGAAAGGACTGTTCGGGGTTACTTCTCAGGAGTTCGGTCTTCTGGCCTTTTTTTCGATCTTGTGCTTTATCTCGCTTCCCTGCGCCATTGCGGCATCCGAGAACTCTCTTCTTGAGCGTTTGTGGCAGTGCCTTTGTGGTACTTGTAACGACATCCACAGCATCGAGAACTTTATCTTGTTGCTCACCAACATTTTCAGTGCCGCCATCTTCTTTTCCCTGTATTTCACCTTCCTCTTCGAGCAGGAGCGCCAACTGCGTGCGCAAATCGGCAATGCGCCGCACACAGGGCGTCCCTGTCACAAGCAACAAGTTCGGCACCGTCCGCAAAAGTCGCGTCAATTCGCGTACCATGACGCCCTGTCCCCAACCAAATTTGGGCCTATTCTGCCGACCATCTGATGAACATGGGGGCTCCTTCTGCAGCTTCGAGCTGACATTAGTTGTAGAATTACTACCTCTACCATCACTTGCCGAAGCCGTAGTACTAGATGAACTACTTCGAAGACAGTGCGCCTCGTCTACAATGGCGCTCTGCCAGCGTCGGCGCAACAGTTGGGGAAGCAGGTTGACGCACATGTGGTAGGAGCACAGAACCATGCGTGGCGTCTCCTCGTGATCCGCCAACGCGTCGTCAGCACTTGCGATGACGTGCACGTCCCGACTCGAATTGAAAAAGCGTGCGGCGAAAAGCTCTATTTCCATCTTCCAGCCTAACCGAGTAACCGCTTTAACAACAATCAGACACGGGAAGAGCCCCGCAGCCACGACGGCGGCAACGGCTTGCCTCGTTTTCCCCAGGCCCATCTCGTCTGCGAGCAAAACTCGCATTCTTCTAGAATTGGATTCTCCCATGCGTCGTAAGCAAAACCGCGCACCTTCTCGCTGATATGGCCGCAAATTTTCCCACATCCCCAATGCGCGCAAGCGAGCGACGCCCTCACTTTCAAACCCAACAAGAGTGCCTTGCTCGACGCTCCTCTTTTGTCCAAGATCGATGCTAGAACAATTTCTTGCGGCTACCTTCTCGACTTCAGTGCAGGATCGGAAGAAACCTAGCATTCTGGGATGAATCGGGTCTACGCGCAACTGCGAATGGCCATCCTCAAAAGCCAGAAGTAAGTGTGAGACTCGGTCTCTGAGCTCATCCTCGATAATTTCTAGCACGTGCTCATACTCTGTAAGAGGGAAAACTAAGCTCCACTCGACTTCCTCGCCCGCGCGACAGCGTTGCCGAGCGGCACTCCGACCTGCTAAAGCGTCCTCCGGGTGTAAAAGCAAGTCTGGGACGATGCGGCACCTAAGCAATTCCGCCATAGCTTGACGTGGAGTCAAAAGTCCAAGTGAAGACGGTATTGCGTTTTGGTCAGAACGAGAATCTGATCCCTCTTGTCTTAGTTCATTAGATGTAGATGAAGTAGTCTCGACTTGAGGGCACCTCTCTCCCCCTAGGCCTTCCTTTCGTGCCGCCTCTGGTGCGTCACTGGATTCTCCCGGACGAGGACGGGCAGCTTTTAAAGATCCCGTACTCTCGGCTTGCCTTTCATTTCCCGTCTCCGGTGCATCACCACAGGCAACTTTTGATGAATTGGACTCGTATGAATATAGCGGTACATCGCAGTGGTCGCTGTTTTTCTTCTCACCGAGATGAGCGATCAACCGGCAGTAATGAGGATCCAAGTATACGCGAAAACTGTCCACCGTTTCCAACTCTAGCCTAATCTGTGGTTTTAGCAAAGCTTGAAAGTACCACAAAACTTCCTCTTGGCCGTGATTGCTGCACCCTAGAGCCCTAGTTTGCCCTGCATTCAGGCCCAGTCGACGCGCACAGACATAGCGATATACGCGATTCCCATAGCACTGGCTAGACAAGTACTGCTGCATGCGTCCGCTAGTAGGTGTAGAAGCACAGTCCGGGTTCTCACACTGATACAAAGACCACGCGTTCCCTTGAAGCCAAGCAAATAGGCGCTTTTTCTTCGCCACACTGCCTGGCGTCTTGGGTCTGCAGGATCCGACTCGGGATGCGCTGCCTCCGACCAGCAGAGCATTTTTCTTGCTGGGACCTTTATTTCCAGCTGGCGTCCTCGGAGTTGGAACATCACAGTGGTGATCAAGCTGTGGCTTATTATCGTGCTTCCCCACATCCGCATCGTCATTTTGTGATACACAAACCCGCCGTCTTTGTGGGGGTGGTGTAGCAGGCCCTTTTGCGGTAGTTTGTACCCGCTTCATAACCGTCGACGTGCCCTTGCCATCTAGACTAAAAGTGCTAGATAGAGCACCAGAAGCCGGCGGTACCTCCTTATCGCGCACCAGAGTTGATGTTGCTGGACCTTGCTTCATAGCAACAGCTGGTGCAGACTTTTTCATCGAGCGTGGAGCAACTTTCTTCATCACGGAAGCGACCTTTTCCTGTGCTTTATTCATGAACTTTTTCCCCGCTGACGATGGTTTTTTCTCGCTGACAGAAGCTTTTGCTTTTCTACCAGAAGAACCAAAGGTACTAGCACTCTTTCTTTTAGCAGGAGTGCTTGGGCTTGACGCCGCAGAGCTTTTCCTTGGCACCGCTGCGACCTTAGAGCATTTGGCCGTGGCAGCAGAAGACCGGTGTCCTTTCGTTTTCGCTGACGCACTAGCACCAGTTTTTTCATCCTGTGCCACGTTGGAAACCGCACTACCAAGCTTCCGCCGCTTTGCACCTTTCTCCACCAATGTTGATGCAGCACAGGCGTTCGCATCATCCTTCTGCAGCACTGTTGACGCAGTATGATCTTCATTTTCGATTCCTCCCTTCCTCCCCAGACGGTTCACAGCGTAGCTAGCGTGGAGAGTCGGCAGGTCCTTCTTCCGAAACAGCTGTAGAGTCACGAGCAAGTCCACCAGGTCTCCTTTTTTGGCTGGCGCGGCCTGTGCCGGAGGCAGCATGCGTCGGAGGGAGGCGACGGTGAAAATATTGAGGTCGTCTGCGGTCGCAAAGACGTCGCGCTCTACCATAAATGCCGCGTTGTTTCCTCGGGACAGGGCAGACGCCGACGCACTTGATGCCCCTGCGCCAGAACACGACAGAACTCTCCCCGACCTCCCAGTAGCCATTTTTACACTTTACAGACAGGCTGTAGTTGACCATGATAGTTTTTGCGGATAATTACCACGGACAATTATCGCAATCGCAAGACATGATCAAGTGCTTTAGCGTCGAAAAAGCGATACCACTGAAACGCTGATCTTCTGAGCCAGCAATGAATACGCCTTTTGCTAGTGGAGACACTACATGATGATGATAGTGGCTGTAAAAATTGTACCAATTTCCATTGCTGAATCGAAAATCGACCCTGCGGTGGGAGATAAACAATGACAGATTACTATGTACTTACTTGTTCATGAAATGTAAAAAAATGGGAGCATGGGAAATTCGGGCGAAACATCATTTTCTATAGGAAAAATTTACCTGAAAAAAGATACTTTTTGAAAAGATGCTTCCAGTCATCATCAGTCTCATAGACAGAGATGCTTGACAGGTAAGCACATCCGATATTTGGCTATCAGTTTGACGTCCGCACATACACACTTACTCTGGATATTGAGCTCTCAAAGATTTTCATTTCTGCTGTTTCGTTTTCGGAAAGGGCAGCTACTTCAAAGTGTAACACCACACCTTAGAAGCCTCTCAGTGTTTAGAGTTCGAACTTATTTTTGGGTCGACATCAGGAAAATGGTAACACCAAACGCGTGAAGATCGATCTAACGTCGGTTTTTCGTGAGACACTCACGTGGCTCACAAAACAATGCTCAAAAAAGGTGACTGTCGAGAAAAAAAAGGAGTGACGGTTTGAGCTGGAGCGAATCTGCGTGTATCGGTTTTCTGGTCGAGTAAATTACAAGAGAACTACTCAGTTCGATCCCTGCATGGCTGTACCAGCCGTCAAGAGACCAGCATCAAGAGCCTGAAATATGCTGAAAGCGACGCTCATGCTTGCGACACTGGTGTTTCGTCTCGTTCCGTTTCGCATATCACGATGGAGGACGGGGGCTACATCAGTAACGGAGGCTGCTTTTAGTATGGGTAGCTAATAGGGAGGTTACAATCAGAATAAGCGTGCTAAATTTCTCTGCCAGGCCTCCGCAACACCCTTCGATCTACCAAGTTCGCCCTTACCAGTACGGGCGCCATCCCTGGAACCTTCGCCAACTGCGACAATGCGGTGTCTCGAAGGTAGATCATATTGTCCCTCATGTCATTGCGGTATTCGCTTTCTTGTTGCGAACAGAAAATATATATCTTCAGCAGCACGTCGACGTCACGGCCTGTTGAGGATATTTATTTTCAAATTTTTAATGAAAAAGCCAACGCCGCAGTTCCACACAATGCGAGTGTGGCCTCCTCCATTTGTGAAGAGTAAAAAAAATGGTGCAACAACTTCCTTGGTACAAGATGAAAATGATTATGAAAAAATTAAGTAGAATCCATTGAGAAAGAGTTATAATTTGTGAATTTACTACAGTCTGTTCTTGCGTGCGCCATCCGTGAGTCTCCTATTGGAAGCGCCATTACGTATAATAGCGGCATACTCCAGACGCAGCCGAAGAGGCAACCAAGGAAGAGAATCGCATTTTTGCCCATATTTTTGAATCCCACTGCGTATGTCATCGTTTTCAAGGCTACTAGCACTATCATCTTCAACGAGAAGAAGCTATCCAGCTCGTGCACGGTTGGAAAACGAAGAATGGCGTCAAACATACCCCAGAAATTGCAGAACATGACACACCAAAAGGCCCAATCTCGAAGGTTGTCGCGCCACCTGTAGTCGTAAATGAGTGTGATTCTACATCTTTAGAATGAGCTGATACCGCAACCAAGTTCATTACATGTAGTGCCACATGAAATCCCGGGATAATGGAAGAACAGAACCACGCAGCAAAACTTTACTCACTCTCGCTGCCGAGAATTAAACCACAATTGCAAAGAAATCTAGAAGTAGTACCAGATGAAGAACTCCAATGAGCATACTACTGCCAGAAAGATGTGCATCGCGAGCCGCGCACTTGGCGGCCTCGCTGTATCGAGGAATAGCGTCCATAACCACAAACCTACGAACGCCGCAATGATGGCGAATATCACCAAGGGAAATACCCAAAGAAACATTGTGGTCTCTAGCGTGAGGCGCTTCGACCACGTAAGGCGCCTCGACCACGGAAGACGCTTCGACTACGCAAATGTCCTTAGTAGGCGCGTTACTTTGACGACGTCGACGTGGTATAAGGAGTATTACTTTGATGAAGTACTGACGATGATAGCAATCCTCGGATGTTCTCGAGAAAATCCACGCCAATTTAGTTGCGTTTAAAATCTCTCCCACAACTTCGCTTTGGTAGCACCCAAATGAAGGAGGAAGGACAAGCGGCTTTTAGGTTGTACAGCCTACAACTCGTAGATTAGACACCGTGGGAAAGGGCACGGCGTAAATACAACGCCCATGCTTCGAGCAACTCCCCTGCTGGACTGCGGTTCCAAATCTAATGGCGGCTTCGGCTTCGCCATAAGTCGGTATAAAAAAGCACTCCGTCCGTTCTCGTGTTTCGATGGTGTTCGCTCACTCCGAATTCTTGCCGGGAACTTATAGAGGCATTACGCAATCCGATCACTCGCAATGTTTTGTGTGAGGCAACATGCAGAACTAGCGATGTCTTGACGCGCACTTCTATGCATCACCAGTGTTTGCTTGTCCGAATATGATGCGGATGCCGTATTTTCATCTTCTGCGTCATCGTCTAGCACCAAAGAGAGAAAGCATCGATGACCCAAAGCGGTTTTTTCATACGCAAAACCATGCACCACTAGTACCGTCGGTATTCCATCCGGTCGTCACAAGTTACTCGATACCATCATGTCGCTGGTAGCAAAAAGACTTCCTTGAGCTCGCTGCAGGATCATAGCGCTTCTATCCGTAACACAATTATGTTGTGAATGAGCAGCGAAAGGACGAGGACGGCAATCTCATTTTCATTAGATGTGAGGAATTTGGTACACGAAAAGTAAAAGTATTTTGCCAAAGATCATTCATTGCGCTTACTTATCATCATATCTCCTTCCTGCATAAAGAACTTGGTCCTCCTTGCATATTGAGATAGACAAATTCAAGAACCATAAGCTACATGCACAAAAAAAAACTTTCAGACGAAGCTTAAATGGTGCTTTGTCAAGTTCATCAAGTCGGAAGATCAAACCGACCAATGCATGCATCCAAACCGCACAGAATCACGGATCTTCGCTCGCGTACATATGCAGAGGACGGAGGACAGACGCCTTGTTTCTAACTTTCAGAACGCGAAGTGCCATGTCTATAGATCGCGCTGTCGCAGTGCGAAACCCACATGAACTATCATCCAACATAGAACAACCCAGAACAACCCCAGGCACGGCCGCTGTTCTAGTCGCGTAAAGAACGCAGTCCTCGCCGCGTGCAGCGTCCCTAGTTCAGGAGTACAGTGAAATTAGATTCAAATAGATGTATTGCAGGCCTGGACAGGTAAGTTCTATTATTTCTTCGAACCCTGCAGGTTCTCATCTTCATGTGGGAAGGGGGGATTACTCATATGAAGACGTAAATGCAACAACCACTCCGATGTCGAGATCGAGCTTTGTTCATCCATAATTAGTGCTTACCCAATCCCAAGAAGCTAAGTTAGTGTCACGAAATCAAATTTTCAAAGGCTCATGTAACAATCTAGAAAGTATTAATTAGAGCAGCACGAGCACTGGTTTCAGCCTACAGAAGCTGCGCGTCCCGCCGCGAAATCTCCCCCCGTCGGAACTTCGCGATTGCTCCGAAATCACAAGATACTCGCAGTCTCTATGCACATCTCCGTTTTTTTCCGCGGCTAGCACATTCACGCTAGGAGCTCACGTTGTCTCATCGTTCGTGGTCGCCCGCACAGCACACTTCAAGTATCGAAATTATGCCCCGTTGCCTGCGCATCCCGACACGCAACAATTGCCGCAGCAGTAGCTGATAGAACACTCAGTCTATCATGCGTCAACTACCTATGACATCCAGTATCGTTCATCGGGTGGCAAACTCTCGAGTGACGCGCCTCAGAGGTGATGTTGTCCTGCTTAGCTCCGCGTGCTATTCGATCGCGAATAAATCTGTCCCCAAGGACGGCGCAACGGTAACTTTCGTCCACAGTTGTACTTCAGCTCTCATTTTTTCTTCTGATCTTTGATTGCACCTGCCGCCGCTTCTTGCTCCTTTTTCTGTTTTCGTGTCGTACGCGGGACATCGCGGTCCCCACGCATGCGTTGTTCCTTGCGCATGCGCTCCTCCATCTCGGGAGTCGCAACAGGATGCGGCGCAAACAATAACGGATTCTTCGTACAGCAGCGCAGAAATAAAATGCATTAGAAGCAGGTGCAGAAAACTGAAATTGAGCTCGTGTGTGCGGTTTCCGATGATACTGCTCCTAGCATCCGTAGAGACTAGCTCTGATACTGATCATGACCGAAGGCAAGAAGCTAGCAGACGTAACGAACAGCCTACCACGACCCTCTGTATTATTTAAGTACATGATCTGAAAGCATGAAGCAACTCAACATAAGCCAGATCCAGATTCATGCCGAAGTCTGCGTTGATACTCGCGTAGACGTTCTCCACCTTTTCTTCCAGCTCTTCCTCTGATATGTAACCCGCGCACATGTAGTTTGCCGCGATGAGACTGCGCAATTCGTTCACGTCGATCGTCTCCGAGTGATCCTCGTCGTAAAAAAGGATGAAGGGGGACGAGAGAAAGAATACGATATCACACTAGTTTTCTGACAACTGCCTCATACCTATCGTCAGAAGTGAGAGCTTTATCTATCGTCAGAAGAATCTCCAACACAGAAGCAACACACACCCTGTTGATATCAATTTCTAATGTGTAAATAATCCACGATCCTTCGGTTCATAAGCATGAATGAGAATTTGAATTTCTCTTCTGGCTTTGCGTTCGTGAAGTTCGTCAACGCGATGATGAACTCCTTGAGTGAGACAGTTCCACCCTGATCCGCATCAAAAAAATCAAACAACTCTTTGCACTGGTCGCTTGGGGGTCGCTCGATGAATTGTAAAAATTCGTCGTAGTTCAGCTCCTCCCTATCACCCGCTACCCGTTGGAAATCGCGGTACAACCTGGTATGTGATTGATCTAAGAGTAAAGCTAAAGATTGAGAGGTTCTACTTGCAGAAGTTTGAGTGAAGATCCTTTGACAGCTCGGCTGTTTATGATGCATCACATTGTACTTAATGCTCCTGGGATAAATGAAAATGACGAGGACGCCCTGAAGTTGTGATATCATAGAGTGTAGATAAATACCGTTTCAAATCACTAGGTTTCAGAATCGTCTGGGCGCCAACGCAGAAGAATTCTAGAACAAGGGCTTTGTTCTTCGCAGGCACACCAATCTCGACCCCAGCGTCGACAGGCTTGACATCCGCACTCTGACCGGCTTCCCGATACAGATCGATACCGCCACCAACTTCAGGAATTAGAAGGATGTTTAGGTAATCTGTTGAGCTGCTGTATTTTGTTTGTATAGCGTAGGTGATAAAACAACAGAATATATTTTACAGATCGTGGTAGTGGCACTGTTAGCCTATTCTGTTTGAAGGTCATCAACTTTTCCATGTTAGTCTTGATGATTTTTCTTCAAGCAATAAAATACACTATTTCAAGATCATGTTGAAACTTCAACCAAATGAATCATAACCAAACATCCACTTCTGTGATTTTGCTCATGTCCACACGCTGAAACAAGTCCTTGGGAGATCGAAACAGCAAGTCGAAGGCTTCCCAAGTGACACACGGCTCACCATCGGAATTGTTTTGTAAACTCGCCATCGTGATCATGTTCTCCAGCTCCGTCTCGCTGGGCGCGTGGCCACACTGAGCAAGTACTTGCCGCAAATTAGCTTTCGTGATATTCCCAGCTTTGTCCAAGTCCACACAATCGAAGCTAATCTGAGTGATAATGTCGAATAAGTGGTGCATGTAAGCAGGATTCATCGCCTTCCTGAGACCTCTTCTTGTTCTATCTAGTCTCTTCGAGAGACAGGGTGTAACAATTCTGTAACATGTATATTCGTTAGTTGCGGTCTACTACCTTCATATCCACTGGCGGTGGCGGTTGGAATTTTCCAAATTCTGGTAACCCTAGCTCTTCCGCGCGCTGCTGTCGGTTAATCTTATCATAAAACTGCTTCTCAAGCATTTTTCCGATCCTCTTGTCATTGTGGGCTCGACCTGCATTCATCAGAAGCAATGAGGCTTTACAACCTATAAGAGGCAAAAGTCACATGCTACGATCGTCGCTACTAGTAATGAAAATAAAAAATGACTGCTTACAACATCTCACAGTCGACCCACGAGATGAGACTTATCTGATTCATCTTAGTCGAATAGAAACACCATGACTACCTACAAAAAACAAACCTACCAGTCTCCATTAGCACTTCCGGGACATCAGTTTTCATGTTTTCAAATCCCCGATCGCGGAGGACCTTTGGAAACTTTCCATCCAATTCTGCCTTGGAGAAGAATTTGTTAGAGGTAGTTTCTGCTATCCCTCCTTGAATGAATTCCCTCTCCTCCCTTGTAATCCCCTTCACTTCTGAGGGGAATCCACTGAGCATAGTCCACATGGGATAGTGATACACTACCCTTAAATTTTGGATTCTTCCATGGCAGAGGCCGCGCTCCATAACGGGCGTCCTGCTTTGCCTCGATATCACCGAAAACTCGTTCTGGTGGCCGCGTTACCGCTGCAATATTCGCAGGCCTCTCTGCGGCGATCTACAATTGTTGAAAAAAGTCAGGAGTATATTTTGCGTCTATTCATGTGCTTCAAGTGATCAATCATCTACTTGTATGAGAGAGGTGAAGGGACCGTCTCCATCCGAGAGAGGTGAACCTATGGTCCGTCTGTGTACCCACCGGTGTATGCAGCAACACTGTAACTGTATATATCACGCAAATATCACAGCGTCTATGTTATGACTTCACTAGTGCTCGACTACCTCCTCATGAACGCGATCCAAGGCTGCCTGCGTTACGACGCCTTCAGTATGTTCTTGGTCCACGGCACCTGTCTTCGTGGAGTGGGTTTGATTGCGGAACTGCCCACTATTCTTCTGTGGCGCAAACGGAATCGGCGTGAACCGCGTCGGCGGCGGTGGCACATCAGGAGGCGACGCCGCGGATCCTGTTGGAGGAGCCATCTTCCAGTTATGCGGTTATGTAGTATAGATACTGCTAGTATGAAAGCACTGATTCGTATTCAATAGCCTCGAGAACTCCTAGTACTACGTAAAAATGACCGCTTACGTTAATCAATTATGAGGACAGTCTTCTCTTTTTCACCAGATAAATGATAACTAAAAAATCCCTTCCGGTTTTCGTGACTTTATATTCGCTGTTGTTTCCGGCCAGCTGAGGAAAAATGTCTGCAACTTTTTTGCTCTTAAAATCCTCCTGAAAAGAATAACGCTCCCTACTTCAAGTCACAGCAACAATTTCCCCTCTCCCTTTTTTTCCCTCACGCAGGACGTCTCTCTTTTCTGCCTCAACACTCACACAATACCTCCGATACAGCGTCCTTACGAAAACACTTTATACCTCTGCTACAGCTTGAGCCAAGATCAGCAAACAAGCCAAACGTTTTTCAGGAAGAGAGATGGAGAACACCCATCTTGCTCTTACGTACGTAAAGAGGGCGTCTAGAATGCGACAAAAGAATAGAGGGTCATGGTAAGCGACAGATGAAAGTATCACGTTTCTGGCACATATCATGGTAAGCGTATGAGATTCTAGTACAGGCGTGATAGAGCAAGTCAGGTCCTCGCGCGCGGACTAAAGATCAATACGGGGCAACTCACCAGGGCTACTGAGGAATGCTGCCAACCCTTGATCTTTTGGGTTCTGTCTCATGACGAGGCTGGAACCTTCTCCATGATGTAGTGCTCTAGTTGCGAAGAATATTCAGAAGATTAAAGGGGAAGTAATTAACTGTATATAATTCAAACAAGTGTGTGTATCCTTCTAGTAAGTAGCTTATTTCTTTTTCTTCTTGTTTTTATTCCCCTTTCTTGCTACTTCCTCCGTGGCGATGTCTACGTTTTTGGTAGTGGGTCCTTTTTTGACTTCTAGATCTGCTGCTCCCGCACCAGCACCCTGCGGCCCTCGCGCAAGCTTGTTGCCGCGCTTCTTCTTGTTTTTGAATGTGGACCGCTGGTGCTTAGGCAGCCACCTCTCCGGATCCGGTGCCGGTCCCGGATTGGCTGGGTCGAAGCCCTTCGGGTACCTCGGCTTCCTCTTCCTCTTATTCTTCAGCAGTTGCACACCCTCCACGCCGACAGCACCATCGCTGCTTGCTGTCGTAGCCTCTGCTTGCCTCGTCTTCTGCATCAAGCGCAGTGGCACGTTCTGTTCCAGCTCCTCTGGATCGCAGGCTAGTGCCCTTTCGCCCGCCTTCTTCGAGACCAGGTCCTCCGCGAGTTCTACAGCCCGCGACGCATCGAATGCCGCTAGCGGGAGCACTAGCTGCTGCGCAAAGTAAGCGTCGTCTTTGTCCACCTGTTCGAGGTAGAGCTGCGCGACCTCCGCTTGAAACGTGCTGTCACGTAGTTCCCGTGCCCACTTCATGCCCGTACGCAACACAGACTGTGGCGTATTTAAGAAAATCGTTGAGAGGAATGACAATGAGACAAAAGAAAATAAGAAGAAAGGGATATCTTTTGAAAGAAACATAATTGGTTAAAACGTTATCACAGCACCAGAGTGATTGCACTTTACTAGCGACATACGAAAAGGTTAAGTATTGTTGTACCTGCAGCTTCTTTTGGTCGCTCTTCACACTTTCTATGGCTTCCCGGAGGTTCTTAATTACTTCGTCCGCCTTTTTTTGTCGCCACGAGAATGCGCATATCGTGTCTAATGCCGCAATTCTATCTTCCACCGGCAGCTTTGCGTAGTAGGAAACGGCCTTGGCTTCATCCTTCTGGTGAACTGCGTAGAACTCACCTGGAAGATCATAATACATCTATCTTCAGACACAAGTAGAATCTAGAAATAAACTCGAAAATAGGTATAGGGACGATGATAAGTCTTGGTCTTCTATCAACAAAATTTACTTGGAACAAGACTGATGGAGCGATCGAATAGACGCGGGGATGCCTGGATTACAGTGGACTCTGTTCTCGCAAGGAAAATATCGACTGGTGAGCAGATAAAGTACCTAGTGCCGCCACCGCCTCTGGCGCGTTGCTTGCTTTCAGAATTTGCTCGCATTTTTGTAGGTCCTTTTTTTGATACGCCATTGCGGCTTCCAGCAATGTTTTTACACTGGCATCCCGCACCTCGGCAACAGCTGCCGTTGCTTGGTCCTTTTTACCCTGGACCATAAGCAACGCTTTATTCAGAGTCAGGACCTCTCCTTGGATTCCGCTCTTAGCCACGCTTTCCTTCACTGCATCCAGCTTCTTCAAAAAATCATTTACCTTCGTACCTGCGGAGGGGACCATGGAAATGGAGGTAGCAAGATCATATACTAGTAGTACAAGTACTACAACTAGTACTAGAGGTTCTTTGTATAACTTTAGGCGTGCCGTCGATTAGTAAAAATCCATTCAATCCAAGCAGAAAATTACTGTCACTCGCCTTGAGAGCGATTTGATTGTTCGTGATAACGCCCTGCACTGCAGGGTTCTTGTCGCCAGCTTTCTCATAGCAATCCGCGGCGTCCTTATCGCGACCCATTCTCTGATAGAGGACACCCAGCTGCCCGCGTACCATTGCGAGCTCGTCTTGCGTCGCGTCTTCGTCCTTGGTGGCAAGTTTCAGCGCTTTTGCCAGCGTTCCTAGTGCAGCATTTGTGTTGCCCACACTTATTTCCGCACATCCCTGGTTGTACAACGTCACCCATCTGGAGAAAGTAGTGGAAGAGTGAGAGTCGTGGAGGCAGTAACGCTTTCAAAGGTAGACAAGGTTCTTTGATAAAAAAGGGAATCGATGTTCGTTCGATTCGTTGTGGCTGTGACCTTTGTTCGCTAAAAATTATCCAAACTTTATTATGGAATGCAACATAGTTGGGTAATATCCAAAAAAGTAAACAACTTTTAGGGTCTAAAAATACTCCGAAATGACTTCTCCCTTTCGCAACGTCTTCAAGGCAAGCGAATGCTGTCCCAATGCTATTTGCGAGGCAGCTACATTGATAGCAACGTCTTCCACACCAGTGTTTAGGATATCTGTTATTGTTTTTTCGACATCGAAGAAAAGTAGTTGTATTGCCAATCCAATCTACTACCATAATATCTGTGGTTCTTCAAACAACAAGAGTAGCCAAACAGAACTTGAACTTGATTAACTTACTTTTAGTTCCACCATAGAGTAACGATAAGAAATGCTGGAGGGTAGGAAAAGTGCCCAGAAATCCGCGAGCACTTCACCCACGAAGAATGTACAATGATGCTATACCTTCGAATCCTTTTTTTGCTCCCGCCATATCACCGGATCGAAATGCTATTTGAGCTCGTAACGTTCCAGGAAAGATATCATCTTCATCCTCCACTTCCATCGCAGAATCGTCATCGAGGAGCTTCTTTGCCGGGTTGATGTTTCCGAGCTTGTAATTTGCGTACGCCTGCTAAAATATGAAGAAGAGGTGCATGTCGTGCATGTGGAGAGGGAAAAAGAAATGATTTAAATCTATTCGGGAATTTGCCCAAGAAAGTGAAGACACTAAGTACCGGGGAAATTATCTGCATCTTCGTTACTACAAAGTCAAAGGTGGTTATCCCTTTGGACAACAGTCGTAACTGCTATTGACACAATTCCTGTACTTCTAGAAAAGATTTATCACAAAATCTTATCCACGATAGAATGACTTCAACTTTTTCTCTTAACTGTAGCAGAGCTCTCGCCTTGCGCCGCTAAGACCTCCGCGTACTTCCCCAGTTTGAGAAGGCAGAACATGCGCGACCGACACAGTTCTTTGGGAATGGCTTCCCCGTCAAAGGCTTCTTCGATCTCCGCTACTTTCGCCAAGGCTGCCGCATAGTCGACATCCTCATCATCGAAAAGGGCCTGCAGCTCCGCGAACTGCGCGCGGATCTCGTCCGACAAGGCTGCCATTTTTGCCTCAGTATTCAGATGCTGCCCAGAAGATGCGGCACTTCGAATTTTTTTGTTGCGGGCTCGGTCGCCCTCACTGGTAACTCCCGTGTCGAGGGACGGGCAGGCAAAACACACGACAACCTTTTCTACTTTCGTCACCCCATATGAACCATAAATTGCCTACCAAACACAATGAATTGGTGGCTAATATTTCCTCCTACTGAGTGCTCACCTAATCAATATTCAAGGAGCAACGCTACTTGCCCACCTGGCTCTGCAAACTTTTTTCAGAAAACAACGAATGATAAACGTACTTCACTACATTTTGTGCTAGCAGTATCGTCAATCTAAAAAAGGCTCCCAGTTCGGGTTCGGCATACTTCAACATGCTACTAGTTTCATTCTAGCACAAGATCGAGTGAATTTACATTCATGCTTTAGAAAATTCTTAAGCAAAAAAGGGACTCGATCCAACCATTACCCAGTGCAGAGATGATCATGACGCGCCGTAGAGAACGCTGCAAGAAGAGAAGCCGCTCATAAGTGATTCATACAGAGAGAAGACGCATGATCAAAGACGCACGCAAATCAAAGAGAACGTATATATTCTATAGAGACAGACCGAGGGATCATCGACAGCAAGGCATTCTGAAGCTAGCCCCTCATTACAATTAGAGAAGAGGAGAAGATCGTTCTGCAACTTTCATTCAAGCAATCAGGAGAGAATTGGAGAAGATTCGTGGATCGCTATAAGTAGTAGAGAACAGCAAGTGATCGTCCACCACTAGAATAATGAAGAAGCAGAACACAAGCAACCACTTCTCTGATGAAGAACGGCAATTTAGAAGATGACGGATCAATTGCGACAATAGCAGTTGTGTAATTGACAAAAAGGGGTACGCAGTAGGTGACAGTGTTGTGGAATAGGAAATCGACCCAGCTCTCTTCGCTCGCAGCATCCACACCTATCTTGTCCGTCCAGCAAAGCTGCCTCGCCAGCAGAGTCTCCTCATTTGAGGCGTCGTCCAGAGGTGAAGTCGCTTTCTCGATGCCGCTGTTTTAGAGCAGTCATCAAGCACTACAACTGCGAATACGTTTTTATTGATCATCCAGTTGTAAAGCAAAAGTATAGTATTACAAAAACAAATTATACTTTTTGGTCATAACAACACCATCGTGGTGAGATCCGTTCCGATATCCGCAAGAAGGCAGTAGCTTTATCCAGTGAAGCTGCGATTTTCTGAGTCGAATTTCTCCACCAGAGACCCTGTACAGCCTGCACCCCATGGACCTTCAACACCCGATCTCGCCGGTAGGAAAAAAATCGCGATATTTCTTGCACTTTGGTTTCTGGGACTTGCGGCAGTGGGAACAATTTCGTATCAAGAAACTCCCGCCATTGCTCCGCTTGGGTCTCCGTAGTTCTGTTCTCCGATGTTCCAGTTTTAGAAGCGGAAGGTACTAGACAGTTTCTCTGCATCCCAGCTTTTGATATCTCGAGCAACGAAGTCGGCACATCAGCCTCCGATGTAATAACGGCGGAAGAAGTCATCTCCAGAAGCGGATCATATCCAGCAGCACCACTACCTACTTGTACTTCTGCAGGAGAAGTTAGTGAACTTGATTGATTGCTACTTGAGTAATAAAACTTTTCCGATGAAATAGAGAGGTGCTCAAAACCCAGTATACTCGCTGACAGGAGTTCTTCCTTGTGTAGACGGATGGGAACCGGTGTCGGCCTGCACTGCATGTCCTCCGAGAGCAGGCGCAAAGCCGGTGCCACGGTTTCCAGGAGCATTTCACGCTTGCGCCACCTAACTCGCAAGTCCTCTATGACGTAGATGCCTCGAGCATCCAAATGAGGCCACAGTTTCGCTAACAGTGCGCGATTCGCTAGGTTGTCGTGCAGGCCGTCGTCTATGATGAAATCGAACAAAGATGGAGGAACTGCCTGGTGGATCCGCAGAGATTTTTTCTGTTCAACTGCAGTGACTTTGACGGTGTTGATGTGTTCTGACGAGTCTGATAGAAGACGTTGATTTTCCTCATCCGTCGTCAATCGTTTGAGAAATGCGTCAACTTCTCGTAAGTCTACTGTATTCAACACGTGCGTTCGAATCCGAGGCTCGTTCCTGATCATCGCAGCAGGCTCTAGATCGACTCCATGAATAACTGCGTTCGGAAAAAACTCCCGCCAAACGAAGAGCCCAGCCCCTTTCCGGTATCTCGACGCACGCGCATCGACATCCTCTAATTCTGAGCCTATTTCATCCAACATTTGTCGTCGATTTGGAGCAGGCATAGTGTAATCCGATTCCGACGAGACTGTACTCAATCTAGCGCCAGCACGAATAGTCTGCTCTATTTTATCGTCTGATACCGCGGCAGAGTCATACCGAGAACACATCGCAGCTGCATCAGATGCTCCGGAGGCACTTATCCTTTTCTGTGACGTCATCTCGTTGCTTTCTTCAAAGCCATGCATGCGCCCACTGCGCATTGGAGCAAGCGAGAGATCAGTGGAATCCGGGGACTCTGCTTGATCAGCGTCCTCATCCACGGCAGTCCTTTGATCCCCTTGTGCCACCCCGTTCTTCTCGACATCCTCCCTTGTGACGCCAATACCAATCTCGAGCACTCGCCTCACGTCGCAACGGTGGTGATGAGTCCCACTATTGTCTTCGTCATCCTCCAAGCCCACGTGCCACATTTGGTCGTATGCGTCACCATAGTCATTGCGCACGCCTCCGCGATCACTGCCAAAAAAGTCAAATAGCGCGCCCACGACTGTCGCTGACGGCGCCTGTTTTGTGCGTCTGAACGAGTGCAGTTCCTCGCGCACTTTGACTAATTTGCCGGAGGAAGTTTCGCTCGCGGCGTCTGACGCAGGAGGGGAAGTCCTCGGAGAACTAATATGGTTGTTTTCTCCGATAAGGTTACTTCGTAGCTCGCACTCACGTCTTAGCAGGTACAGCAGTCGGCAGAAACGCGACAACTTCATCGTGATGCAGCTATGCCTAAAAATATGGATTGAATGATGTGCATGACCCAGATGAACTTTACTGACACTTCGTAGAAACTTTTCAAGCCAAGATGATCACAAGTACAGAGTCACCTACTTCACCTTGTTCTGTGAAAATCATATTTATAATATGAATAAATGAGCACAGCAAGAAGATCCACTCCACCGGTTTCCTTCTACATGCGTCTTCTCTACCTAGGTAGCCTGAGAATCGCACATTTTCGATTCGGTGCTCCATGTCAACACGTTTTTCGACACTTCTAGGCACATATGCGCATACTCAAGGCAAGCACATCCGCTCAAGTCGTTCAAGCTCCATTTGCATTTCTTCTATGATTGAAGCAAGAACTAGTAGAGCGCAGGTCATGTTCTTGTCGAAATACGACGAAGAATGGAGTCACCATGTTTTGATGTGTGCAGCATTTCCGAGCGTACTTGGAGTCTCAGACTCAGGGTAGTGCAATGCTGTCTAGCTCTTTCCACGTTCCATCTTGAAGTACCCAGAGCTCGGCATTTGTAAGCGAAAATTCTGGTCCAAGCAACTGCGGACAAGTCTTAGAGAAGTGCAGTCGATTTCGGAAAGTGCACTATCATGTTTCTTCGGGTTAGAAGCAATCACCAGTTACAAGCGACGCCTAGCGTGGCACGTAGCGGAAAAGCAATTGCTTAAGTGGTAACGGAGGTAACTACTTACGTGAAGTCTAGCGTGGCTCTTAGCGCCTCGTTTGAGTGGTTGAGTGGTGCCCGTCAAGTGCCGCTTAAGTCGGAATTGTATCAGCTTCAACCTAGTGTATCATAACGTATTCTTTTCGAACGAAATCACGCGCCCGTTGCTTTCTCTGCCAAGGGTGCGATGAGCCAGCAAATAATGAGAGGCAACTGCCGCGGTCAAGTGCATCATTCTCGTTCCCGCTTAGCATTAGAGGTAGCGAGAACATGTATCATTCTGATAGAAGGCTACATACTTGTAAGGGCTGATGTAGCTCTATCATCCATTCCATGCTGTCGGCACGCTCACAACAATATGGCCTGCGCGTGTAGTACACTCAAAAAACTTCTGAAGTTCAACTTCATGTTTAACAATCCACAGCGACTCAAAGCTAACCATACGGCCACTTTAATGAATTTCACGCGCCCAAAGCTGCTAGCCATAAGAACAGCAAAAGCGGCAGAGAGGCTGCCTCGCGAGCTGTGGCATTGAGCTGCAGTCGGTCTAGAAGTCCTTGCTTCAGCTGGTCTTGGACAAAAGGAACTTCAGCCAAGATGAGACCCACTGCGGCCGCCCCGCTTTCTAGTGCTACCACCTCTTTGAATTGCACTCGTGCGTACTCTCTGGCGTCCTTTGTATGAATGTACTTTTCTACGTACTGGGGTCTTTTCCCGTCCTATATTGTTGGAAGATCTCTTTGAAACAGGCGCTTCATGTAGGTTCTCTTAATCAATGTATGCTGTAAGTACGCTCCATACAGCTAGGTACCTACGTGCTTACCTGTCAGCACAGCTGCTAAAGGAAAATCCTTGCCTAAGCCTTTCGCTTTGCCTTTACTTATCATAGATTAAAAACTACCACGCACAGAATTTTCGTCTGATTGAAGATTTTCGTCTAAACACACCACATGACCAGACATACTTTTGTCCCCGCTGCGGATGGCGTCCCCGCTCAGTTCGCCGGTTCATTACTTTAGGCTGCACATTGCTGACCACATCCATGACTGTACTTTGCAAGACGTTTTGGCATTAGAGCAACGCAGTCTACGGCGTTTCGTCACTTGTTGTGCATCAACAACCAGCTTTGGTGGAAACTGCCCCCGCATAGAGTCGTGGGAGCATCTTCCACAGCATGGGTACAATTTTTGGAAGACTACGTCCCTTCGTGCATCTCGTAGTAACGAGACGAGAACAGATGGAGTAAGATCATGTTGAGAAAATATATTCTTATGACCATGGTGCAATAGGGTTTCACGCTGACGCTCCATAACCACTGTAATTACAACAACTACTAACCCCTTAGTTATAAAGGCTCCACAAAGATACAACAGCCATAATTCAGCGCTTGTGATGCGGATATAGTTCGCTCTGCACTGAAAAGATGGGGCGCAGTAGCAGACGATATGTCTCCTAAAAGCAGTAGGCGGCCAGGCGGTCCTCCGGCATCCAGTGCTCCTACACTGCGCGCGCGTGAGGCAGTCATATACGGGAAAGTATTCACTGCGCCCTCGCCGAACTGCTCCGTGGTCCGCGCTGCGATGTCTTTTAAGGTGCTCCGTTGACCTCCTGGCCCGTTATTGAAGGTGGCTTCCGGAGTAAGCCAGATCGAAAAGACTGCTCCTCCCGTGTCGCTCGATGCACCTCCTGCGCATCCCGCAAAGGCCCAGCTGAGAAACAGCACGAGCGCAACACCAATGACAGCATTAGCCGACAAAAAATTTTCGATAGTAATATCTCTGCCGTCGACATTATTTCTCCCATGACGGATTTGGGGACCACGATCCGGAGGAAAGCGCGCGTTGCCGGAAATGGCACGAGGATGCTGCGACATTGCGAACTTCGTTTCCCCCAATATCAAGTACAGGTGTCGAAGCAAATGTCGTGCCAGCGCGCACCAGCGACCCACAGATTTACGATGATCTGACTACTTTGTACGTGTTCTCCTCATCGACCCGCATCGGTCAATGTGCGCACGCCACGTCGCCTTCACAACCAAGTACCGCACTCACAAGTAGATGACCCACAGGCTCAGAAACGCGCACCGGTAGAGGTGCAAAAAAAATTAGTTTCAGCGCATGTTCTTTGAAAAAAGTCCATGCCCTGACGACCTTCTCAAAGACTGATACCAAGCAAGGTTCAAGGGACAACTTTAAGAAGACGAGTGTTCGGACAAGAAGGCTAGACTATAGATGAAGGGCAGCTTGCTTGTCGTCCTCGTTGTTCCACCGCACAAAATGACCCAACCTCTCTTTAGTCTCTCCCTCAGCTGAAAACCTTATTCATGTGATAGATCTTTTGCATATATGCAACGAGTGATATTCCACAGGGTCGTGTGCTTTTTATTCTACTCCATTCTACTCTAAGCTAATCTACACCGATGACACCAGACTGACCTTTTTCTTTTGGAATTCGATAAGGCTATCACATCCAGATGGACACAGGCTTGGACCAGAGACCCTTCTGTCCCGCACAGACGTTTGACAGGCGACAGACCAGAGAGGCTACCTCAAGCACGGACAGATGAATTACTTTCTTATACATAAGCACAGTCAGAACAACCCTCAGTTTGGATAACACTGTATATTTCGCGTTGCAATAGATTCTTTCTTTTCGGGGAAGTGGAGGCATTTCAAATACATCAGCTATTATTCTTTCATGGTACTGGGATGCGGGGAGGGTATGATACGAATGTCACACGGCCAAGAAGATGATCTACTCCACTACATGTAAAAATATCATCTCGTTGGGTTTGGGGGTCGATAAAAGAAAATCCGTCAAATGACGTCTTGTGGAAGTCCTGGCTTTATGTTTCTTTTATTCGCGTGTCTAGAGCCTCTCGAAGGTCTGCGCATTTTCGTACAGTCCTGTGTGGAAAACTTTTTAGGTATACAAGCATTCTTGGTCGTTCTGCTGGTTGTACTCTTGTACCAAAGAGGTGGCCGTGAATTCATTTGTACGTGTCTACCAACGGACGGCACAAACTTCTAGAACTGTAAAACGTCAGACTCAAAGGCGTGCGCTTTGGCAATAGCCTTGACGAAGGTGCCCGGTTTGCTCTGGGCTGCGGGAGTCGTTGGCAGTGGTGGTGGTGGCGGCTGCGCGAAGCTCCCTGCACCCGGCTGCTGCACGACCGTGACCACCTTGGTCGCCGCATTGCGACGACGGCAGCCGCAGCACATACCGCAAGTATCAACTTAGAAGGTGAGCGTGTCATTCCTCTGGGGTCAAGAGGCTAGGTTAGGTTGGGGATCCTTCACATCGAGCCCCCCGATATCGTAGCTCAACTCAGGAGGAGGAATTACTAACATACAAGAACGGTACGCCTACATTACGTATCAGCTTGAAGAAGGATTGTCTGAGGTCAGAAGAAAGTCCTCAGTGCTGACACAGTGGATACTGGATAGGAGCTGCACTTTAGTCCGAACTATGAAGTAGTAGAGTGAGAAGTTTGTCAAGTGATTTGTCTTCCACTCTTTTTCCTTTTTAAACCACACACACTTTCTAACCATCCATAAGCAAAGCAAATAACGCACGTGAGCACCTTCCACGATGCGAAGAGCAGCAGCGCCGCCAATACCATTCTGTCTGCTAAACTTTCCGGGAGTGCGCCGTACTTGCTAGAGTCCCCCAGTCGGGCATAGACATGTCGCTCAAGGAAGGGCGAAAAGGATTAGAAAGATGCTCTTACACAGTCATCGCATGTCATGTATGAAGCCCTAGGCACAGCACTGCTCAAACCCTTATAAACGAAGCATAATCCTCTATCAAATTCTAAGTAGACATGAATGTTGTGTTCTGTTTTGACGCGAGAACGTGAGAATCAGCTACATGCAGATTTTTAGATGAAAATAGTAGATCTCCTGCTAGTTGTCCTATCAAAAAAACCTATCCATAAATGTGTTCTGTGTTGACGCGCGTCAAGAAAGGAGCAAAGCGTGACTCGCGAACGAAGTAACCGTCAAGCCCGTCTAACAATGGCGCGATGACTTCCGTGTCCACATCCACGGGTAGTCGCAATAGATCTGCAGTGAGAGCAACAAGTTTGGATGCTGCTGTGAGAAAGAACGTCGCTGAGGCCCACACTGAAATGTCCCGTCCGCACGCTACTGCACTAAGGGAAGCAGGAGATTAGAAAGTAGAGCTCTTGTTATCCTGGCCGAGTAGGAAAAGATCTTTGAGCTAGCTACATACTACCCAATTGGAACCAGTTGCATCTGATTATCCTTGATGGAAACAGTTGTAGCAAACGGAAACGGCATCATATCAAATGAAAGCACAATAATTTTCAGATCTTCTATTTTTAGGTGCCTTTATACCTAGGTAGATGTACGTCAATGATCAACTGCTGTCCTCGAAGCCACCTACTTTGATAGTCCAGCTAAATTGAGTAGACATAAACAGCTGGTGGGCAAGGTTCTGCAGCGAGCTCCTGCGCCTCAAGTAGATCCCTCTTGGTCGTCGAAAGCTCATCGGCCGCTGCGGAAAGCTTCGCCTCACTCGCCTTCTGCTGCTGCGCGAGCTGGGTCTCCAACTGCAAAGCCCTGGACGCATCTTGTGCTTGTGTGCGGTTGCACCTTGTCAGGGTATTTATTTTCTAGAGTCAAAAAAGTATGAGTAGTATTTTCAGAGTCTGAATCTTTTTCTAGAGTTTTCCAGTGCGGCAGGCTTCGTATTTCTTGTTCTGGCCATATTCAAGACTGCTTTTGTCTATGGGTATCAGTATCTCAGAATCTTACAAAAAAACGACTGACACCTTACAGAAATGCCTCGCGACGAAATTTGATGATGGGTATCTTTTTCGTACGGACAACCAGTTATGTACGAGCAAATGAAATAAGGAACAAATACCTATTCTTCTCTTCCTCCATAGTGATCAGTGCGGCACTAACAGAGGAGTGCGCCTCGGTTTTCTTCTTGAGATCGGCGGTGCAAGTGTCAACCGCAGGTGCAGCGCTTTCCAGGGCCTTTTGACAGTTGGCCAAATCAGCTGCTAACGTCCTATTCGAATCGGCCCACAAGTTCTTATCGTGCAATAATTCCGCTAGCTGTTTCTCATACCTGTAAGAGAAACTTGTTGTTAGTTTCGCAAACACATAAACACTTATGACACGAAAACATGGAAAACTTTACCAAGAGAAGTCACAACTCAATGTCATTGATGCTGAGCACATCTCGTTGTTGTGCGCTCAAAATTTGCCAACAAGTTCGTTGCAGCAGTTATATTTAAATTCTTCCAAAACCTCCAGAAATAAATTTGATATACACTTATTCGTATGAAAAAATACTCATCACGGCCTTTGCATTCTTTTGTTTCCTGCAGCGCTTTCTCCACATACTGGAGTTTCCCATCGCAAGCTTGCATTTTCGCTTTGGTGTTTTGCAGTTCTTGAGCGAGTTCCGCGTTATCATCCACCCTCTTCTGGCTCACTGCGTCTTGAGTGTTCTTCACCTCTTTGATTAGATCGGATACTACGAAGACGTGGACGGAGAAGGGAAGGAGGAATAACTTCCATGCTGTGCAACAAAAATAGTGCAGTAGTTCTTCTCGTACGCAGTGTGCTTCTACTTACTTCAAAGTGAAACAGCATGATGAATTTCCAGTACCACACCTACAGAGTCGTAGCCCTGGCATACTATATCTAGTTGTGCATCAACTACCTGCAAATTGTACAGCAAAGACGTAAAAATGAAATGGAGGTGGACCACAACTCTAAACACTGTATCGAGATAATTGGTACCCCAAGTATCATTACGCAATTATCCACCATAACTCGATGTTTTTTGCGTGTTCCGCTTCTAATTGCTTGCGCAGTGCGAAGACTTCCCCGTCACACTTCTTTTCCTCGCACTTTTCGCATGGTGGCGGCGGCGGCGGGCAGGACTGCGGAGCCGGCACTGCCGCCGGGGTCGGAGCAACTCCGTCGAGTCGTGGGGGTGCAGGAGCCGGCGCTACCTCGCCGCAGTCACACTGCGCCGGCGGTGGGGGTGGCGCGACTGGAGGGATTTCCGGACATTGTGGACAATCCGGACATTTCGGCGACTCGGCACTCTGTGGTACTGGGAACAGCGCCGTGCACTGGGACTCTGAGGGTGTAGGGCACGTATCCTCCGGGCACTTGGGGCACGATGCGCCAGCGGTTAGGTTGCCTGCAGGTTTCGAACTCAGCTCGCAATTGCTGAGTGCAGCAGTCAAGCGCTGCACCTCCGCCGTCGCGTTCGATAATTCCGCTTGCTTGGTGCCGACCTCGGCGCGAGCTGCCTCAAGATCCGTCTGCACTGCGCCTACACGTCCTGCGAGTGCCTCTAGCTCTCCGTTGCGATGTCTGGATTAGAAAAGTCATCTACGACGAGTAGGAGCCATCATTTCAAAAATCTGTTATCATCCTTTACTAATCAACTCGCTCAAATTATGCTACTTACATGCTACGCTACAACATATCTCTTGTTCGATTATCACAAGTCGTGTTTACTTAGTGTGTAATTGAAAAAGATATCAATCATCACATAATCAGAGATATCGGTGACGTTCCGCAGCTCGTCCTCCTTATCCGCTAGCTGCTGCTTCAAACTGACCTTGTCTTCTTGGAGACTGTCGATCTTGGTCTGCAGCTCCTCATTTGTGCTCGACGTTGCTCCCTTCGCGTGTTCTTGAGCAGCACTCTCCTTTTCGGCCTCGCACGTTGCCAAGCTTGCGCGAGCTTCCTCTCGTTGGCCATTCAGCTGCTCGACTTTCACTAGCAGCTGGTCTCGCTCTTGAATAGCGTGTCCACACTGTTGTTTTTGAAGAAGAGGCTTCGTGTCAGATAGAGGGAGCATCAGGAGTAATTCACAAGAATTACAAAGTTGTAAGCAACTACAGTGTTTTCATTTTACGATAGTAGATTTAGATTCCTGAATGAGACGTCCTCCGGTAACAACGACAAGAACAACGTACTGCAACACCAGTAAAACATGAAGAGTCCTCGACATTACCTGTGCTTGCATGCCTTGCATTTGCCCGTGCGCTTCTTGGAGCTGGTTCTGAGCTGCTTGTAATTGGCGTTGGCTTTCCTGGAATTGTTCTTCGGTCTGCTGTTGCATCCCGCTGCTCTGTTGTGCGGCTAGAAGCTGCGCACTGAGCTGGTCCTTTTGGCTCTTGGCGCCCTCCGTTACTTCCTGCAACTGCTGTTCCAGTTGCGCGCTCTTCTTCGACAAAGAAGCGTTTTCTTCTTGCAACGGGGCGAGTGCAGCCGTTGCAGCGTCGGCCGCCGCGCGAGCCTCAGCGGCTTCGCGCTGAAGGGCCTCCACATCTGCTGCTGGCTCTGCAGGAGTGGCGGGCCCCGGTGGAGGGTACTTAGAACAAGACCAAAGGTCTTTTTGAACAAAATGTAATCGGAATCCTTAGCGCGCTTGATTCCACCGATGTACCAACGCTTTATTAGGTGATCACAGAGCAGCAAGGAGGCCATGTATGACCCATTCCTTACTAACAAATAATCACGTGCTGACATCTTCTATCACATATTCATATTATATATACTATAGGTTACTCTTACATACTCACAAACTAAAAAAAGGAAAAGTAGCCTTAATTTCAGCACCAGTTGGTTCTGGACGTGCCGCAAGCTCCGCTTTCAGCTGTGCGATTTCCTCCTCAAGTTTCGTGACTTTATCATTCGAAGCATGACGAGCGCACGCTTCCGGACATGCTTTCTGCATGTACGCCCAGTTATTTGTGCATTCTCCCGTTTTCGCCCAATGCTCGCAGTGTTGACCAGTATCTTCTGCACTCACTGCAAGGGCAACGAAGAGGCAGCTCAATGCGGCGGATCGGAGCAAAAAAGCCATTTTCTATCGCAATGCTGCAGTTGTGCTTGTGATTTCAAGGAAACGTAAAACTGCGTCTCTTCTCGCCCGCGTCCGTACGGTTATTCTCTTCGGTGGACCCTGTACTACTTGCTAGCGCCTTGCGTTGTTCCCAATAACTAAGCGGAATCCCGAGGAGATGCGTGAGACGAGCGACTACGCAGCGCTGGCCCCTAAGGACAAGCGTTATTGCGCAACAGGTGCGACATCATTTTTCTATCACCTATGACATCTATAAGCATGCTGGAATATTGTGATTATAACAAGAGGCTAACATCAACATGGCTTCATGGTTATTCACCCAGGTAAACAAGAAAGCTGTGGAGTTGTTGCGGACAATCAGAGTTGTCTCATGCGTATATGGTGGCACACTGCTGTACCATGAATTTCCAAGTTGTATGATTGAAGCTGAGAAGTCTGTCTTCACTACATTCTCAGAGGATCAATCGAAGCTGGTCTGCTTTCTCTGAATTTCAATTTTTTCAACTTGAAAAACTGAACAGTCGGAGCTGATTGTAACCTGTTAAGGAGGTGCGACAAACCTTCGATGGAACACCGTTTCCTTTTTCCATTGCATTCTCTAACTTCAGTCAGATTTACCATCCTGGGAAACGTGATGCCAAGACCGAATCCCGGAAGTGTAACAGACTAACTTTGAGGTAAAAAATACCACGTACTGTAGTTTCATTCGCAACATCTGCCTTTGCGTTCGCAGCGCGACTTTGCACGTGAGTAAAAATAGCCTACACTTTCATTGTCACATCGAAGTATCAGGCCATGCCGAGAAACTAAAAGTATCATTTCACATCGAGAAAGTAAGTACTTCTAAAGTTCATTTTGAAACATTTCTTCTCTCTGCACTGCTGCACTGCATTATCTTTCTTCAGTAGCGAATATCCTAAACAAGCGCAATATTGGTAGATTTGAAAAAGAGATCATATCATGCAATCGTACGTAAAATAGTCCTCGTCGCACACAATTGAGTTCATGTCACAATCAATCAGTACTGCATAAATTTCCGAGCAGCAGTACATTTTTGGCGCGCAAGTGAGCACATGTCACCAAGGAGATGCTACGCCGAGACAACGAACGTCTCAGGCTTCGCCTGCGTCCCTTCCCTTCCGCCCTTCAGCAATATTAAGCAGATGCTAGTGCGACGCCAAGATGAATAAAACCGTTACATGATAACACATTTGCACGGATTGGCCTGCTTTTTCGCGAGTTCCGCTTGCATGGTGTCCATACGAGTCTGGAGGTTAGTGTTGTTCTCGTTTTGTACTCGCAGCTGTGACCAGGCGTTCGTCGCGCTTTCGTGCTCCCTCTGCAAGGCCTCTCGGTGCTCTTCCTTCAGTCGCAAGACAATATGAAGGGGGTAACGAAGAAGATTGATAAAGTCATTATTGTCTACTGTTATTATCAAAGATTTTTTTGGTAGTTGTACTACAAATTGAACCACAACATACTTATCCGACCAGTAATTTTCCTATGACAAGGATTATCCACTTGTTCTCCGCGATAGGTCGTGCTTAACAGCAACACTGATATGTTGCAACTAGGCTTCTTACTCCTACTACTTATTTCAGGAGCATCTATGAAGAAGAAGTTCATAAATTTCCTGCTGCGTGAGATTTCGTTCGCGATCGAACCGCTCGCGCTCATCCTCCCGTTTCTTCCGCTCATTATCTACGGCTTCGCTATACCTCTGTTCCTCTTTGCGGTACTTCGAGTCTGCCTCCTGAATAGCCCTCGCTAGCTCTTTCTCCTTGTCGGTGCCGCCAGCAGCCATTGTTTCTATTGGGATTTTTTCGTTTCTAGTATTTTAGATTTAGGATTTATTGGGGTGAACTAGTAATCTCAATTATCTCTCACTTGAGGAAAAAACTACAAGGATTCATCCAAAAAATGTAAGTAGTGTTTTCCAACAATATTTATGACTGAATCTGAAACTACACAAACAAGAGAGGTACTTGGTAATATACCAATGTGTTCGCGAAGTTCTTTGCTCGCCTGGCATTCTTCGTCGTACCGCTTTTTCATCTCCTCCAGATCCTTTGTGACTTCAGCTACCCGATCTTGAAGCCGCTGCATCTCCTCGCTTGTGCTCTCTGCTTAGACGAGAAAGCTTGCTTCAGTGTTTCAGCAGTGACAAGTTGATCTTAGTTTGCTCACGATGAAAATTGAGCAACTACTGATTATGGCTTTCCAGGAACAAAGTCAAACCATGGACCTTTCTTCAGGATAAACTCATAGACGTGAAGAACTGTGGTCACAAATATCAATATCAACTCATCCTAATTTCCGGTCTCTTCTAGTTCGGCGATAGATGTCCGCAAGTGAGTTTTTTCCTCCTCATGCTCCTTCATCCTCTGCTCCGACAGTCGGGAATTGTCTAAGCTGTGCTGGTACGCCTTCAACAACTGAAATGAAAATGTTTGTTCGAAAAAAAAGGTTTGGAACCGCATTCTACACCTGCTTATCTTCAACATCAGTGCGCATTCATCACCTACAAGACAAAAAAACTTGGAGTACCTGCTCACGTCATCCTCACCCAAAGACTTTATCACAATCTTTCAGAAGTTGAGTACCAGTGCGCCAATAGCGTGACAGCAACCACTTGGAATGCTTTTCTCCTTGAGCTGATTCTCCACGTCTTTGAGCACTTCTGGTGGAAATTTGTATCCTGATTCACCACCTGCTGCCACTGTGAGCACCCTAAGAAGTTTGTTCTCTGCTGCCTGGTTGTTATCAGCCCACAACTTCTTGTCGTCAAGTGCAATGCCTGGTGTGGATGAGCGTGCAAGCACTTCAAAGTTAAAGTCAAAACCACCGACCTGGATGAAATACCATGCCACAGGGGGATTTGTAATTGCCACGCTCTAACTATTCGAGAAGTAACTGCTAATACCGTCTTTCAACTCCTGCCAGTAAAGATTCCTCATGCCTTCGTCGCCAAGAGATTCGTCCATGTAGCGCGCTTTCATATGCTGTCGCAGAGCCTTTAGGTCTGCCTGCAGTGCGGAGTCGCTCATTGGAAACTTGGTTCGGAGTAGGTCAAGAGCTTCTCGAAGATTAGAAAACAAAGCACAGGTCACTTGGTCTTTTCCACCAGAGGCGTGGTTGGCAGATTTCTATCCCACGGGCCGAAGCACGAAAAAGAGAACATGCAATACAATAGAGAAGGAAGAAAATAGAACGCTTCTCATAAGGTATTCCGCCGTGAGGTTTTCCACTGAGTTGCAGCAGCTGCTCTCCGCGACGCGGTCCCAGCTATTGCAAATTTCCAGCTTCTGGTTGTTATTCAATGTGTCGCAGAGGTGCGCCAGGAATGACGGAAAGGCCCGCGCCGTCAAATAGGCCATGTCTTTGCCGACGCGCTTTGGACCCAGCGCAGACGATAATCTAGGTAGAATTCAAATTGTCACAAAAAAGGATGCGCCAGAAATACTAATTCAAATACTCACAGAGCACCTGGCGGTAAAGAAAAAAGAGAAAGATACTAAACGCCAGTGACAGTCGATTAGCAGAACTCCACATAGGGAAGTTGGTAATACTCAAATGACCTTAAATCATGTAGTGAACCTGTATATCTCATCCTGCATTCTTGCAAACTGCGTTCGGAATTCGGGCCGCAGGCTAGAGTAGTTCTCGGCAGGAAGTCGCTGTGCAGCTGACTCGTCCAATGCGGGGTTTACTAGTGTTCGACACCGTCTGTCCGGGAAAAACTTGAAGATCGCCATCCGCGTCTCTTTTGCCTGCTGAGCCTTCTCCCGGTCGAACGGGTAGTCCGGTGATGACGACAGTGCTCGCTTCAGTTTAGAATGCGGCTACAGGATTTTGGAGTTTATAATGCGAATAATTTGTTGGGGCTGATCCAAAAAGGACGATCTATATTGAAGATCAAACATCATAACTAGATACTCGTCCGCAGAAAACGGGTTTCCGTATGTGTCTTCGATCGAAAGCGAATGATCCCGCAGAAGCCAGAAGAGGCTTGGTTTGTTCATGATGACGCCTTGATCTTCGATCGACTTCTGCAATTCGCAGACCTGAAAGCAGAGGCTCGTAATGGGACAAATGTATCCATCGAATGAGAAGTATCAATCCTCTCAACCTCCTGCAGCGATCAAAGGAGGATTGATGATGAATCAACTAACTTTTCTATTCGCGAGCTACTGCACAGGAACTACATGTATAGGGTGAATCACGAACCAGATTGAGCGCCTGGAACGTCTGCTCGTTCAGCGGTCCCTTGCTGTTCAGTATGAAAAGGCTGGACATGAGAATCGACAAGGCTAACAACTTCGGGTCGCGCGAATTCTCCGCGTCCGGTGCTCCAAAGCCCTCGCAGTCTAGATACAGGTAACAATGGCCGTCTTCAGCAGTAGGCTTCAACGCGAACATCCAAATTCCCTTGGTGTAACTTCCCTGTCCAAGGCCAACCTGAAATCCTGGCAAGCCTTGCTGCATCCGGTCAAGAAGCAAGTTCCGAACATGAAGGGTACTCCTCGAATTCGATAAAAGGGAAATGTGGTCACTCTACTACTAGCAGTTTTTGTCTTTTTCCACTACTCTGCCATAGTGAATACCCACTTCAAAATATTTCAGAAAGAACCTTGTGAAAGAAAATAGGGTACTCCTACTGACGAGATGCCCCGCACCACAACTCTATTGAGGATATTCAAGGAGGAAGAGCCTCTACAACTGATCATAAAGGAGGAAGGACTTTCCGGACCGGAATGTACCACCAACGGAGACCACGCTGATTTTCACGCTCCCCATCCCTCGAAGTACCTCCACGGCTTCCTTGCATACCTCGAACTTCGTCTCTCCTGCTGAGCCTTTGTTCATGCGGACCAGCTGAATAGGTCCGTCTAAACTTGGATATGAAGAAAGGTGAAGATTGGCTTGATTTTTATATCACATAATTGTTAGCTTGAGCAAAAGGGGATCATGAACTGCGACAGTTCTTCTGCTTCATTGTGTTCTTGAATTCGAACAGAGCTTTCAACAAATAATCCATCTTTTTAGGAACAACGTTAGCGCTGATTGTCTAGTTTGTCGTGTCCGGACACGGTCATATCTTTATGGTCTGAGCGCTCTTCATTGGATGGTCGGCGAAAGATTCGATCTCTGGAATCACGGCCATCGTACTTGGAGGTCGAGCTTTCGCAATCGAGTCTGGTCGTCCCGGGTTGTCCTCCAGTTTGATGTCGTCTAGTACCTGGTTTAGATTTGTAAGCATTTCGGATCCTTTTCCTGGTGCGTGGGACTCAAGTCAGGGCACTCTGAGAAGTCCTTCTGGAAATTATAAGTACTCTTGGTTTGTCACCGCCACCCGGTGCCCGTATCCGGTCTGCTGCGACAAGGGGCTTGCAATCCAAGTTGTAAGTCCCGTCATTGTTCAAGGAGAGTACTCTTGCTGATATCCACTGATTCAAGGTTCCCGAGAGGTACTCTACCATCGAATTCGGTTGAAACTGGTGCTTCTCGCCCCCGCTCCCCGTTGCGGAAGCCGTTCCTGTAGCACTAGCTGGGCTTGCAGCGGCAGGAAGCGCCGTTGGTATGAAGAAATCAAAGGAATGAACGAGAAATCCTGAAACTTTTTAGCCACGTATTCGCTACTATATGGAGCTACGAATACCACGAGACTCGAAATTTATGGATTAGAACTCCAACATTGCGTCGAGTATACTGACACGAACGAGAGTAAAACTCATCCGCCATACCAGGAGAAGCTGCCGTTGTTCGACGCATGGGTCGGATGCGGTCTCGAGTTACTAGAGGCTTACAGTCCAAATTGAACGTCCCGTCGCTGTTAATGTACTGCACCTTCGCTGGTATCCAGCTTTGAGCCGTCGCCGAGAAATATTCCACTTGTGCCCCAACTCCAAAAGGGTCGTCCGGTGAATTAGGAAAGGATTAGGTGGGAATCTTGACATTGAAAATCTCCATACTGGTGCACCATTTGTCTGAGCATTATGCTAAATGTACTTCTATCAACGTAATCCACCCTGGCTACGAACACTTCACACAAAAACCGTACCATAAATATCGCGTCATGTTGTGCAGCGCCGGAGCCAAGGTCCTCTCCAGCGACAGTCCCCAGAAAAGGTGACGCCACATCGCTCTCTGCGGGCCTGGCAGTACCACCCAAGCCCTGGGTCACCCTTGACGCAGGACTCGAGTCGCCTGCTGTCGTGCGTTTGTGGAAAAATCAATCTTATGCAGCTGCCGAATGTTGTCCCCTACACAGTAGTAACGTGAAATATCACCACAAGTTTAAAACCTTGAAAAAAAGAGCGAGGCACCAACCCGAAGCAAATTATCTAGACTTACTAACCATCTGGATGAATGAACAAAAATCGTACCACCCCCACCCACGCCAGCTACACCGACCGGAGTTGATCCTGGTGTTGCGTCTGAGCCTAATGGACGGATCCGATTTGGTGGCACCTCAGGCTTGCAGTCGAGATTATACGTATTACTTTCCACATTGAATTGCAAGATTTTTGCTGGCATCCAATTTTTCAGTGTCGCTGCCAATTAGATGCTAGTTGTGTGCGTTTTTGTACTACATTGTCTCAAGCATCGTGAAAGAAAAAAGACGATTTTGTTCTTATACTACATTTTGTTAAGCAGCAGTCCTCTTTTAGCACAAATAATACAAAATCTACTATAAACTGTCACCACAATAGACAAAACGTTCTCCGAGGAGGTATGTAGCATAAAACAGTGTCTTAAGAAAAATACTCCACAGGCTGGCCAACCTCGTATTTCGCATCGCTCGAAGCCGACGGCGTGGGAGTGTCGAGGATCTTGTCTAACAACCACGACGACATCTTCGTCCAACTTGTGCAAGAGCTACTTGTTCAAGACTACGAGCTTTTATGCGAGAGTTTCAGGTGGTCGACTGCGTATGCGTAGTTGATGTGTAGTACTTAATACTCTACTAAACGAAGAACTGGCACTAGCTACTGCTTTCGTCAAGTCGTTTTTCGTTGCAGGTCGCGTGCGTGATGGCGGAATACTTCAGTTCACAGCAGAAGAACTACTACTCTGGTTCTGCTCGGACACTGAAGGTACGCACGGAAACTGCCGTAGCGCTCCCAAACGGCGGCCTGCCCGCTTTCATGCGTACGCCTGTCCAGCGCGACAATCAACGCAAAAGCGTGCCCCTAAGTAGCTTTTGATTTACCGCAAGGCCGTGGAGAACCCCGTCAGGCGTTGTCGTCTAGTGGACGTGGGGTTGGAGAAAGTATATCGCCATCGTACTTATTTTCCCGAAGTGTCCGCAGCATCTTGTCTCTCGCTTCTCTCGACGTGTGTCTCTCTACAACAGCGCTCCTGCCCCATCTCCAATAATCAGAAATTAAAACTTTTCTTGAAAATTGAGGAGCAAATTGTGAAAGCTGTCCAACAAGTAAATCGACGTGCCTCCAGCCTTCTTCATGAAAAGGGATTAGTTGCGAGAGTCAGCCTGAATCTTTCTTACGCAATAGACATATTTTTTTCCTGCACAATGTCTTCTGTCTTTTTCGAGTAAGATAGTTCTCTTCGGAGTCGCTCATTTTTATGTAGGGGACATCTGTCTAATTAGGCAGTCACGCGGCTAATCTAACAGTTCCCAGAAACCTCTAAGGTGTCTGCCTACGTCCAAGCACAAAGGCAATTGGCTCTGAACACGCACCGCGTCCGTCCATGGCGAAGAACAGCAGATAGTTGATGCTCTAAGTGAAAATCACATCGCTGACTTCTATCAACAGAGTTGGAAATTCCGTACTTGACGATTCTGGTAGTCGAAAGCCTTGGGCATCATAAGCGACAAAAAGACTGTTGCACGGCTCCCACAGTCTCAAGGTGTAATCGAAGATAAACCGCAACAACAATAATTTTTCACAGACACCAAACATGATGAGTGTGTGCTGAGAGTTTTTGCTGAAAATTACTTCTAAGTGCTGTGCACAAGAAAGTAGAGCACTTATGGCTCACGGTAAAGCCCCAGACATTCGAGGACTAGACGGGGAAGTAGCGGAATGCAGTGTGTTGAAAACTTTGTTCAACAATGGGACCACACCCGCATCATGCTCGCACAACCTCCCTCTATTCCACCTCCCCTGTAAATCATACATTGTGAAATTCACGCACCAGCTGCGCATAGCCTTGTACTTCGTTTTTAACCAGGGTAGCATTGGCAATACCACCCTTGTTAGCTGCTTTGGCCGCTTTCGTCCCTATCATCGTGCTCTTGGGTCGTGGAAGTCGTAGTAGGTCATGGATCCGCAATACTGCGTCTTCTACACCCTCCTCACCCATCCACGCTGTGGCTACTAGAAGCTCGCACGCAGTTTCAATCTCGGCACTAGGAATGCGCGTCTCCAGGAGTTCATCAGATGACTTTTGCTCTGCTTGTCCTGCACTAGTACAATTAGTTTCTGCAGGAGCGTCCTTTTTCTCCAGCTCTTCCCAGTAGGCCAGATCAGCGCCCGTCTGTTGCTGCAGTGTCAAGTATAAGGCCTGGGCGGTGGCCTCCCGGAGTTTTGGGAAACGGTGTCCGAGTAATTGCAACGCTACTCTCAGAGCTTTACGTCTCACAGGTGAATGCTCGAAATGCCCGAGGCCGAGAAAAACCGTCAGCGCACTTCGCAGAACAGCTATGTTTCCTCGAAACTGCTTCGAATGAATCAACGTGTACGTGCTGATGATAATTAATTATTGATGATAAGCACCATAAATCATACAGAGACCGTCGTCATTTTACATAGTCGGTGTCACCTCGAGCCACGACTTGATATGTTTTGCTTTCAAATTACGAGAAGATAACCAGACAACAATATATTGCCAGTAGGGAAAAGCCTAAGAATAGAGGGAAAGCTAACCGGTTATTAACCAGACAACAATATAATTTAGTAGGGATTTATATTCTCTTGCCACCTGCAATCTAAATTCAATATAGGTACTTTTGAAAGAGGCGCTCGGCCTCTGACCCATCTGGATATTGCAATTTTTGGAGGAGTAATCCTTGCACGTTCAAAATCGGTAGCACTAGGCGCTCATCTCGCGCTTCGCTTAGCGTATTCAATGTCGCGGCAACGCCGTCTCGGCGAAGAACGCTGGTTTCTCCATAGTCCAGTAGTGCGGCTGCGCTGGCTTTTGCCGTTGACTCGGTCACGCCTCCAACGGAACAGACTAACCCTTTGAGCAAACTCGACCGAAAATCCTCGAGCTCAAGGAGACATGCTAGCCTGCGAAACAAAAAAAGACCGCACTCATCTTCTAATTGTGCTGCGTCTTCTTGCAGCACAGTTTTGCTCACTGCAGTCATCGTGGCGTCTGCTTCTATTTCGGCATGCTGCTCTCGTGTGCCTCCCTGTCTACAGCACTGCCACAGAGCGGTGAACCAAGGCTCTTCGACTGCGGCATCGGAGCCACATTTCTCAGGTCTACTAATCTTAGATTTCGGTAAGACGACCAAATCATTCTTGGTGTAGAATATTCAAATTTTGCTAGTAGTGAAGGTAGATTTCCATCACGTGGAAGTACACGTTCAGATACGAATACTTCTTCAGTAGATCTAACACATGCCTTAATCATCATGAGCAACTTTGCGATTGGTTCCTTCGCTTGGTGTGTTCGCGATGCTGTGACCTGAAACGCCGCGCTCTGATCCACTGCTAGTGAAACTTTTTTCACCGCTCTGCATAATGCTGCAAACGCTATAAGACGTGTCCGGTCGATCTTTTCCACGCACTGTTGAAGTATTGCCGCATAGATGTCTTTACAACGGTTCGTGGTTTGGGTTTGACTATCTACAGTACTAGTCCTCGTTGTTGTCATAGGTGCTTTTTGCTGTAGGTAGCTGAGGAAATGAACAAGAGCGTCCAGAGCCATTTCACGAACCCAGCTACCAACATCCCCGCGCCGATCCGTTTCATAGTCTTGAGTCGCTGCAAGCAATGCCTTCTCGACCAGCACAAGATCCTCCTCTTCAATCAACTCCGGACCATTGGTTTGGGAGGCGAGCGTGGTATCATTTGATGTAGCATTTGTTTCTATTGAACAAGAGTTATCATCTTTCCCTCCTTGCTGCGTCACACAACAGGACGCCGCGAGAATTCGCGCCAGCGAGAAAACGGCGTATTGTCGCGAAATCGGGTCCCGCGTCTCAACAGGCAGGTTTTGCGCCGTTACCTCGGAGCAGAGCGTTTTTAGACACGTACTTCTTGTTTCTTTGGAAACAAATTGCGCTGCCCATCCGAGTGCTAACAAAGCACCATTTCGAGTCGCTATCGGTACGTCTGCCTTCTGCGACGCACTAGACGTCAACCTTTCCACTTGCTTGCCGCAGAACTCTTCCACCAAAGCAGAAGTTCCTGTTTCTTGTTCCTTTTTCTGAAGTGAGTCCACTTCGCATGCTGATGTTGAAACAGCTATTCTATCATCCTTCATTTCACCCATATTGAGATTTGCGAGGACTCTCGGTCTTTGGTACGCAACACTGTCGTCAGCCGGCGCAATGCGCTGTTGCAAGAGAAAGGAGAGCGCTTCCATCGCAACGTACTGGATGCGTGTCTCGCCCGAATGGTAGAGGCACTCCTCAATGGATTGAAGGTAATACTTCGTCGTTTTTTCTGCGGGAAAGACAATGTCGCTATTGCAACACACAGCTCTCAAAAGCCGCATCGCGCCGTAGCGAATGATCTCCCCGCCACGGCCACGATACATGCGCTGCTTCTCTCCGTTTGGCACTAGATTTCGCAAAACCGTTTGACTCTCTGCGGAAAAAACAACTCGATTGCGTCTTACTATCTCCGCTAATGCCAAGAGTGATCCGTGCCGTAGGGGTACTGAAACCGTGTTCGTGGAACTGGAAGCGGCAGCCGATCCGGTTGTACGCCCTGCCGTAGCGGGTGCTGTAGGCGGGACAATGTTCGCCGCAAGCCGTGGCAACACGATTTCGTTCGCATACACAGTAAATTCATCATCCACGGCACTGCTCGCACCAACACTACAGAGCTCTTCCTCTCCTGAAGAGGAAATTTTTTGTCCGTGATCTTTTTCACTACTGTTAGCTACCCGCCCATTTGCTCCACCACTTCCTCCCAGATGATGCGAAGAAGCAGCCGTAGAACAGCTAGAGGACACATCGTCTGCTGTTTCAGAGCAGAGGAGCTCACCGAGACTCAAAGCACACTCTTCGCGAATCGCGACGTCTGGATGATCCAGTTTGTGCTCCAACAAATGATTTAGGTTAGAGATGGAAAAAATCAAAAAAAGATACTGCCAGGAATTCCATGATTGAGATTGGGTTAGAAAATACTTAATCACAATAGTATAACAAATATGAAATGAAATAAGTACTTCCTTCTATTTAAAGATCTTAAAAATTACGAGTGAAGTTATGGCAACTCTGCTCAATCCATAATTATGAGTGAGAAGCGGTATTCAGGAGACAATGCCGCCACGCGTGACGCGACTTCGAGATAGGCACGCCGTCTGCAGCTCACCGAGAAAAAGTCAGCGAGCGTTACAAGTGCAATCCCATGTGTAAAGCTCCCTTGGCGTCCAACGTGCTCTTGGATCGCCGCACTGGCTGCCCTACGTATGTTAATCTCTCGGTCAAAGCATGCTACAGGCACAAGAGCCCGCGCCAACATCTTCTGGCAGTCTGCGAAGTGTGAAGCTTCGTATGCACGAGCAAAGGCCCAAACGCAGTAGCACGCGGCGTCCCGAACATGCTGGCCGCTTGATGTTGCGGTAGTTGAGGAACTTGCAAGAAATGAAAGGATACAATCTTCGGAAAGAGGATCAGGAGGTACTAGAGTTCAATGTACTCCATGGTGGACAACCTAGAGGACGCACCAAAATTCTGCATATGCTGCAACCAGCACCTGAGAAAGACAGAAGTTTTCTAAGGTCGTCTCTAACTATAGCAGAACTAGAGTTCAATGTACTCCATGGTGGAAAACCTAGAGGACGCACCAAAATTCTGCAGATGCTGCAACCAGCACTCGAGAAAGACAGAAGTTTTCTAAGGTCGTCTCTAACTATAGCAGAGAACTGAAGTTTCATCAAAGAATCCGTTAAGATGACATCTCCAACTATCAGGCAGTCGTTCATAAACTACTGCTGGGAAACTCGAAGTGCAAAGCTTCACAGACTAGCGGCAGAATTGTCGCTTTGAGTCGACTCGGCAAAAGTAGTCCACGGCGCGCTAACTCTGCTAACGCTAAGCACCCACCATGCCAAGCGCGGTCGTTTCGTGTCTGAAAACAGCGTTCCTCCAACGCGCAAAAGATGAAGAAAATCTGGAAATGTGAAAAAACGCTTCTTGTTTTACGTTGTGTTTTGGAATAAAGGAATCCCTTCGAGGAGCACTCAATCGTGCTACTGGATATTAATCACAAAACCATTTTCTTAAAGATGAGCTGATCCGCAAGGAAGAGACTTGAGAGTTGCGCGCAAAGTCTTCCGAAACATTTCGCAGCACTCCACCGGACCACAGTGTCGCTATGCACTAAGGACTGCAACAAAATTTCGGCTAGTTCTTCCACTAGTTCTAGTGATTCCTCTGGCAGGATTTCTTCTCCGTCTACGCTGAGCTCTAACTGATTCGCTTCTTTGTCCTTTGATTCTACCGCCTGTTGTTCGCCGACCGCACCGGCGGAAGTTGTTTTGAACTTATCAACTAGTGTTGTTTGATCTTCTTGTGTGTCGTGTGCTATCACATTTCCTATGATGATATCAACATCATCCCCGGGGGCCGCGTCTGAAGTATCTTGCGCTCCTTTAATCTCCCCTCCTCCTTCTCCGGTAGCCACCACGCCAGGCTTCTTTTTCTCACTTATCGTTGCATCGTTCGTTACGCTTTGTAACAACACGCGCACGCCACGCTGGTACCGCCAAGGCGCTGGTTTGTTGGGCAAGAACTTTTCGACGATGCGGGACAGCGCTTTCAAACGGAATTTCCATGCCAAGGGATTCCGTTCAAAGATCTGCGCAACGGCTGTACCATTCGTAGCCGCATTGAGCAAAAGATCAAAGAGCGAACGCAATTCTCCTCCCGACAATTTTGCCCGGTCGGTCGCTTTGAGCACCTGGTGCACCGCTTGGAGCATGCCAAGCATGCGGAACGAGGCGTGCAAAGGCTCTCTCGACGCTTCCTGTTCTCGTTCATCATGTGCTTGATGCGCATCTACTCCATCTTTGGGAAAATTGGTAGAATCAACACTGGAAAGGATATTGTCGTTTGTTTTAGTTGGTGAAGAAGAAGTAGATGAAAATGTTGTGGGTGGGGAACACAGAAGTTCGCTTTGGCAGTCTTTCGCGAACTTGGGCCACAGATCGCAGTCTTTACGCGCGAAGAGTTTGCCGAGGAGAAAAGCCGCCGCTTCGCGTAGCCGCGAAGGATCTCGAAGTCCAAGTTTGGCTAGCTCTAGCACCTTTTCCACCGGGCTGCGTTCTTCTTCAGCGAAAATTGTGCGCAGGTCGAAGGGCGAATAGAGAATCATCGCTAGCCAGAGAAAAAGCAAGGACTTAGATGATGACGGCGACTATGATGATGATGATGATGATGATGACAATGATGATCGAGGTATCCGTTGGGGAATATTTGTCGCAGAGTTTATTCTAGTTCTATTTGCATGACTCTTCGTTTTTCTTTCCTTGGGCTTTCTTCCAAGAACCTATAAACGTGGCACAAAGGGACTTCCCTGGAAAATGATCCTGGCGCTGCTCAACAGCTTACTTACGTTAGTAAGGGCCTTAACATATTTTGTAGCCCACGGCGTCGTTGGCGCATTTTTTTCATCACCACTCCCATCTACGGAAAGCAGCATTCCTTCTAGTAGACCGACGCAAGGCAGCAGATCGCTAGCTTCGTGCGGAAAGAATTGGACAATTCTTTTGAAGCCACGGACTGCGCATAAGCAGTAGAGAAGGGAACAGAGAAGGTGTTGCTGGTTGCCCCAACATCTAGCTTGCTGGCAGCTTGTTCCTCCTGCTCGTGCCTTTCCATCAGGTCGGTTCGAGTCGTCTATGGTGATCGCATCTCCTTTCAGATCGTCCGTGGTGATGAGTAAACCTTGGAAAAGGATCCCCACCATGGAGGACAGATGACTGTCTAGCAGAGACGGCTGCTCCTGGTACGAGTTCCATATTTTTTTCACTTCCTCAGCAAGCACCTGGTTATTGCATTTCACTTCTACCGCGTTGCCCGCTTCCTCCCGAAAGTCATGTCCTTGCTGACGTGCTCCTTCCGCTCGAGAAGAACAGCCGGCGATGTTCCGCAACAAGGATAAAACATGGGGACCCTCTCGGAAAAAATCTCGGCTATGCTGGATCGTCTCCGAAGCATCTGCAGTCACGCCTGCTGCGCCTACCAGAATAGCCTCCTCATCATTGCTTGTCAGATATTCTACCATTCTGCTGAATCAATCACGAGATAGCAACTGACGAGGGTAACCGACCTGTAAAATGCCGCTTCTGAGCGTAACATATTCCAATATCGAAGAACGAAATTAGTTGAGATTTGAGAACTGCACACGGTCGAACATGAGCCGTTGAAAGCATCCAGTTTTTTGATGAAGATCGCGCTAGCATTACGGAGTCAACTTGATACAATTACCACAGGAACAGGACGCTAACCGATAAATTCGCACTATAACGCTTGATGTTAGGAGGTGGAAACACTCTCCCCGTTCAAGATTCCGTGCCGAATTTTGATGAAAAAACCTGTCGCCCTCGTGAACACAGCAGCCAGACATGCTGAGGAGATGCGGTGTCTGGAGTTGACGCGGGCTCGCACACTGCAGGCATACTTAATAGCGTTATTATAAACTCAAATGTCGGCGATATCGGGCTAAAAGACAAAGTTTTGGAGCGCGAAGGTGATTTTTACTTCTGTTGCAACTTCACCGCTTACTACTAGAAGTAGAGTTTGAGGTAACATCATGAAATGAACAGTCCACGTGCGTTTAAAGCACTCTCGGTATGGAGAGCTTTCATGTTTTCCCCCATTTTCCGCATGATAGTCTGGGCCTCCGGCCACTGAACAGCAGGTTTATGAGTAGCGTTCACACCATCCTCTTGTCGGCTTTTCACGCCTTTGTGCCAACCCGTGCCAGCATCGCGACAACGACCCACAAAAACGTGCTGCGAGCTAGCAGAAACATTTATGGCTTCAACCCAACGTCCACTGTAAACGGCCGTTAGCTTTTCGAAAAAACGAATCTTGGGGTCGTCTCTGTTCACGAGACGCACTTTTATCACACCAAAATTTTCTGGTGCAGCCAGCGCTAACATTCGCCACATAGTCAGTCGGCGATTCCCGGTCCCGGCGAGATAGACGTCCCCTTCATGAAAACACACGTCCAGCACATCCAGATCTCGGGGCAACTGGCGTCTCTTCGCAAATTCTCTCTCGACAATTTCCCGCATGGAGTCAAGGACGCGCCTATTCTTTTCCTCAATGATCGACCCGGTCGCAGGGCCATGCGCAGAAAACGGACGGAAGCTGTCGCTCACGGAATCATGCGTGAAGCGAAGCGCCAGCATCAAAGGTGGACTTTCACGATGGAGCGTGACTCATGTGAAAACGGCCCGGGCCTTCCCCTCGATTTATTCTAAGGAGCACTCTCCCCGCGGGAGGGACGCGATGAGGCGCGAGAAACAAACGAGGGCAGGCAGCCGACGCGAAACCGATAAGCAGACGCCAGAAAAGCACAGAAAAGGAGAGACGAAGCCGATAGCAAAAGGGACAGCACAAGAGCAAAGGGCGGCCGGCCATGCCTTGAGCAAGATCGGGGGAAGCAAATGCGGAAAAAAGGGCGCAAAGAAATCTAAAAGGGAACCGAAGCGCCGCCGTCCCTTAACGGTTTCGCACGGATCCTCGCGAAACTCTTAAGCGAAACCGCTAAGGGACAGTGGCACTTCTGGGCCGTTTTCGATATTTTGCCACTTTTCTTCACAGTTTGGCACGCCAGTCCCTAGATCGCGAGGCCAGTCCGTCTCTCTCCTCTTCCCATTTCCTTATCGGTTTCGCCTCTGTCTTTCCGGGCTCTGTTCAGATGCTCCCGCCCTTCTCTTATCGGTTTCGCCGCTCGCTCGGCGTACCCGACTCCTCTGCAATCCCTCCGGCTACCGATACAAACCGAACGAGACGACAGGCGACACCATGAGGCATGGGCTCGCCCTCCTTTTTAAGAGTCCGGAGCATCATTACAGGCAAAGGCTAGCCCTGTGCGCCTGTAGCTCTCAGAAGTGCGCCCGGTAAAGGTAGCACACGCACACGAAGAGAGCCAAGGGGATAACTTCAATCGCGAGCGTCTTTCGGTAAGTCCGAAGAAGCTCGGCAAGACGCCCCGTCTGGCGCATCGGCCGCCAGCGGGGCGATAGGGCACGCCTTAGTTCTTCAGTTACACGGGCGACAGTTTGTCTGACGCGTCCCCCCGCCTCCCGTTGTACCCCGCGCCCCCCGCCCCCCTTGTACAAGGTTACATGGTTGGGCACAGTCCGGAGGCGCACTCTTTGGCGCGGGCTCGTTATAGGGATTCGCAGTCGCGCAAACATTTAACCTTGTACAAGGGGGGCGGGGGGCGAGATGGTCACGCGTTGCCCCCTCGTCCCTGGCGGCCTACGGCCGCCAGAGGGACGACGCGCCACGCTGCGCCGGTGGGCGCTGGTGGGCGCGTGGTGTGCGCCGCACAATCCACCGCGAGCAGCCCAGCAAGGCGACCCTCTGCCCCCTCGTCCCTGGCGGCCTACGGCCGCCAGAGGGACGACGCGCCACGCTGCGCTTGCGGGCGCTGATGGGCGCGCGGTGTGCGCCGCATAATCCAGCGCGAACAGCCCAGCAAGGCAACCCTCTGCCCCCTCGTCCCTGGCGGCCTACGGCCGCCAGAGGGACGACGCGCCACGCTGCGCTGGTGGGCGCTGGTGGGCGCGTGGTTTGCGCCGCATAATCCAGCGCGAACAGCCCAGCAAGGCAACCCCCTGCCCCCTCGTCCCTGGCGGCCTACGACCGCCAGAGAGACGGCGCGCCACGGCACAGAGATTAGGCACGCGGGAAGAGCACACGAGGAGAGCACATGAGAAGACGTAGAACACAAGAGCAGCCAGGCCAGAAGAACACCGACCGACCAAACTGGAACAAAAACGTAATTGGATACTGTGAGCTTGTACTTGTCCCCTTAGGGGCCTGTTTAAAAGAATTTGGAGCACCCATTATATGGCGCGACTCAGAGGCTTTTTCAGACGCTTGGGCGATGCCCGCCGCTAATCTCAGATTTGCGACAAATCGTCTGAGCTCCGGCATTTTGGGTGGGGAATGTCCATAACGGCACTTTGGGACGCGATGAGGCGCGAGAAACAAACGAGGGCAGGCAGCCGACGCGAAACCGATAAGCAGATGCCAGAAAAGCACAGAAAAGGAGAGGCGAAGCCGATAGCAAAAGGGACAGCACAAGAGCAAAGGGCGGCCGGCCATGCCTTGAGCAAGATCGGGGGAAGCAAATGCGGAAAAAAGGGCGCAAAGAAATCTAAAAGGGAACCGAAGCACCGCCGTCCCCTAACGGTTTCGCACGGATCCTCGCGAAACTCTTAAGCGAAACCGTTAAGGGACAGTGGCACTCCTGGGCCGTTTTCGATATTTTGCCACTTTTCTGCACAGTTTGGCACGCCAGTCCCTAGATCGCGAGGCCAGTCCGTCTCTCTCCTCTTCCCATTTCCTTATCAGTTTCGCCTCTGTCTTTCCGGGCTCTGTTCAGATGCTTCCGCCATTCTCTTATCGGTTTCGCCGCTCGCTCGGCGTGCCCGACTCCTCTGCAATCCCTCCGGCTACCGATACAAACCGAACGAGACGACAGGCGACACCAGGAGACATGGGCCCGCCCTCCTTTTTAAAAGTCCGGAGCATCATTACAGGCAAAGGCTAGCCCTGTGCGCCTGTAGCTCTCAGAAGTACGCCCGGTATAGGTAGCACACGCACACGAAGAGAGCCAAGGGGATAACTTCAACCGCGAACGTCTCTCGGTAAGGCCGCAGAAGCTCGGCAAGACGCCCCGTCTGGCGCATCGGCCGCCAGCGGGGCGATAGGGCATGCCTTAGTTCTTCAGTTACGCGGGCGACAGTTTGTCTGACGCATCCCCCCGCCTCCCGTTGTACCCCGCGCCCCCCGCCCCCCTTGTACAAGGTTACATGGTTGGGCACAGTCCGGAGGCGCACTCTTCGGCGCGGGCTCGTTATAGGGATCCACAGCCGCGCAAACATTTAACCTTGTACAAGGGAGGCAGGGGGCGAGATGGTCACGCGTTGCCCCCTCGTCGCTGGCGGCCTACGGCCGCCAGAGGGACGGCGCGCCATGCTGCGCCGGTGTGCGCTGGTGGGCGCGTGGTGTGCGCCGCATAATCCACCGCGAGCAGCCCAGCAAGGCAACCCTCTGCCCCCTCGTCCATGGCGGCCCACGGCCGCCGCAGAGATTAGGCACGCGGCAAGAGCACCCGAGGGGAGCACGTGCGAAGACGTAGAACACAAGAGCAGCCAGGCCAGAAGAACGCAGACCGACCAAACTGGAACAAAAACGAGCCAAGCCAGGGGAACACAAGACGGCGACGACATCGCTCGCGTATCTCGCGAAATGAAATAAGTGGAAACAGATGGGGGCGCTTATCGAAGCGCCGCCACGTGCAGACCGATGCGGCCTCTTGTTTGTGGCCAATCTTTTGGAAGATAGAACATGAGGAAGCGAAACCGATAAGAAGACACGGGAAGCCGTTGCGCGGATTTTTGCCGGAGACGCTGCGGCGGCCTTTTTCTTTTTTGTTTTATAAATATTTGAGAGCGTTCAAATATTTGAAAACATTCGGAGAATATTTCGGAATATTCGCCGAATGTTTCAAATTAATTCTTTCAGTGCTGGAATGGTTTTCGCGCAAATATTTTGAAACAAGATGAAAAACTGCGTATCCAGTTCGCGCCATGCAGGAATCGAACTCGGTGCGAGGGCTTGCGCCTGCTCGTCGAGTTCTGCGGAGAGTTGTCCTCGTGAGGCTATCTGAGCGAGCGCGTGCCAAGATGCTTCCCATTAAAAAAAGAGCTTTGGACTTTAAAGGGTAGGCTCTGGCAAGAAAATTAGAAAACGGAGAAAAGTCGAGAAACCACGACCAGGCTGGCGAATCCACTCGCGCCAGGAGTGTAGGTGCTCGGCGAGCTGATGGATGAAATAACCCAAAAAAAAAAATCATGAATACGGAGAATGATGCCCCCTTTCCGGAGTTTGCGACCTTTAGCACAGCTAGACTGTCCTACCTCTGTGTGGCTTTTTAATTTTTGCCCGTCATTTAATTTTCTTGGTGCCCTCGCCCGGTGTTTAAGCTTCTGGCGCGACTAGATTCCCGCGCCAGACTGTGGGTTTCTGTTTTTTGCCCGTTTTTTAATTTTCTCGATTTGTTAGCATTTTTTTAAAATTCTGCAGGCGCTTCGCTTCAAATTGGTGAGAGTTTGGAGCGTCTCCAAACTGTTCCAGACGCCTCTCATAAATGGAAAAATGTGGTTTTTTCATTTTTTTAACTTGCTACCATTTTTGGTCCCGTCTGCTGGGGTTTCCGTTCATTTTGGCAAAAGTTTGGAGGCTCTCCAAACTGATCCATTCCCCTCTGATAATTGTAAAAAGTGAACGTTTTTAAAAAAATCTCTGCCACGCCTGCCACGCAAAAAAAAAAAGGTGGCGAGACGAAACAGGAGCAGAGTGATTTTTTTCGCCGTGCTGCCACCTCTGAACTTAAAAAATTAAGAAGGGGCCTTCTTAATTTTTTTAAGTTCTGAGGTGGCAGCTCGGCGAAAAAAATCACTCTGCTCCTGTTTCGTCTCTCCGCGTTTTTATTTTATTTTTGGAGTAGGTGGCGAGAAAATTGCAAATTTATCAATTTCATCATTTTTTTTTACTCTATCCCCACTGGTAAAAATTCCAGAATCTACCACTTTCCACTTGAAAAGTGGTCCAAAAGTTGCAAAATCGTGCAAGAAAAAAATGAAACGCCACTGGTAAAAAAATCGAGGCTACCGATTTCAAGTTGAAAAATGGCAAAAAAGTTTAAAAAATCGTAGAAAAAACACCGGAACACCACTAGAAAAAAACCAGAAGCCACCGGCTTCAAGTTGAAAAATGGTCCAAAAGCTGGGAAGTCATACAGGAAAAAGCTCCAGCACCAATGGAAAAAAGCCAGGGGCTACCACTGGAAAAGGGGCCAGCCTCCCTCGAGCCGAACAAGAACCAAACGCAAACCGGGCCGAAACCCAAACCAAGCCCGGACCAAACTCAAACCAAACCCAAACGAACCACGCCCACGCGCGCACCAAACTAAAACCAAAGCAAACCCAAACCAAACCAAACCCAAACCCAAACCAAACC